CTGAAAAAAACATATAAAAATATATATAGATATATATCGTAGGCAGAATTTATTCATTCATTTCGTGTTTTAATAAATTTCTTCAACTTTCGCCTCGTTTCGTTTGTTTTTTTTTGTCTATTCCTGGTGTGTGTTGATTATTATCATTTTCATTTGGTAGAATATAAACAGAATTTGATGAACAGAAAAAAAACACCATAATATATATGGATGGATATTATTATGAGGGATAAACACACACACACACACACACATCAGTATCAGTATCAGTAATAATGCGAGATTTGAATTTTAATTTATCAAATTAAATATATGACGACGACGACGACGATCCGGGTGTATTCCTAATGAATTTTTTAATTTTTTTTTTTTGGAACTTTTGGATTTAGATAAAAGAAAACTACTGCTACCACTGCTACTACTAGTGCTACTACTATGATCACAATCCATACCGGATAGGATAAAATCTGCTACTACCATTTTCGAGATGATAATTTTCATTTTGCATTTTTTTTTATTTGTACGCAAACTCGAAACACAACAGTATTTAAAGCTTAAAGAAAATTTTTTAGGCCTATAATAATCAAATCAAATTGGCTTGCTATTGGTGATTTATCTGCAAATAAAAATTTTCACATTCATATGTGTTTGGGTGGTAATCCACACCCGTGGACTAATCGTAATCACTATTATGCAGAGATTTAAACAATTTTGAACAAAAAAAAACCATCTGATCAATCGATTGATTCGATGATCAGGATGATCGTTTATTCGTGTTTTTTTTTTTTTCTAGTTCCACCATTTGAATGTTTCTTTTTTATTATTATTATTATTGAAAACAGATCAAGATCATCATCGTTTATTACATAAATAAAACAAAATTGTTTCGGTTTCGGTTTCGATTTATATATATATATCTGTTATATTTTGCTCGCGTAAACATGGTCTGGTCAAACAAAATATAAAAAAGAATGTTTATGGCACCTTTAACGGCCAAAAGTAAAGAAAACAAAAAAAAAAAAAAAAAATACTTTATGGTTTGTTTAGATCTGTATTGATCTCTGACTGATTGGTCATCAGAAAACACATCTAAACAAGAAAAAAATAACAAGGCCAATCAATAACAATGGGGAGCTAGAAGAGAGAGAGAGAGAGAGGGCAGCCATTCATTCCATCAGTTATCATCATCAATCGGTCATCGATTCTTGTAACAGAAAAAAAAGAACTTTACTCGATGTTCAAACACATTGGTCGAGGTCAATAATGAGAAAAAAAAATTTATATTTTTATGACCGGACCTAGTTGTGATCGTGACTCGTGTCTAGAGCAAAAAAAATAACCTTGTTGTTGTTGTTGTTATATCATATCATATTCTGTGGGACATCTGATCTGTCATCTGTGTGTCAAGACTTAGATGATCAACGTAGACTTACCAATAATAATAATAATAATAAAAAATCCTATGGTGACATGCATCGAGTGAGGTCCATCACCACCATTACCACCACCATACAAACACAGCAAGAATTTTTCGTTTTATAACCCAACAAGATATCACGGTGTCATGGACCTTTTCAAACTTTTTTTTTACAGTGGAAATTTTGGTTGAAATAAATAAAAAAAAAAAAAAAACGAAAAATTCAAAAATTGCGTAACATTGTTACAGATTGTAGAAGAAAAAACCAAAACCCCCTTCAGCGAGAAGCCGTAAAAACAACAACAACAACATTTATGTCATTTTTGACAGAAAATTATTTTCAAAGTGAAAGTGTTTTATTATTGTTTGTTGTTGTTGTTGTTGTTGTTGTTTGTCACATTCAGTCGATTATATTTTTTGCTCCAATTTTTCACTTTCATTCCATCATCATCATCATCATCATGCTTTAAATTTTATGACCTTTTTTTCATTTTGTAAAGCAAAAACATTCAAGAATTTTGAAATAAATAAAAGAATTTCCCTTTCTGTTTTTTTTTATTATCACCAATATTATTATTATTATTATTGTCGATTCAAACACCAAAAATTTGCCCTAGTTTTTTTCTAATGGTGGATTTTAAAAGAAAATTTGTTGTCGTTTTCGCTGTTGTTGTTGTTGTTGTTGTTGTATTGGCATAATAAACAAATTTTATGCTTTTTTTTCTCTCGTTTATCCATGTCAAGAATTGGATGAAAAACAATGATGATGATGATGATGGTGGTGGTGTTTTGAATCTTACCAATCAATCACAAACAAGACAACAACAACAACAAAATGATCGATATGGTCTGGAGTTTTGAATTTAATTTCAAAAAAAAAAAATGTGATCATCATCCATTAACCACCACCACCACCACCATCGCCACCACTATTAATTTGAATCATTGATGGCGCCGTCGCCACCATTATCATCATTATGATTATTATGACATAACTATTTATCTATATTGCATTCAACAATCTACTGGTATTACTTGGATTCAACTGGAAAAAATAGCTGCAGCTAGAAAAAAACATCTTTTTTTTCCTGATTGAAGTTTTTTTTTCACAGGATAAAAACAAAATGCAATTGTTTTCATTGCTGCTGCTGCTGCTACCGGTTTTTTTTCAGCACAAGAAAAAAAACCATCCAATTCAATTTCTTGTCATCAAAATGCATTGATTTCCATTCACTTGTTTTCAAGGTAACAGACATTTTCTTTTCTCAACTCTTTTCAACATAATGAAAACAAAAAAAAAATCAGATGATAAAAAAGAGAATGAAAAATTTCAAAAAATTGAATCAATCGATCAATCAATCAATTACGATGGATTTTATTTTGTTTTGTTTTGGCAGTTTTTTTGGCATTCAATTAATTAATTGATACATGATATGATATGATATGATTGATTGATTGATGATTAGAATGATTCAGGAGAAAAAAAACCACTGATAACACACACACACACACACACATATACACATTTATCATTCGAGTAAATGATGTATGATGGTAAACATCAACAACAACATTAGAAATAGAGACATCGATCTCAACATTCATTGCCTAATCGTGGACATTTGTTCAATTATTAGCTAATTTTTATGAATTTCAAATATCATATTCAATCAGAAAAAAATGGATGAATAAATGAATAATTCAGCTGATGAATTACAATCATCATCAATGTCACATTTGCACCCATTTATAATTATTGCTATATGATCATCATCATCATCATCATCATCATCAACATCATGATCATCATCAACATGATGATGTATCTGTATATTTACATGTCAAAATGTTTACTAATGTGTACCTTTTTTTTCACGGCCGTCTGGCTTGAAAATAAAGAAAATCTGAATAATGAATTGTGTTTATCGATAAAAAAAAAATATGGAAATCATCAATTCATCACAAAAAAAAAACAAATGAATCACATATATGCATAGACCGTGACGACAATATTGTTGTTGTTGTTGTTGTTGTTGTTGTTGTTGTTGTTGTTGTCGTTGTTGTTGTTGTTGTTGTTGTTGTTGTTGTTGTTGTTTGACAATCGATCTAATTTTTAACAATTTTTCTCCATCTTTCTTTTTCTCCAAAAATTAGATTATCATCAATTTTCATTTAAAAAAGTTTTTTTTTATAGCTTCTAGCTTGAAATGTTGGCTAATTTTCTTTATTACTTTACTTTACCATCATCATCATCATCATCATTATTGGTCTGTCAAGCCTGTTCCGACGACTATATGACGCCAAACCATCATCATCATCATCATCATCATCATCATCAATTTGCAATGATTTTTTTTTCACTAACGAATTTGATTAACGAATGGCAAAGAAAAATTGATGATGTTTCTTGTATTCAAGTTTTTAATTTTACTTATTTCATGGAGACAATTTTTTTTTTTTTTTTATTAAGAACACAAACAAGTTGCCGCCGACGCGGCAACTTGCATTAAAAAGATGATGATCATTTTATCAACTTGAAGAATCAAAACATAAAACAAAACAAAAAAAAACAAAATGAAAAAAATTAAGAATCAAATCATCACATTGGTTGTTGTTGTTGTTGAACAACAGATGAACTAAATTGAATAAATTGATGATGATGACGACGACGATTGATGTTGATTGAATTAAATCAATTCCTTGAATCAATGATCATATTAATCATCATCATCATCATCATGGTTAAATGATGTTAAATGGTGCTGTGTTGTAATATGAAAACGAAAATGGTAAAAAAACACACACACACACACACAAATTGATTCTCGGTATATTCTAGTGGTAAAGAATTGATTCAAATTCTGCCACATATCATATGTAAAATCATTCAATGTTCAATGATCTGATCTGGGAGCCATGATCATTATCATCGACAAATTATTATCATCATTATTATATGGTAAGGGAAAATGAAAAGAAAAAATGCAATGAAAATGACAGTAGTGACAGTAGCAAAAATGGTTTTATGATGCTATAAAAATTTAATTTTTTTTTTGTCCGCTTCAATTTCATTTAATTTTAAACAAAATTTCAAAAAAAAATTTTTCCCAGAAATCAATAAATCAACTCACCATTCACCACATAAATACATACATAAGATCTGATTATTAATTTTTTTTTCTTGTTTCAAATATCTAAAATTGATATTGCCCTCCTAATTAAGTTAATGGTCAACCTTGGGGGCATGGATGAAATGGGAAAAAAAAAAAGAAAAATCTGCTAAATCATCATTGTCTCATTAAATGCTACAAAAAAAACGACATTAATATAGTCGATCGATCACACTTGTTTTTGTTTTCATAAATCAATTGATTGATAAATTGAATAAAAACATGGTAAAAGAATTTATCTTTACCTTTATCTTCATCATTCATTGTTGATTGTTTCATGATTCTTGAATTTTTTCGATTCGATTACGATTCACTTGTTTTCTGTAGTTGTTGTTGTTGTTGTTGTTTGTTGTTGTTGTTGTTGTTGTTGTTGTTCATGTTTTGTTGATGAAATATTTAAAAAATTAATGATGATGATGATCAATGGTTATCACCATTTTCTTGTTTCATTTTTGATGCTTGCGCCTGTCTTTCCTGTTCATTAAGCTCTTTGATTGCTTGTATTTCTTTTTTCAATTTCATACGACGATTTTGGAACCAAATTTTTATCTGTCGTTCAGTCAAACATAATGCATGTGCCATTTCGATACGTCGTCTACGTGTTAGATAATGATTTGTATGAAATTCTTTTTCCAATTCTAATGTTTGATAACGGGTATATGTTTGACGGCCACGACGCCGTAAACCAGTGGCACCGGCTAGACCTAGAATTGACAAAAAAAATTCCAATAAAAAATCAATTAAATTCAATTTTCAAATCAATCAAATCAAACTGATTGTCAAAAAAAAAACAGGCAAAAATTTTCAAATCCAGCAAACAATCAATAAACAAACGAAAAAAAAATAAAAATTTCATCCGTATTTCTACCATTGCGCAGGTGCCATTTTTGTTTCATTATAGTGCCAGAAAATATACTACTACCACACATAGGCAGCACGCACGCACGCACGAACATACAAAAGAATTGAATTTGGCTTAAAAATAGAACACATGAAAACAAAAACACCCTTGGAAAAGAAGAAAAAAAAAACGAAAAAGAAAATTGAATTTTGGCCTGGCCAACAAAGAACAAAGAAGAAAAAAAAAGACCAATACAACAATTGTGTGTGTGTGTGTGTTGAAGAATGGAAATACCAAAAATGTGAAAATGTAAAGCCAGATCGAATTGAACAATATGAATCATCATCATCATCATACTGAATCCTAATAATAACCGAATCGGGCAAACAAAAGTTTTTTTTTGGGGAAAGAAAAAATTTTTTCCCACAGTAGAAAGAAGAAAAAACGACGACGACGACGACGATGATGATGATGATGAACAAAAAATTTCATATTTCCACTGGTTCCTTGATGAATAAAAAATTTTTTAAAAAAAGGAAAAAAAACGTTTAAAATTAAAATGATGATGATGATGATTGATTGACAATCATCATTTTTTTTGAATTGAATTGAATTGAATCCTATTAAAAATGTAACTATTTATATGGCCAATTGAATAAACGGCGGGGGAAGGAGGGAAAAAAATGACCAATTTGATATTCCATAAACATAAGTATGAAAACCAAATCGATATATGACGGGCAGAAAAAAAAAAGATCATCATAAAAAAAATGCTAAATTCCATCAGCCATCACCAAAACACCATCAAGACATTGGCTCCTACTTATATATACTATGAATAGGAACATAATCATCATCATCATGATGATCATTTTTACGATGCCAGTATTTTGTTTTTTGTTGTTTTTTATTATCATCGTCATCATCATCATCATGATCAAATGATCATTCTTTTTCTAGATGATGATGATGATGAAAAGTAAAATTTCCATAAACAATTCTTTTGATTGAACATTAAAAAATGGACACAAGTTTTGAAAAAAAAAATCAAAATAATGGTAACAATGTATATATATATGAATGAATTGATTGTGATCCAGAAAATATTATTGTTTCGGACAATACACTCAAGTTTGTTTGATTGATCATCAAACGAACAAAACAATATTTGACTTTTGATGAGATTCATAACCCTCATTTTTTTTCAAGGAGATTTTTTTTTTTTAATGATCATCTCAACATTTTATGATGATGATGATGAACAAAATTGATGATAAACACATTGACAGACTGAATGGTTAAAAAACGACAATTCATCCGAATCATCGTTAATAAGGGTTATATATACATTACAATTAAGTCGGCTTGTTATTGTCATCATTATTTTTTTTTTTTTTATTAGTGACAATTATCATTGTCATTGTCATTCAAATTATCATTATCATCATGATGATCAACAACAATCATTGACAAGTACAAATTGTCATCATAAATGAGATGATGATGATGATGATGAAAAGAAAATGAAAAGGTTATAAAGATATTCACCTATCTATTTATTTTTTTTAATCACCAAGGTGATGGTAATAAGTGAATAATGAGAATATTTTTTCGTCAATTTTCCTTGGAAAATTTCTCGTTTTTCAATCTAATTTCATTACAACACAATGTGACGCATCAATGTTTTTTTTTGGCACTAGTAACAACCTGCAACAACGCATTACGAATTTATCAAGAAAACAAAAAGTGGATTAATGATAAAAAAAATCTGTCAAAATATTGACATCGTAATCCATCATGACATGTGTGTTGTGAATACGAATAAGAATTCAAAACACACAAAACAAAAAAAAATCTAATCCAAAACCTATGATGATCAGTTGAAGAGTTGTAAGCAATAAATTTTGCAAAATAATGTTTTGACAACAGATTCTAATGGATTCAATTCAAACAAAACATTTGCCAAAATTCTTGTCTTGTCAAGAATTCAATGACAACAACAACAACAACAAAAAAACAAGAATTATTATCCCACAGAGTAGAAATAAATCAATTTAAAGCGAAATAAAAATCATCCGAATAATCTTTTAAATATTTATCATGCAATGAAATTGAAAATAAAAAACAAAAAAACAAAACAAAAACTTACCTGCAATAGCCATCCAAGGATAGAAAGAATTTGGTCCACCAGCCGAATTCATAGCGTTTGCATTACAACAAGCTGCCGACCAAGCATCAGTAACAACTGAACGTTGACATGCTGCTGCGGCAGCTGCATCAAATGATGAACGCATTGCCATTGCATCCATACCGGTATTTGACATTAATCCACCAGCAACACCACCACCACCACCACCACTATTTCCGCTTAAATTACCACCAACATTATTACCGGCACCAATATTATTGCCAATAATATTATGATTAGATTGAGATGATGCAACAACAACCGATGATGGTGATGGACGTAATGATGATTGCCATGCATTGGCTATTTGATGATGTGATAAATGATGATGTGTATTATTATTATTATTATTATGATGATTATTATGATGATGATGACTACTACTACTACTACTACTATGCGAATGATGTTGATTATCAGCTGTTGATGATGATTTATATGAATTATTCGTATTATCATTCTTATTATTATTATTATTATTATTGGTATTCGTATTCGTTGTCGATGTTGTTGGTGAATCCATTGATTTGAATGCGGCTGCTGCTGCAGCCGCAGCTACAGCTGCATTATTTGTTATACCATCGGTTGTACCATATAATTTACATGCAGCATCAACATAACTTGTTGTTACTAGATCATGATTAGTAAGTAAACCATTATTAATTAATGATTGACCATTTGTTTGTTGCTGTTGTTGTTGTTGTTGTTGTTGTTGTCGTGAATTATTATTTGTTACTGATGATGATGATGGATATGATGATCCTGATGATGCGGATGATGATGATGTTGATGATCCTGATGCTGAAACAGCAACAGCAGCGGCAGCAGCAGCCGCTGTTGGCATTAATGATAATGCAGCCGATTGTGAAAAACTACGATATGCAGCTTGATGTGCTTCAGCTGCGGCTGCTGCATTATAAAAACCATTCGCTGTTGTTGAATGATCAAAATAGGCTGTGTTCATCATTTTTTCGTTTTTTTTGGTTTTTCTTATGTAACAAAAAAAAAAAAAGTTCGTTCTAATTTTTATTATGATGATCCACACACACACACACACACACACACACACACGCACATAAACACACAAACAAACAAACAAACAAAGGAAACACTCAAAACAACAATAACGAACGTGGGGCCCAACAAAGTTTCAAAGTCGTAAAATAAAAAAAAAATTTCACCATAAAAAAATAGGGGCCAACATTGACGATGATTATGAGAATCGTGTCCACTTTATCTATTTAGATGGATTTGGATACTTTGTTGTCATTTTGGTTATTATTGCCGTTTGATTATATTATTATTATGATGATGATGTGAATTTGAGGCCCATGAAACATGAAAAAAAATGTAAATTGCATAAATGGTAATCTTTTTGGTGATCATCATCATCATCATCTTTTTTATATATTATTCCGGTTAATGTTGTTGTTGGATGAAAAACAAAAAAACAATCACACAAAATGTTATGATGATGATGATGATGAGTTATGGTCGGTCGATTTAAGGTCATCAAATTGAAATAATTTTTTTTTATGACCTTTTTCAAGAGTATGGTTGTTGATCATTTGATGGTTGTTACGATGACCATCATTGTTACTAGATGATGATGATGATGATGATGATGAGGTTTAAAGAATCAATAAAAAAAAATTGACGACGACGACAACAACAACGCACAAAATACAAAAATTTTTTATGACCTGAAAAAAAAATTTCCATAAAACGAAACAAACATTAATCCAGGCAGACAGAATTATTACCGATAATCGGTCATGTTTGCATCTTGTTTTCTTTCTATTTTTTTTTACGTTTTCACATTATTATTATTATCGATTGATTAATCAATTAATCGATTGATTTTGATTGTGGTGACAAAATAAATTCTCATTCATTCATTCATTCATAACACAAAACATTTTCTAATTCAATATTTCCATATGATGATGATGACGATGACGATAATCATAACAATAATTGTAAATGATAATTGTTAAATAATTTTTTTTTTTGATGATGATGATGATGATAATGGCTAATGGTTATAATTATGACCATCACCATCTTACATTTTCATATATTGATGATGACAATTTTTTAATAAATCGTTTTGTTTTCAAATGTAAAAAAAAAAAAAATTTTTTCCATTTCTTATTACTTCAAACAACACGGCTAAATTTTGTTTGAATGAATGAATGGTGAATGGTGAATAATAATAATGATGATGATGATGATGATTATTGGCCAAGTCCACATATAACAAAATTTTTACAATGATGATGTTCTTCTTGATCTTATTTTCGTGGTGGTGGTGGTGGTGGTGGTAGTTACCAATAGTTGTGGTGGTGGTAGTCTTTGTGATAGTTTCTATGGTGGTGGTGGTGGCGTTGGTGGTGGTGGTGAAAATCATAAATCTACATCCTGCAATGCAGTGTATTTTCGTGTGTGTTTGTGTGTGTGTGTGTGTGTGTGTGTATTTTTTGCTGTCCTGTCTCCACTACAACACGAATGATGATTTGACAAACTAAATTTTTGAAAGTAAATCATCCAATAGTGGATGTTAGTGAACATTGTCGTTTAGACAAACTGGTATAAAAATTACCGAAAAAAAAGGAAAATTCGTTAACGAAAAAAAAACCAAGAATTTTATTCAGGATACACACACACAGATAGAGAGACAGACAGACAAAGAAAAAGAGGAAACAAAATGTTCAAAGTTTTAGAGAGTGTAGTCCACTCTTCAATTTCTATGTGTATATGTGTGTGTGTGTGTTGAAACTTCTTCTTCTTTCAATTTTTCAAATTAACATCATCATCATCATCATGGTTTAATCATAATCAAAAAGAAGAAGAATAAGAAATAGAAAGAAAAAGATTCTATCTCACAATCCTGAATACTACTACACTACTACTACTACTACTATTGAAGAAAAATGAAAAAAAAAATTTTATTATCCACACACACATCTCATACACACCCTCTTTCCTTTTTCTTTGTGTGTGTGTAAGTGAGAAAGAGAATGAAGAGAAATAGAAAAAGGGCGCAAAGAGGGAGGAAATGAAAATACATTTAGAATGATGATGATGAGAAACTGAACTGGAAGTAAAATTTTTTTGTTATTTCAGCGTGTTCTGTGTGAGTTATCCGACTGATTTCATGGTGTGTTTTGCCCACGATCTCTTATAACCAGCATACGTAATGGGCACGCCCATTATTTTTTTTTTATTTGTTCATTCATTTTTTGACGTGCGCATATTACACCGCATTTTCTAAGTATGTGTGTGTGTGTGTGTTTTTCGATATAGCTGGTTTTCGGTATGATGGTTTGGAAAAAATTTTGATAACAAAGAAAAACGGGCGTGTTCTCGCGTACACACACACATATATTGCTACTAAATGGATTTTTGTGCAAACAACAGAAAAATCTGCTTGTCAATTTTCAATTTTTTTTCCATCATTTTCTTCATTTCCAAAAGCGAAACAAACAAAAAAATTACCAAAATGAAATCGGGTGGATAATTTTTTTTTTTTTTGTAGTGAAAACCAATTTCGATTTCTCGAAATCGACTAATTTGTGAGAATTCGATTGGATTCGTCCATCACAACACAAATGCATGGATAGATGGATTATATTTTTTTTTTTCGTATATACAAAAATCGAAATTCAAATGGAATAAATTTGAAAAAAAAAGAAGAAAAAGAAGAAAATGACACAAATTCAAACATATGGCTACGATCATCATCATCATGTTCGATTTTTCAAGAATCAGAAAACATTTAAACATTTTTTTTTTGCTGTTTAAATTTATAATATCAGATGCTATCATCATCATCATCATCATCATGGTAACTTTCTTTTTTTTTCTCTTTTGTTTCTCATTTCATTCATTCAATTTAACATCACTTCTTTTTTTTATGGGCAATAATATATAGGTATATGACATCAAATTTTGTCTCTCTCTCTCTCTCTTTTTTTTTACCACTCTTGACTCTGAATACGCGTGTGCGCGCCTCTAGTGATAATCACATTGACAACATTGGAATTTTTTTTTCTTATTTTATTTCATCCGTGTATTTATAATAATAATAATAAATGTCAATCAAATGAAAGTGGAAAAAAGAAGAAGAAGAAGACAAAATTGAAAGTATATTAATAGTACATGAATTTAGTTGAAACAGACAAGAATTTTTTTTTTTTTTGAATGAACATCGAGTGAATAAAAAACGAAAGGCCAGTATTCAGATGACCAATCAAATTGGTAAATTAATCTAAGAAAAATCGAGAAAAACAAGAGCAGAAAACTGTTCAACTCAATCATCATCATCATCATCATGTCATTGTCTCAAACATTCAACATCATTTACATGACATTTGACATTTAGTTCAAACTATAAGGAATTTGACTGTATTAATAATAACACGTAATGTATGTAATATTTCTTTTTTCCAAGTTTTTTTGTGTACATTTTTTTTTTTCATCGATCCTATTGTATGCGTGTGTGTGTGTGTCTGACTGTTTTTTTTCACTAGTGTAATTTATGCCTCCTATATCCTGTTCTTTTTTTTCATTCTCCCTACAAGCTTTAAATATAGTTTAGACGTTTTTGTTTTGTTTTGTTTGGTATCACGAAAAAAAAGGTCAGACCCATCATCATCTGGTCACCAACAACAACAACAACAACAACAGAACGAAGAAAACAGCCATCAGTCCATGGTCAACGAAACACACACACAAAGCATTGATATCGAGTTTGAATCAAACACAAAATTATAATGGAAAATTCAGAACCAAAAAAAAAAAAAAATAATGGAAACAGAAACAGAATTGACACAAAATCAAATTTATGTGTTTACCAATTGTATAGTGTGTTGTTGTGTGTATGTATGTATGTTGTATTTTCAACCATCCAAAGATGACTTGTTCTTTTTCTTTTTTCTTTGACATTTATTTCATCAATGGTATTGTCGTCGTTGTTGTTGTTGTTGTTGTCATCTGAATATTGTTTGTGTCGAATGTTCAAACGAGAAAAAAAATATCAAAAATGATGGAATGAAATTGAATTGAACCTTTGACTTTTGACCACATACAATTGAAGATGATAATATGTTTTTTTATGCATTATATTGAGATAATGTGGCCTGTTTTCTCTCTCTCTCACACTCATCGACTTTACAATTCGGTAACCACATTATGATAATAGTTTTTGATGCCAATCATCATCATCATCATCATCAATGGTATTGGTCAACTTTTTAAAGACTCTCTCTCTCTCTATGATCGGTCGTGGTTATTAGTGATAATGGTAACATAACACAAGAGACCATTTGTGTATAGAAAGAGAGAGAGAGACAAAGATCAAAATCGAAATTCAAAAATAAAAAAAAAAAAAAAAACAGAAAAAAAACAGAAAATCAATTGAATTGACCGCCAACAAGAAGATCACATTGGAAAAGAAAAAAAATTTTTTTTTCTTTTCTCTATTCAACGATGACGATGATGATCGTTAAAGATACCCATACCGTTGTTGTTGTTGTTGTTGTTGTTGATGATGATTCAAATTATAGGTCCGAAAATAAAAATCAATATCACCATTCATTGAATTCCTCTTTTCAACGCAGACCAAATAACATTCAAATCGTAGATAAATATGTAATAACAGATACAATATTTGGTTTCATGATCTCCGGTAATGAGTCAATAAATGCACGAACAACACGAACAACAAGAATGTTTGCATGCAAAATTGAAGAAGATTACGAATTCAAATCAGCTGATGAAACATTTGAAAACTTCATTCAGCCAGAAATACAAATGAATAAATATATTAAAGATTATAAAACAGATAATATAATGATGGGTGAAAGCAATAGATATGTGGCATCATTGTGTTGGATTTCGAAATACAAAGACACAATTAGAAACAATGAATGGTATGCAATTATACGACTTCAACAATTGTTAAAAATGCTCAAGAAGCGAGAATTAATTCAAGAATATGATAACAAATTTAAAGAAATGATCGAAGCGGGATATGTCGTCAAAGCAGCACGAAATGAAATTCAATACTTTTTACCACATCGACCAGTTATAAAATCGGAAAGAACAACAACAAAGTTGCGTATTGTAAAAGATGGAACCTTTAATTCAAGAAATCAAACATCAATTAATCAAGCATTGTATAAAGGAATAGTAGCAGCCGATGTAATGAAAACGTTAATTCGGTTTCGTGCAAAGAAAATTGGGTTTACAGCGGACATTGAAAAAGCTTTCTGGCAAATTAAGGTAGCAGAAAACGACCAAAGTTACTTAGGCCTAATTTGGATCGATTCACAAGAAAAATTCGAATATTTTAAAATGACTGTTGTACCGTTCGGATTAACATGTTCGCCATTTATATTGCAATCTACTATACAGAAGCATTGTGAAACAACGAAATTACATCCAGAAGTAGCAAGTGAATTGTCATCGAAATTTTATGTTGATGATTATGTGAATAGCGTAGACAGTATAACAAATGCAATCGAACAACGAACAAAAATCACTGAAATATTACGTGAAGCTAATTTCAACATTAGAAAATGGACCATGTCTGGTGATAATACAGACCCTAATCGCATTTTGGGAATATGGTGGAATCCTCAAACTGATATGATTAATTTATGTGAATCCAAGTTTGAAATTCCGATAAAATTCACACGAAGATGTATTCAATCAATATGTGCAAAAATCTTTGATCCATTAGGTCTGATATCACCAGTGAAAATTCTCTTACGAAAATTTAATCGAGAAGCATGTCAATTAAAGCTAGAATGGGACGATGAAGTGCCTATCGAAATGAATAAAAAAGTTCACGAAGCTGTAACGAATATGAATGAATTAATCAAAACAATGAAAATGCGAAGAACAATTGAAAATTCAGAATCCATTTCAATCTATTGTGATGCATCGGCTGTAGCATATGGAGCTGTGGCATATTTGTGTAATGAAAAAGAGAAGATATTGCTCGTATCGAAAAATTATCTCTCTGGTAAAACTACAATACCGGAATTAGAATTTCAAGCAGCAATAGTTGGGATCCGCCTTATGGAAACATTAAAACCAATTTTTCCCGACCATCAAATGATGATGACGAAAGATGACGATGATGATCGTTAAAGATACCCATACCGTTGTTGTTGTTGTTGTTGTTGTTGATGATGATTCAAATTATAGGTCCGAAAATAAAAATCAATATCACCATTCATTGAATTCCTCTTTTCAACGCAGACCAATTGATGAAAATGTAGATCAACAACAACAACAACGACAACAACAAAATGATATCAATACACGCAAATGCAATACCGAAAAATTTTTGGATTCAGATTAAATATATAATAATAATATGATGATGATATGATGATGACATCGATGATGTAAATCTGTGAATACAAAAAAAAATTTGTTATTCAAATTGGCCAAAACAAAAATTGTAAACAATGTGTTATTATATATATGTGGCCATCGAATGTTTCAACTCATGATGATCATCATGATGGAATATTGAAGTTTTTTTTTTGATTATTTTCTTTCCATTTGGCGCGACATTCTAAACGAGACTAATAACTCTTTTCTTCTAGTCTTCGTGATCATCATTATTATTGTATTTCAGTTGAGAAATTTTTGCCATAATTTTCCCCAACATCATCATCATCAGCATCAACATTGAATAATTCATATCATCATCATCATGATGATTTCACCCTGGGTCATGTTTATTTGGCTAGAACTAGACAACAAAGAACAAGATTGAATCTTCTTTCGAATGTTCGACCATTTTTTTTTGTTAATCTTGACCAAAAAGACTTTTTTTTTCTTCTTAGAAAGATGATGATGATCATTTTCTTTTTTAATTTATGATCATTTTCTATTTTGGCGTCGTCCATGTCGTCGTCTCGCAGACGTCTTCGTCCAAATTATTGGAGCCGTAGTACTTTGTAACCAAAAAAACAGAAATTTTTTTTATTCATCTTTTTTTCTGTTTCTGTTGTTGTTGTTGTTGTTGATGATGATGTGAGTATGAAAAATTTTTCTACAATTTAAATTAAAAATAAAAAAAAAATTTTATTGGTTTTTTTTCTATGTAAACAGACATTTGAATATATAACACACCTTGAAGACGACGAATGTCCACAATTGATTTCACTTTTTCAAAAGTGATGCTGCTAAATCCATTGATTATCGAACAATTTGTTCATGTGTCATTGTCATCGAAGATGATCAGCTTTGGCCAACTTGTATGAAAAATAAACACGTGTTTAGCACATCATTATCATTTGGGCCACGTAATTGATTTGGTCATAAATTTTGAAAACAAAAACAGAAAAAAGAGTTATAACATCGTTGTCGACAAATGTTTTTTTTTATTATTCTTGCTGTGCTGCTGCTGCTGTCTATAAAGAAAAAAAACCCACGCAATTTTTTTTTCTTCAATTGAGATTTTCATTGCCAAAGTTTTGTTTATTTATTTTGAAAAAAAATTGTTAGAGTTGCTGCTGCTGATGCTGATTTTAATCATCAAATGTGGATGAATATTAGCACACACATACCATAATGATAATAATTTCGAATCCGTCGCCAATTTGATACTTTTATTAACTCGTCACAAAATACAAGGGTGAACGAATTTTTTTTGATCATAAAAATTATATATTCGTATACAATTAATAACTTATATATATGTTCCCGTGGTTGTGTTGTTTGATTTTTTTTTTATTTTTATTTTTTACGACGATTAATGATGCACGCTCTTCACGGTGATGATGATGATGATGATGATGATGAACGTTTGTCGATAATCGATGAAAATTTTTCTTTTTTTTTTTATTTTCATTTTATTTTATGACCATTTTTTTCGCCATCAAATAAACGCAGACATTTAATATAACACATCAAATAAAACAATGAACATTATGATGATGAACATGAAAATCGAACAATTTTTTTTCAATAGTTTGAATTGTCATCTATAGATGGTGCTGTTTGTTATGATAATAATCATCACCAAACAAGTGGTGACATCTGTTTTTTTTTTTCGTAATATATAAATTTTTTTCGAAAACGATTTTTCATTTTTGTTTATTTATTGAATTTGTTTTTCATTCATTCATTTGGTATATTTAATATAAATTGATAATGATATCCTAAATAAATTTTTTTCATGTTTCAAATTTCAAACAAAATCTACAATAGCAGTGTAATGACCAGAGTGATTAGTAACGAAATAATGTTTTTTCGGTGTATCATCATAAAGGCCGTCATCAGAACCGGAATCCGAATCATTCGTTTTCAATCTTAAATGTAGTCAACTATTATGTCGTTGTTGTGACAATGTGTTTGGACAAAGCCATTGTTTTGTGGAAATTGTTTGCAAACGATTGATTTGTTTTCGTCCCCAAAAATACCAAATTATACCGATGATTGTAAATATAAATGTTTCAATATAATAACCATCTAACCATAGTGTACATTTACCACCACCACCACCACCATTAGCTATACAGGAATCATTTTCATCGTTTTTGGTTGTTGTCAATGTACATTTTGATCCATCAATTGAACAATATGATAAACTAATATAATCAATAAGCCATAATGCCAATGTTGTTGGCCAATTTCCACCCAAATTGGTTATAGTATTCAACAATGTCATATAAGTACCACCAATTGATGGATCGGAAATTTTTGCATGAAATGCCATTATAGCTACATACATACTATAAACGGTAATTTGATGTAGAGCATAAAGAATGATCAGAACGACATAATAATAAAGTGGAAAATATGAATATCGATCGTATAGTGTTCGTGTCCACCAAAGAAGACCGGCAAATATGAAACAGAATATTAAACTAAAAGAAAAATAATGAATTAATTAATGAAAAAATTTCAATTAATAGAACAATTAACAATACCGGAATGGATAAGCACGAAGAAAAACATCCAATGGTCGTGGTCCATTCGTATAACGGCCAATAATCCATGGTAATATCATTTGTAATGGTAACATTGGAATGGCCATCAATGCAATATGATCCATTGGTAGACCAGCTTCTTTCAATTTCAAACCGGTGGCTGCATCGGTAATGGCAAAACCAATTTTACAGGTAAGCAATACGGCAGCAAAATTCTGTACCGGTCCAAGTTTCATTATTTGAATCAATCTCGAATACGTTTGACGGATGGACATATTTTCTTCACCATTTTCATGAACAGATGGTTTTTCTCTTTTGAATATCATTACCATTGTTGTGGCAACAATGAAAACAATACCCCAGAAGAAAAAGAAACCATGTAGGCTGACCAGACCTTCAGTCTGTGGTTCATCACGAAAATAATTCGCAAAATCGTGGTGATTCCAGAATCAAAAACACCACATAACCAAGGAAATATCCACTTGTCTGACCAACCGTATTACATGTAGAAGCATAACCAACATTCCATGGTTTTAACATTGTTAATGCCCAACCATCAACAGCAATATCTTGAGTTGCTGCAAGGAAATTCAATATTAAAAACATTGCGGTCAATAGATAAATGTTTGGTCCATCGATTGCATTGATCATTGAATCTAGACAATATGAAATGATTATCATAAAGGCACCGATTAAGTATTGAGCCGGTATCATCCATGATTTACGACGTCCAAAACGAGATGAATAAACGGAATCAACGATTGGTGCCCATAATAATTTACAACTAAATGGCCATATTGCGAAACTAAATATTGCCTGCTGTGAATAACCGATACCATGATTTAATAGAAGCAACGGTACACCGGAGATCAGACCTATTGGAATGCCTTGTAGTAGATATAAAAATAATAATATTGCAATATTCAGATAATCTCCTTGTAGATTAGGTTGCTGTACATTTCGTATCGATGTGGATTGTTCATCGGATTCTTCATTATCAAATGAATTCTGTATTCTTTCATGATGTTTTTGTTGCCGTCTTTGGTTTGATGATGAATGTTTTTTTCTTTCCATTAGAGCAAACAAACAAAAAAAAATGCTCACTTTATGGAAAATGATGATGATGATGAAATAAAATATCTGACTGATTACTAGTTGAAATGATGAATAATTTGGTTTGTTTATCACTGAATCTGGTATTTTTGCTGTCAACAAAAATTGATGACGATTACAAAAAAAAAAAAAAAATCAATAGTACACGAGTTTGAAAATTTGCCCAATTAATACTGTGCAAGTGTTTTTTTTGTTGTTGTTGTTGATGATTTACAAAATTACACGAGCTGTATTTATTTATTTATTTTTATTCGTATGTGAATTTTATGATTCAATATATTGAATATTGAATCGAAACCGAATTATGTCTTCAATATTCTTGCCGGCTGCTATAATTCCTATTTCGAATCATAATTACCAGAAATCATCGAATACCATTCAATTTAAATGTACGGAAAAAAATTGTCCATATGGACCATCGGGTTTGAAATTTTTTAAAAAAGAAATTTTTCTACAAAATGTAAGTAATCAATCAATCAATCAATCAATCGATTTGTTTGTTTGTTTTTGCACTCATCCACCATTTGTTTGTTTTATTTGTAGCATATGAAAAATATTCATGGTGAAAAAAAATTTCAATGTTCAAAATGTGAACAAAAATTCGGCCTAGAATTTCAAATAAAATATCATGAAAAATATTGTGGTCAACAATTATGCTGTGCAACATGTATGAAATGTTATGATAAACCAACATCATTATTGATGCATTGTAAACGTTTAGGTCATCGATTACCGGATGATGAAAGTTTTAAATTTCGTAAACCTAAATCCGAATCATCAACGGAATGTACAAATTGTTTGAAAGGTAAAAATTTCATTCTGATTCCAATGATGGCCACAACAATCATTCCTGAAACAACTTGTGATATTTCTATAGTCAATGATGATCATAATAATCTGAACAAGTCTCATAATAATGGAAATAAATTTATACTGCCAAAAAACACTGCTGGAGATTCGAAACAAACCCAAACATTGATGAATAATAATACTGATAAAATTATACTGAAAAATGATTCTAACGACAGAATTGGTAAACGAAGTACAGAATGTCAAACAATTCGAAAACGTCATCGAAGACATTCACGTCCAATCGAATCGAACAGTATTCAAACACAAACAATGTATTCATCATTCGATTTACCATCGGTAATGATTAATCATAGTGATCATGATGCTGCTGGTTCTCGTAACGATGAAAAGGATTGTCAACGAAGAAAAATATTTCCATTGAAAAATTTCGATTCACCCACCACCAATATGAATGTAAAAAGTACTCATCATTCAACATTTACACAGACATTATTTGATGAAGAAATGGAAAATGATTCTACATCAATCATACAACATCATGACGATCCATTTATGATAAAATCATCGATAATAATTGAAGATGATGAAGATCGGCAACAACAACAACAACAACAATCTACTCATAGAAACAATAATCATGATGATGATAATCTCGATGTCGAAACAAATAATCATCGATCATTATATCAGAATATTGAAACACAAACAAAAGAAGATGATAATGATGATTGTTCATGGGATCATCATCATCATCATGATGATGATTTAAGATTTAAAGAATTTTTTGAATTTGTCGATATTGAAACACAAACCATATGGAATTATGATCAAACAACACAAACTGATCATCATCATCATTCAGATGATTGGTCTGTGTTTCTTAATTAATCACAATATATCAATAATGAAGTTTTTTTTTAATAATAATAATTTGAATATTATGATGATTTTGATTGATAAAATGATTTCTGTCTTGTTTTTGTTTTGTTTTTCGGTGTGATTAAAATTAAAATTCATATATATAATACAAAAATTAATAGAAAAACATTAATAGATATGGTGGTGGGGGGTGGTGATGTGTGCACAATAATGTTGAAATGTTAAATGCTCAGCAAAAAAAAAAAAAAAATTGAATAATAATTTATACATTTGTGAATAATGTCCATTATTTACGATGATGATGATGATGATGATCAAATGTCAATGTTTTTTTACGAATATTTTTTTTTTGTGTAGTTTATATTTGGTTTTCAATTCAGTACATATTTTGTATTTTTTTTTCTGTTTGAGAACATATTTGTTATTTTTTTTTTGGATCACAGTTTGTTTTTTGTTGTGGTTTATTTTTTTTTTTTTTTTGATGTCATATTTTTGTTTTGTTTTGTCAATTGTTTTTCATAGAATACTTTTAACAGCTTCATCCAACATTGGATCATTTATATGTGACATTGTTGTTGTTGTTGTTGTTGTTGATGGTATAGCAAAACTATTCATCATCATCATTGTCATCATTGAATTGTTTGATGTTGATGTTGATGATGAAAAATGATGATGATTATTCGTCATCATATTTGCTGTGGTAGAAGACGATGATGATGATGATGGTAATAACATCATCATCGATGTTTGTTGTTGCAAATTATGATGATGATTTTGATATGACATTTCATTATTATTCATCATTGATGATGATGATGACATATTATCATTGTTCATATAATAAGAATCTGAAGGCATCATTATACTTTTAATGGCACAATTCATTTGCATATCAGCAGCCGATGTATTGTTATTATTTATTATTGGTCATAATATTTGCATTGGCAAAATTCGTTGCACTACTAATAGTCATATTAGATTCTTTTCCATTATTATCTGAATCAAATGATTGTTGATGATTTTCAAATAAATCATCATCTTCACCATCGAAATGATTATTTGATGCTGTCGCCGATGTTGTTGTTATAACATCATGTACATTATCCGATAATTCCAGGTTGGAAAAATCCATGGCACCATTATTATTATCATTATGATCTTCTGTGGTCATATTATTGTCAACATCATTATCACCAATAATTGATTGTACAGCAACAGCTGCTTCCGTTTCATTAACATTACCATATGAACGTGTTGACCATGACAATGATGATGATGATTGACAACCACCACTAGTTGATGTGGATCGACCAAGAAAATGATCATGATTTCTATGATGATGATGATGATGTGATGATGACAATGAATTGGCTGTCGAACCAAGCATATGATGATTATTTGAATCATTTGGCCATAATAATGAATTATGATTATTACCAATCAAATCATTTGTATCGGTAATATTTGAATATAATGCTTCAAGATCATCATCATCAACAACATCCGTTATGGCTGCAACTGTTGTTGTATTTGAATCCAAGTTTTGATTACATCTTAATAATGATTTATTATTATCATCATTATGATGATCATCATCCTCTAAACCGTCTATCTCGAAAAATGAAGTCGAATCATTATTCATATCTGAAGATGAATCTAATTTAATTAATTTATCAACATCATTATCATTATCTTCAGCATTAGTATTGGTGGACATCAATTTAACATTCTTCACCATCGATTGATCGACAATCGATTCTTCATCAAAAATATCGCAAAGTGCATTCAAATCTGAATTCAATTCAGAACTGGAAAATAAATTTGTTGTCGTCGCGGTTGATTCCAATAGAAAATCGGCTGCAGAATCATCTTCAAATTTTCGTTTTAAATTTTCATTGCTAAAATAATCTATTTTCATAAATTCATCAGCATCATCAATAAATGAATGTTTTTGTCCAATTTCTTCATTCTTTTGATTGTCTTGTTGTTGTTGTTGTTGTGGTGGTGGTGGTGATGGTGGTGAATCAAGCCAACATTCGGGTAAAGGTGGTAAATCTAAAACTATTGAAAGAGAAAAAAAAGTTTTAAAATTTACATAAAATTCTTAACCATACCACAAAATACATACCACCACCTGATGCAACCAATTCTTTATCCAATTTTAATGCAACCGTTTCTTCATTTATAATCATACGATTAACCATTATTTGTTCAGAAGAAGGTGAAGATTTCTGGAATTGATTAATTTTTTTAAAATAAAATTTTCAAACCCATATTCAAACACACTAACCATACTATCTTTTAGGATGAGAAAACGAAATTTATCATATAATTGTTTACGTTTATACAACAATGTTTGTGATGCTTGTTCAAAAAGTTCATCAACTAAATGAGCGAGAAAAAAAGATTGAATAAAAATCAAATTGAATTGAATTGAATGAAAAAACATTACATTTTTGCATCTGTTTTTCTGACAATTGTTGTTGATCAAATACATGATAACGTAATAGTCGTTTACAAGCATCATCACGTGAACGAAACGGTGTACGACAATCCGGATGTAATGCCGTATTCTGATCGGCATGTAATTGTGATTGTATCCTATTTTTTTTTGTTTGCAATTAGAATTGTTTTTAAATAATTTTTCATCAGTAACTTACGCTTTAAGAATATTAGATTTTGGTTTCTCTTGTTTAACAATCACCGGATTTGTCGCCACTGGTGGTGTTGGTGGTGTAGTTTTTGTCTAAATTTAAAAAAAAACAATAAAATTGAAATGAAATGTTTAAACGAGAATAAAAAATACTTTTGCATCCGATTGATGAATGGCTGCTGCTGTTCCAGTTGCCGTTTGTATCAAAGTCGTCGTCGATGGTGATGAAGATGGAATTAAAGGATTTGAAATTGAATGTACTAATTGTATGGAATTTGAATCAAGAATTTTTGGACCAAGAACAAATTTCACTGTAGTCGGTACTGTATTATTCATCACTGTCATCGTTGTTGAAGTGGTCGTAACAGTTGTTGTTGTCGTTGCCGGTGTTGTTGTTGTAATCGATTGATGATTAACAACGGCGGCAGCAATCGTTGCTAGTGATGTTTTAATTTGTGTAACCGATTGTGTTGACCATGTTGATAATTGCAACACTTGTGCTACTTTATCCGAAATTTTTATCTGCGGTATTTGATTCGGTATGATTGGCTGTGATTGTATCAATGATAATGTCTGCTGTAATTGTTGTAATTCTTGTTGTAAATCTTTTTGTTGTACAAAATTTTGTTGCTGCTTGATTTGGTTATCTAATCGTTGCATTAGTTCACCAATTTGATTCGTACGATTCAATGTTGCAATTGGTATACGTTTATCATTTAAAAACATTATTGTTCCAGGAATCAAAACCGTTGTATATGTTGTTGTTTGTGTTGTTGTTTGACCGCTAGTCATTATAGGCAATGTTGGCTGTTGTGATATAACTACAGCCGTTGTCGTAGGTTGACTAGGCTTTATCGATTGATGATGATGATGATGATGATGATGATGAATTGAACTTGTATCGGCTGTACATGCTGTTGTTGTCGTCGTCGTTGTAGGTAATGTGGATAATGATGATATCGATGGTTTTAATGATGAAACATTTGTTGATGATAAACTTGATACAACTGAATCATCGACATTATTATCCAATTTTTGATTACATGAATCAATACTGCTAGACATTTTAATCGATGATTGTATGGCCAATGATTGTGGTGTTTGTGTTGTAATAATCGATGGCGATGAACATGTTCCACCAGCATCGATACTTGGTGTTGTCGAATCCGGTGATGGTTGTGATGATCCAAGACCACTGGAATTATCATTCATCAATGATTGTTGTTGTTTACTACTACTATTTTTAGATTGACCAATCATCGATTTGGCAGTCAAATTATTAATATTCTGGTTTTGTTGTTGTGGTGGTGTTGTTGTTGGTAATAAAGTATTTGAATTTGGTGATAATAATACAATAGTTCCATCCGGTGTTAATGATATCCTTAATTGTTGTGTTTGTGATGATTGTAATGGTGGAACTAAAGTTGTTGCCGCTGTTGTTGTTGTTGTTGACGCTGTCAAATTCTTCGGATGTGATTGTTGTTGTTGTTGATGAGCTAGAAATAGATTCGAATTGGGAGGATTTGAGACCATCAATACGGTTTGTGATTGTGATGATGGTGGTAATGGTGTACCACTTATCGCCGTTGATGGATCAACCAGAACAGTGGCACTATTATTATCTTTTGTTTGTGTAGTTGGTACAGGTGATGTTGGTGGACTAAAATCAGTTAATATACCAGTTTCTTTAAGGAGATCTGCTAGATTAAGGCCTTTTGTTGTGGTTGTTGGATTATTCTGTGTTTTTGGTTTCGTCGTTTGATTTTTTTTATTATTGTTCGATGAAGACAGAATCGGTTGTTGTTGCTGCTGCTGCTGGTGGATTTGAGTTGATGAATCTTGATGATGATGAGAGGTTGCGAGCTGTTGCTGCTGCTGATGTATTTGATTAGTGAGTATCGTTTGTGGTAATGTTGCGGCACCGCCACCAAGATTCAACGGAATTGATGGTTGTTGTTGATGATGCTAATCGGGTTTGTTGTTAATGAAAATAAAGTATTACCAATTTGAATTGTTTGAGGTGGTTGTGGTTGTTGTAGTGGTGGTGGTGGTGGTGGTGGCGGTTGTGGTTGCTGTATCTGAGGTTGTGACGGTTGTTGTTGTTGTTGTGAGGAATTTAGATTAACCGAAAGTAATATTGGTCCATTTGGTGTTTGTATTTGTATTAATTGTGGTGTTGTTGAATTATTTGTAACTGCCGTTGTTGATGATGATGTTGGCGGTAGTGGTGGTGGTTGACCAATTATTTGTGGCCGAATAATTAGATTACCTGGTGTTTGTCCTGTTCGAAGGGCCGTTAATCCACTTGATTGACTAACAATCGGTGTTGTCGATGTATTTTGATTCAATAAGATATGATTTAGTTGTGCTGCAGTCATAGTTGATGATGATGATGATGATTTAGGAATTGTTAATTGATTTAATGTTCCATGATCATTATTATTATTTGTTGTTGTTGTTGATGCGTTAGTCAATGCATTCGGATTTACAAATAATGTTTGTCCGGCCAAAGAACCAGGACCAGTTGGTCTAATTGCTAATAATTGTTGATTTGGAAATAATAATTGTGGCTGTGTTGCGAACGGTGTTGCTGTTGTTGGTCCGGCCAAATTATTCGATAGAAAAAATGTACCATTTGGTCCAGCAATAACTTGTGGTTGATTCTGATGACCACCGACACCTGTACTATGATGGCTACCACTCAATAAAAATTGTGTAGTACCTGGATTTGTCGATGTTGGAAAATTTGATGCCGTACTGACAACGGCTGTTGGTGTTTGAATGAATTTAATATTTTGTGAATTATTATTATTTTTCGAATTTCGTGATGATGAACCAGAATTAGGTTTCGGTAATATCTGTTTATTTGAAATTTTGGAATTTTTTCCTGTAACAGCCACCGTCGTTGTTGGCGTCAATATTGTTGACGATAGCAGTTGTTGTTGTTGTTGTTGTTGAATATTAATAGTTTGAAGATTATTATTCGATGTGGCAAGTGTTTGTATTGGTGGTGGCGGTGCCTGTGCAATTAATTGTGGACCTTGTGATGTTTGGATTATCTGTAATAATTGTGATCCAGTCGATGGATGTTGATGATGAGATAATGTTGATGGACGAGCAAATACAAATTGTTGTTGACCTTGATTATTCGACCCATTTGCGGCTAACTGTAAACCACCCGGTAATATAAAAGGTTGAGGTAACACAGTCATAGGTCTTGGACCTAATTGAAATTGTGGTGCAGCAGCTGTTGCTGCTGAAACAAATGCTCCTGTTGTCGATGTAGATGGATGTCGTACATTGTTGGATGATGCGGCAACATTCATTAAATTTGTAGTTATGGGTGATCCAGCGGCAAATGTCAGACCACCACCAGTTACAGCAACATTAGCTCCAAGTGATGTTAATGGTATTAGACCGGCCGAATTAAGAAATGTTGTTGGTGCCGCAGCCATAGCAATATTTGATGGAATACTAGTCGCTATGGCTGATGAACCAAGAATACCCGAAATCGAAGAGATCGTTGTAGTTGGTGTTTGCGTTGCCAATATATTCGTCACATGATTTTTCGATAATGAAAAACCAGAATTATTAGATTTAGTCGCAATGGTTGTTGATTTTCTAGCTCGTACTGGTTTTGTTGTTGTTGTTGGTGTTGTCGTTATTGTGGCAGCCATCGAAGATGAATTTGCCACAAGAATCTGCGATGTTAATGTTTTTGGAATAGTCAATACAGGATTGTTGTTATTTATAATATTTGTAGTTGTGGGTATAATAGCCGGTTGTGTTGCATTGGTGACCATCGTAATAGCGGCAGGTGATGATAATGATGATAATGATGTTGACGATTGATTAATTGTCGTTGTCGTAGTCGTAGTGATAATAGACGACGATATCGAATCATTTTTATTATTATTATTATTATTCTGATTAATTATAATTGATGTCGAAGCTGATGATAATGATTGCCCCGGTGGCTGTAATTGAATAATTGATTTTGATGATGGATTATTACCAATGACATTAGATGTGATGGCAGTATTAGTAAAAACAACAGCATTCGATGTTGTTGATGTTGTTGTTGTTGCACTTGAATTTGTTTGCTGTTGTGTACCACTATTGTTATTATTATTGTTATTACTATTGTTTTCCAAAAATGATTGTAATAATTGAGGATCATTGATGACATCAAGAAGACATCGACCTCCATCATCCATATTTCAGTTGAACATTTAATGTCTATATATATATGAAATGAAAAATAAAAAATTATTTTCCATGGACCAAAATATTGTTTCCAATAGATATTACCTTTATCATTTAAGTATTGTAGATCCAGATAATTATTTGTTGATGAAAATTATTTTTTATTTTAAAATCATCGATTATTGACTCATAAATCAATATAAATGACACACATTTCAAATTGAACAAAAAAAACAAACAAACAAACACACACACACACACACACACAGGAAATTTGTCAAATTAATTCCAGATAATAATAATAATAATATCCGATTATCATCATAATCAATGGATGTATGTATGTATCAAATGGATTGTATTGGCAGACGAAATGGCAAACATTCAATTGATTGATTGATCAATATGTAGATCTTATTTATTATTATTCTTTGTAGTCGAAAATATTTTGATTGATTTAGTAAGAAAAAAAATTCAAGATTAATTTTTTGGATAAAAAACGTGTTTTTTTATGCAAATTAGAATGATTATACCTTATGAATAATATATGATAAATGGGCAATGATGAGACAATAAATGGTGGTGGCAAAATTCATTTGATTCGATATTAAAATATCATCGACATTTTTTTGATATCATATGGCCAATTCTGACATTGAATTTTTTTTCAAAAAAAAAAAAAAAATAAATTTTCACATTACAGGTGAGTGTTGTTGAGTAGTGGAATATTATTGCAATTGAATAATAATTTTTTTTTAATTCTATACAACACACACACACACACTAAAACAGAATTAAGAATAAATTCTCATCATTTTCATTTTTTTGTTTTCATATTTTGGACAGCAAAACAAAACACACACACACAAATATAAACATTGAAAAATAATATATAAAGAGAGAATGTTTGTGTGTGTGTGTGTGTGTGTGATCATATCATTGTCGTCATGATGATGATGATGATGATCAATAACATCGAAAAAAAAAATCCTGAAAATGTGAAGAAAGAGAGAGAGAGAAAAATAAAATTAGGAGCAAAGGGCACAATCAATATAAGTGTTTGTGTTACATTGTGAATACACGACGATGATGATGATGATGAGTGGTGGATTCACAACAACAACAACAACAACAATAATCAACCATTTCCATTATATTTTATTCCAAATGAAATGAACATTTTTTATGAATAAAAATACCTGGCGGCATTTAGATTAAATGTGTATATACTACTACTACTACTACTATACTCTCGCAAATTACGACCACGGTACTGCCAGTTTTTTTTTTTTACTAAAGAAAAGCAAACATGCAAAAAAAAAAAAAAAAAAAATGGCAATACCGCTACCAATTCTGGTGATGATGATGTTGCATACATGAAAGATTTTTTCCGATTTGTACTTAAAAAATAAATCAACAAACTTTTAATGTATGAAAAATTGGATTTTTTTTGTCATTTCGAATGTTTTTTCGATTTTTTTTTTTTTGAAAAAAAACCTATAAAATAGTTCGATTATCGGAGCCATTACCTGTAAAGAAATTAATACACGTATTTATATAATAACAGCACAATATTTATACAGTAACAAATAGTTCATAATTCAATTAAACATTTATTATATATGTATGCTGTATTGTTGTTTATATTCAACAAACATTCACAAAACAATGTGTTAAAATAAAATAAAAATAATAATAATAAAAGAAATTTTTTTTTACAAAGATATTGTATTTTACAAAAGTTGCGTAGGGTTATTTTTTGTACGCCTGGATAGGTGAGAGGTGATGGAAATTTTTTTTCAAATCAATGGGCCAACCAATGGAAATAATAATAAAAACCGTTTGACTTTACGAGAATTGATGAAATAATAATGCTGAGTAATACACAGAAGAGAAATAAACAAGGAAATAAATAGAACAGCAAAAAACAAGAATACTTATTCGGTTCTAATGTTAGCATATAAATATACTATAAATGGAACCATTGTTCCAATTAATTATAAGAAACTTTTGTTGACATATATTAAATCAATATATTCGAACAAGAATTGAGCATGATCGATCTTCCAAGATTTCATTGATTGATTGATTGATTGTTTCAAATATGGATTGTTTTAAATTGTTGTCAGATTTTTTTGATTTTTTTGATGATAAAACCATCATTGGAGCTTCAATGTCATTATTTGCTTCGATGACATCGATCATTAATGGGCCAATAAGCTAACCAATGGAAATAAAAATTTGTGCTTGATAATCACGTCCAGGTCACCAATATGGTAGTGTATTTGTCAACAACATTACAATATTTCTTGAAAAAAATTGTATTTGTATGATAATTAATCAATTGTCGTTGGACAATTTCGAACTATTCGATTTGATTACAATGATCATTTTATATTTAGTCACTGATGCAATAGTTGTGTGTTCAGTGTGCGCGTGTGTTCAATCTCGCTCGGACTCGGAATTTTCGTTTGGAAACATCTCATTGTCATTCTCGGTCGAAATAGAAAGAGGTTACAATAGACTCTATTCAATAGAGGTATTTAAGTTTTGACAAAATTGAGAATAAAAAATTGAAAAAATTTTATTTGATTGATTGTCAGAATTATTTTTTTATCATTATTTATAGAGAGAGAGAGAGAAAAAAATGAATTTTTGTGCATTTTTGTCAATGCAAGAAATATCACAGGTGAAAAATGAAAACGAATAGAAAAAAAAAGAATTGAGATTGTCTAATCAAATGACAAACAAAAAAAAAATTAAATATAAAAATCGATGGATGGAATTTTTTAAAAATTTCGATCAATTTCGATTTCGATAAGATCGATAAAATTTTACAAAAAAAAATGCACAATGATGATAAAATTCATGTTGATGAATATTTTCTGTTTATAGACACGATGAATAATAATGTTGTGATGTGATTGAATCCATCGAATAGATAGATCTGTCTTTAAATATAGAATGCAATCCAATTTTCGATCCAAATTTTTCCATTGTCATTAATGTTGATTCAATTTTTTATTAGCCATTTTAATGGCATCAATATCATTAATTTTACTGTTTTTAATCAGATTCTGATATTGATGTATGGTTGGTTTTATATTCGATTGTTGTTGTTGTTGTTGCTGCTGTTGTTGTTGTTGGGGTGATATTGACGGCAATGGCTGATTCAAAATCGACATTGGAGGTGGTGGCGGTGTCATCATCAATGATGATGATGGCCGTGGAATATCATAATCATTTAAAGATGCTTGTCGCATAGTTCCGTTCATGTTAGAATTAGCACTATTTTGTTGTAAAAAATTTACTATATGTGTAAAGAAAAATAAATGTTTTCAACATTACAAATATAAAATTAGACAACAAAAAATAAAGAAAAACTTACGATCATCAGATGATTTAATGGCAGCCACCACTGTTGATTGTTCATTTGATGATTTTATCTGATTCATTTCATCGATTGTATGATAGAAATTGTTTGATTTATCCGATATTTTTGATTTTTCTTCATCAATGTCCATATATAGATTATTACGCGGTACTTCATAATTTTGATTTGATGAAGAAGCATTATTACTACCATCACCACAAGCGGTCGATGATAATTTATCCAATCCATTCAATTTTGAATGCATAAGATTAGTATTTTTCCCAGTGAATCCATTATTGATCTGTTGAATATTATTATTCAATAAACTTGTTGCCGTTGTACTAGTTGTGCCTGTCATTGACGAATAAACGGGATTATCAAAATGTCTTGGTTCCGATGATGGTGGACGATTACAATATTCAACATAAAGTAAATCTTTTAGTTCGACAATTCGTTTTCGATAATATGCCACAAACATTGCGGTCACCATTAATGCACTTGTAAGCAATAGAAGAATCCAATAACCGGCTGATGATGATCCACTTGAATATTCTTCAATCTGTGCACTGGCCACCGTTTCTTCAATCATTTCACAATTTTCACCAGTAAAACCCAATCTGCATTTACATCCAACAACAGGATCACAAACATAATTTCCTTTTGGGCATTCACAAGACATTAAGCAATTATTGCCGTAGAAACCATCTGGACAAATTTCCGAACACAACGTTCCCATAAAGCCATCTCTACAAAAACAAATTCCGTCCGTTGGACGACAAGTGGCATCATTTTGACATTTACAATGTTGTTGACATTCAAGACCATATTTTCCCTCCGGGCAAATTTTCGAACATGTTGATGTTTGCCATCCTGGATAACAAACACACTTGCCTGATTCATGATCACATTGTCCGCCCATTGATGAACAGTTGCATTGTTGACGACATTCATAACCATAACTTCCTTCCGGGCAAATCTTTTCACAAAAAAAACCAGTATATCCAGGTAAACAAACACACGATCCATCTTGAATCTTACATGTTTGATTCGAATGCATACATAACGGACAATCTTGTATGCATGATTTTCCAAATGATCCACTTCGACACTAATCATAAAATCAAATAAATCATCTTATAATTTATAAATATGAAAAAAAATTCAAACCTTTTGTTCGCAATGATTTCCATAGCGGCCAAGTGGACAGAAACAATTATCACCATCATTATAATCACACGATAATCGTTCGTCATTACAATTACAATTATGGAGACAATTTCGGCCATATTTTCCCGAAGGACAAACACTTTTATGTTCACATTTTGGACCTTCGAAATCAGGATTACAAACACATTCACCAGTGATATGATTGCAAGATTTTGTATGTTCTTCGTGACAATCACAATGGTATTTACAATTCAAACCGAATAAACCGGCTGAACATTTTTGGCTAGAAAATACAACCAAAAACAATCAAATTAACAACAACACAACCTTATATAATGGATAATAATTATTACCTGCAATCAATCCCTGTGAATCCAGGTAGACAGGTACAAGTACCTGATGAAAAAAAAAAAAAATCATCATCATCATCATCATCATCATCATCATTAAAATAATAATAATAATAATTACCATTAACAGGATTACAAGCAGCATCATTCATACAACGACAATTTTGTGAACATTTTTCACCGAATTTTTGTGGTGGACATGGTCTATTACATTTTAGGCCAGAAAATCCAGCCGGACAATCACACTAAAATGAAAACAAAATTTTTTTTGAATTTTTTTCTTTTTTTCTGTTAAAATTATCACATACCTGACCATTTTCTGGATTACAACGAACATTACCAAAACAGATGCATTTCTGTGCACAACCAATACCATATGTACCAGCGAAACAAGGTTTTTGGCATTTTTCACCAGTCCAACCGGAATTACATATACAATCCCCGGTAACATGATGGCAAAGACCATTTTCGCAATCACAAACATTCTTACAATCATCACCATAATATGGAGGTGAACATTGTTTATAGCAATAATCTTTGAAACCCGGTTTACACTTGCATGAACCATCGAATGGATCACAACGAATCGTGTTGTTGCTATGACATTGGCATTGTTTGTTACATCCATCATCAAGGCCATATTTACCAAATGGACATTCACGACGTTCACATCTTTTACCAGCATAACCTTTTGAACAAATGCAGTTACCATTTATACGATCACATCGAGCATCATTCTGACAATCACATGTTGATAAACAATTTGGACCATATTTATAATCAGGGCATTCATTTTCACATCTTTTACCAGTATAGCCTGCAGAGCTGCAATGGGAGAAAAAATGAAATCAATTTTTGAAAAATATAAACAAAAAACCATCATCATCAAAAACAAAAACGAACCATTGACATTCTCCAGTGATTGGATGACAAACACCGCCATTAAAACATTCACATTCATTCGAACAATTCGGCCCCCAACGTCCCATAATTGAACAGGATTCAGTACAAGCTGAACCAGACCAACCAGAAAGGCAATTGCAAACACCGGTTACGAAATCACATGTTCCGTTATTTTGACAGCGACAAGAATTCGTACAATCAATTCCATGTTTGCCTTCAGGGCATTTCCGGTCACAAAGAGCCCCACTAAATCCTGGTTTACATTTACAAACACCAGTTATATGGTCACAAACACCATTTTCACATTGACATAATTGGACACAATTATAACCAAAATGTCCTGATGGGCAAGGTTGATTGCAATTTATACCTGTCCAACCCTATATATATACAATGGAAGCGAACCAAAACAAAAAAAAAAAAAAAATTTCATTGAAACATTGAAACAATCGAAACAAACAAACTTACCGGTGGACATGAACAATCACCATTGATCGGATTACAAATGGCGCCATTTTCACATCTACATTCATTCTCACAATTTGGTCCATAATGACGATTCGGACAGTCTAATTAATCAACCGAAAAAAAATGTTTTCAATTTCTAAAAATTGAAAAAAAAATCAATCAAACTTACTTTTATTACAAGTTTCACCGCCCCAACTAATGCGATAATTGATCGTTTGTAAATTAAAGAAAAAAAATAAATGGTTTTCATCAATACCGAAAAAGATTTATCCGATCACAACACACACATACCCTGGTTCACAATGGCAAACATCTGGTTGAATACATTTTCCATGAACACATTCATCTTTACAAATGGCTAAATGAAAACAAAACAAAAAAAAAAATTAGCAATCAATCAATCCAAATATATTAGTTATCGATATACTTACGTAAACATTTATCATTAGCTTCATAATAACCATGGCAACAATGTTCCAAAATACGTGATTCATTGCGAATTTTGGTCACCGTTTCCATACGATAAACGACTCTATACATTTGTATAAAAAGCAAAAAAAAAAAAAAAAATTCCAAGAAATGAAACAAACAGGAAACCGACAATATAAAAAGGAAATTCACACATAGGTTCAATATAATTTTGGTTAAAAAATTATAGATAAAAATTGTTGTTAATTAAAATAATAATAATGATGATGATGACCAAACGTACTTTAATTTTGGACATCTAGGCGGTATCTGTAAACACCAGCCGACTGTACGTATCTCTTGTGGTTTGGGAATTTGAATATCATATTTAATTGGAACTCTGGGAAAAAAAACTTTGATTAGTAAAAAAGAAAACCACAGAAAACAATTTTCCAAATACATACGTTTCATTTTTTGTACAAATATTTGGACCATCCAATGTATGGCCAAATGGAATGATCAAAAAAATGATGATGAATGCCACATCAAAGATGGATGATAATGATAATAATATAAAGGATGGTGACATTTTTTTTTAATTTTCACAGCTATTGAAATCACCAATGGAATGGAATAATTTGAAATGCAGAGTTTTTTTTTTCATAAAATTTACAAATGATGATCATATGCAATAGAGAATAGAATAAAAATTCATAAAATTCACGTTCACTTTATGGAGAGAAAATGAAATTGTAAATCAAACGACAAAATCATAATATTCATATATTCATATCCATTTATCAATGTTGTTGATAATTTTCATTCGAATCATGAATCATCATTGTTTTTGTTATTGATATTCGGATGGCATAAAAAAAAAGAAAAACAAACGTTCAATATTGATATCAGTATTGATTGATTATTGATGATGATGAGCAAATCAAATCACAATTGGTCGATATCGTTATTTTAATGTTTATATTGATGATGATGATTATCGTCGTCGTTGTCATATATTGGGTTAGTTGGACGTGCGATCAAATGACATTATGTTTTTGTTCTTTGACAAAATAAAAGCTATAAAATGAAATGATGATAGGAAAAAATGAAATTCAAATTCAAATGTTATATTAGATTACCAATATAAAAAGCGAATCAATCGATCAATCAATTGAAATTAATTACCATCATCATCATCATCACATTTGTAAAGTTTAAATGTCACCACTTTTATATTATTGTGAACATATGACGCCAACAAACAACAAAATGGATGTGTGTGTGTGTGTGTGTGTGTGTGTGATGTTGCAATATTTATTGCTGCATTTATTGGTTGGTTAAATTTTTTTTTTTGCTTTTTGGTTTTTGCCAATCAAAAATTCTCTCTATCTTTTTTTTTTTTATTGTTTGGTAAGGAGTTTTTTTTTTAAAACGAAAAAAAAATTACTGTTATGTGTGCTATTTATTGTATACACACGTCATTTCGTTTGGTTTTTTTTGTTGTTGTTGTTGTTGTTGTTGATAAATATAAATTCAACTGTTTTTCTCTTTGCTTCTACCACACACACACACACATATGATTGGGCTGTGTCCATTTATTGAGTATTTTTGTAAAATACCTACAGGACATCGCCACTACTACTACTACTACTACTTACTACTACTACTAGTGATAATATATGCATGGACATTTTTAAATTTTGTTCATTCATAATAAAAATCTAAAAGTTTTCATTATTTTTTTTTTTTTTTTTTTTCAATGAAACATTCTAATAACCCTGACTGTGTTGTTTGTCATCATTGATGTAATGATGAAATTAAATGAACTTACCCTGTGTTGTTGTTCACTGTTTTGCAGAGTTGAAAGATCAATATACCCTTGATGATGATGATGATGACGGAGATGAAATCTGAAACGTCCGTGTTGAAAAAACACACACACACACATTTGGTGATTAACATGGAAAAAAAATAAATAAAGAATCTTCTTATATTCAACCAAACGTAACGGGCAACAAAAAAAAAAAACGGTCGAAACAAATTCAATTCATCAAATCAATCGACTTGTATTGTTGTTTGTTGCTTAATGTAATCTAATATCATTAGTTTATCATCATAGCCAGAAAATTATTATTTTTTTTTCTCGAGAACCAAACCATTACTACACAGAGTAATCATCATCATCATTATGATTATCAATAAAAAATAAAATGGTACTTGATTGATGCTGTCATTTAATTTTATTAACTCATGATGATTATTTTCGGAATTTGCCATCATCATCATCATCACCATCATCATCATTATTTGATTAAGACTCATGGAAAATTAATAATAACAATTATGATAAGATTATGATAAAAAAAATTATCTGAAAACAAACCTGGACGGATAAATATTATAAGGATTATTACATCAATTTTTGTCGTCGTTGTCGTCGTCGTAGTTGTACATTCTTAGAGAACCCGTAACAAATAATGGATTGTGGTAAAAATTTTTGTTTTCATTTCAATCCAAATCAATGCCAGTCAGTTAATTGAAGCGCAAAAAAACATGGTCAAAATGTAGTCGATCGATATCGAACATATGAATCAAACATTCGATTCGATTCAAAACACACACACACACACACACGCATGATCAGGTGATATCAAATCAATCAAAAATGGTTCAATTCGAAAAAACAAAAAATCAATCAATCAATTTTTGTTCAAAAAAAAAAAAAAAAAATTCGTATGAGAAAATCAAATTCAAATTTCTGTTTTTATTTTTATTATTATTAAAATCAAAATGATTCTTTCAGCGAATATTGAAAACAAATGAAATATTAAATCGAGATGATAGTTTGTTGTTGTTGTTGTTGTTGTTGTTGATTTCCAATCATTTCAAATTCTCATTGTTTGATTCATCATCATCATCATCATTATTTGGTGTTGGACGGGTGTGTGTGGTGTATTCTGATGGTTGGTCAATCAGTGTTTTTTTTTTTTTTGTAATTTGGAATATTAAAAAAAAGAGGATGTGTGTGTGTGTGTGTGTGTTCATAAATGAAGTGACACATTTTCTTGTTTTTTTTTCATTCATGATGAATCAATTTGTTTGCTTGGTGATGTGTGATGTGATGTGATAATAAAAACAGAAATGAAAAAAAAAAAAAAAAAAAATTCAAAGCGACTAGAATGATGATGGATAAGTTATTATCATATTTTTATTTATCTCGCTGAATTTGTTCATTCTTTAAATCGATGTTGCGATGATGATGATGATGATGATAATGTGTGTGTGTGTTCTCATAATCAGATCCAAAATGCAAAAAATTTAAAAAATAAAAATTTCTATATATGATAATGATGTGTGTGTATGGGTGTTCGTATGGAAAAATGAATAAAATTGATTGCTAAATCTATGATGATGATGATGATTTTACAAATTTAGAAAAAAAAATTTATCGAATCCAATCCAATCAAAATTGATTCGATTTTATAGTTGTTTCGTTTTGTTCTCTTAACCACCATCACAAGAAATCCGTAATCCAATATCTTCGTTTGTTTTTCCCCAATATACACAATGATAGTATTCGTTCGGCGAAAAAAAAAAATTACAAAACAAATAAATCAATCAATCTGTTTGATAGGCTGATAATAATGCCGCATCAACTGGTTCCATACATGATGGACATGTTAATGAACGCATTAACCAATCATCAATACATTTTGTATGATAAATATGCATACATGGTAAAAAACGTATTGGATCATCCATTAAAAATTCAATCATACATATCACACATCTGTTTGTTTTTTTTTGGTCATTGAAAAAAAATCATTATTATCATCAAGTGTTTTTTTTCCACAAACAAACAATATACTTACTCTCGATTCTTTTTACAACCATCATATGATCCAGTGGGTAAATGTTGTATTAGACCAATACGTTGTGCAATTTTTATCTGTTCCTCTTCGGTCAATTGATTTGCTTGACGGCTAACATTTGGTGATGGATAAAATAATAATGTTGATCCAGTATTATTTTCCTGAAAATATAAAAAATTCAATTAAAATGATCATATTTTCAAACAAATCAATTACCTGTTGTTGTTGTTGTTGTTGTGTACCACCAATCATAATAGCATTAACAATATTGTTACGTGTTGTTGACACACGACTACCATCCAAATCCAAGGCAAAATGTGTCTGTGCTTGATGCTGCTGCTGCTGCTGTTGTTGTTGTATTGCTGCTGTATTAATTATATTGGCCACCAATGATGAATGATCCGAAGAATCACGTTGTGCAGTTGGTGCACTATCACGTAATAATGAAATGTCATCATGTGATGACACTGTTTTAAGACAATTGCCCATTATTATTATTTGGTTTTTAAGTGTGTGTGTGTGTGTATTGGATGTTGGGTGTGGGTGTTTAAAATGTTTTGAAATTCAAAACAAAAACAAATTTTTTGAAATTAGAAAAACAAACATCGAAAATAAAATAAAATCAAAAAAAAAACAAAACTACAATTATTGTGTGTGTGTGAGAAAAGAATGAAAAAAAAAAAACCAATGAAAATCAACAAAACAAATTAAACTCGAATAGAAATAGAATTCGAATTTCGAAAATATAAAAAAAAAAATAAAAAGAAAAGAAATCACAAATTAAATTGAAAACTAGAATTAATGAAATTCAATCAATATGATGATGATTAATGAGATTTTTGGAAAAGAAATTTCCAATCGAGTGAAGAAACCAGAAAAAAGGGTTCGATGTTGTTGTTGTTGTTGATGATGATAATGACGACAAATGACGGAAGACGAATACTTTTGTTTGTTTTCGTTTGTTTGTATCACAAAAAAAAATTTGTCAATTGTTGACAAATATTTTCAAAGATATGAAGTTTTTCTTGTTTTGTTTTGTTTTTGGTAAAGAAAAAAAAACAACAACGTAATAGAAAAATTGCTTCGACACACACACACACACACACACAATGATGATGATGGTGTTAATTTAACAATGTTATCATCGATATGAGTAATACAATTGTTTATCGTCGTATACACGGTGGTATATGGCCACGAATCGATAATAACGATGATGATGATGATGACAATGGATGATGATGAAAGCAATTCATTACGCACTTGAACATAACCTGATTGATTGATTAAAAGATTCCAAACAGAATGACCATGGGTGTTTGTCAGTGTGTGTGTGTGTGTGTTTTGAAGTTTAATTTGCCAAATCATTTATCGATCATCATTAATCATTGATTGATATTGATTGTTATCACAAACAAGAATATATTATCTTGAAAGTTGTTGTCGAGTTTCTCTGTGGTTAGTTGTTACCCGAAAGAAAAACAAAAACTAAATGGACACACAAATTTTAGTTCAATGATCGGTTTGAAGGTTTTTTTAATTTTTGCCGATGATAATATCATCACACAGACACACGCAACCCTTCACCAGAACATACACACACACACACACACACACACAGCACACTTTTGTTTCAATTCTTTAACATCTTTTATTTTTGCTTGATGATTATATTCAAATGTACGCATTCAATTTTTTTTCTTTGTTGTTTTTGTGTGAAGAAAAGATTGAAAAAAAAGACAAAATTTCAGACATTCAACAACAACAACAACAACAACAACAAATGCTTCTCTGCTGTGGCTGCATAACAACAACAACAACAACAACAACAAACAATAAAGAGACAAATAATAATAATATGGCTCGATAGTGGTGACACCACACAAACACCAATCATCAAAGTTGACGACGACGACGACGACGAAATTCGATGCTCAGCTGCTCTTGTTGACACGCATGCGTTTTATTATTATTTTTTTCTGTGTTTAAAATTCAAAAAAAATTTTTTTTTTTTAATTAATTTATAAATAATAAGATGATAAGATGATGATGATGATGACAAGAATATTGTCACAAAAAAAATGTGTAAGGTGTTAAGATGATTGAAGAATTGAATGAATGAAAATATCACAAAAAAAACGAATAAATACAACATAAAACACAGTGTTATTAACAACTTCAACTTGAACAAAAAAAAATCATGAGAATGTTTTCCGATCGATTGATTGTCTGGCCACGTTTTTTTACCTTTCAAAATTATCATTCTTCAAACAATCATTTCTAATTTACGATATTTTTTACGCATAGAACTAACAACATCTTTATATAATAATGGTTCGAAACGAATTTTGGATTTTATCAACGGTATATAACCATAGAATTTGATTAATTTTTGAAAACAAGATTTTCGATCAATCCACGCTAACCATGAATCGAATAATGTGCCACCGGAAATGGTTTTTTTCCTCTGTGTTACTTTCAATGGACTTTCACGTATTATATGGCTGATGAGAAAATCTAATTCATTTCAAATGGATTAGAAATGTTAACTTTAATCATATGATATGATAATATACTTACTGAATGCTAAACCAGAACATTCTTCATCGAAATTCCAAGTGGAATTTATATTTTTCAAATAAATATGTTCATAATAAAGATAATTGTAATACCTGTTGAATGAATGATTGATTAGAAAGTTATTCATTTTCATTTAAACAACAAAAAAAACTCACTTATGATAGATAACTGCATCAAATAAAATGATTGAATATTGATTTGTCCATTTTGATGTATAGGTCCATTGGTTTTTTGCATTATCAAAATAATGATCACGAGCACTGAAACCAATCAATCGTTCGGAGAATGATTCCCAAACTAGATAGGCAAAATCAATCTGTAAACAAAAATGAATAAAATGATAATCGAATGCTTTTTCTCAGTTTGAAATATCATCATCAACATACTTCTTCGGTAATAAGATTACTTTCTGGATCAAAATGAAAGATGGCATCTGTCGTAACGGCAGTATGATTGAAACAACAAGTAAAACGATTACTATTCATCGATGATTGTTGTTCATTATTATTGGTTGATGATATTTCAATCAAAATAAGGGACGGATGTGTTGATTGTAAATGTAACAATTGTTTAAATACAGCCGTTCGTAATGACCATAATATTAAGATTCGTCGTACAAATTTCGATGACAACAAGCTTGCACGTAGAAATTTATTCAATTGATAATATGAAATAACTCTTGATACGGCAATAATGGCAGTGAAACCACGTGCACCATGTTTATCAATCATCATCGATCCATATTGTGGAAATGATTCAATCATATTATTATAACGTTGATCTATCCATAATGGTGTTAGTGGTGATTTATTTGCAACATTCCATTGGAATGTTTCATGACACCAATGTGTATTGATACGATCTTCAATTATCGATATGGTTGTCATCAGGATTCGATTGATTGATGAGAAATAATTATTGTATAGAAATATTCCTCTGTTTTTTTTGTAATGGATGGATGATAATTAATCAATCAAATATACCAATAATAATCAATAATAAGAAAAAACTTACTGTAATCTCATTGATTCAATTTCAAAACGTGATAATGAACGAATATGATCAGGAATCTGAAATACAAGACGTTCATCACCCATAACAACAGCTGATGGCCAATCAATAATTTCACTAAATGGTAATACCCATGAATTACTTAGGACGATTGGAATGCAACCAAAACTTAATGCTTCAAGAAAACGATATGATCCTAATCGTCGACCTCTTGGCACTAGACAAAATGTTGAATTTTTCATCATTATTTGATAATCATGTCTAACAAGACGAGAAAAAAAACAAATTTTAAAGTATGAAATCATCAACTTTCCACAAAAAAACATCACATTACTTATCATATTCAGCATTATCTTGATCACAACGTTCATCGACAAATTCTTTCCATTTTTTACCATGTTTACATGTTGTATAAATATGAATATCATTTCCATTATGAAGATGATATAATGAATTTCGTGTTTCACCACCAATACCGTATGTATAACGTTTTCCTTTGAATACCATTAGATATTTTGTTGATTTAACTTTATCTTCGTTTATGGTTTCAATCATTTGTTGGTTTATTATTTAGGCCATTATTAATTTTATAATCATGATGACGATGATTTTGAAATTGTTGTTGTTGCTGTTGTTGTTGTTGTGGGCCACGATCTGGATGATTTTCCATGAATAATGGAAATGATACATCAAAACCTGGACGATAATTTTCATATGACATTGATGCTTTAATCAATATAGCATATTTTGGATATTCGATTCCGGAAAAATCCAATTCTATAACAAGAAAAAAAGAGAAGATAAATTTTAGTCTTTTGAAAAAAAAATAACCAATAAACAATCATACCAACATAATCGGGCCATGAACCAGAATAAAGATTAAACATTAAATGATTACGACCTTCATGTAGTAATAATTTATCTATCGATGATTCGATTGAATATTTATGAAAATTATATGAACGACGATCACGATCCAATGTGTCCATATTGGATATAAACAAACAGGCTTTATTTGGATCCGATTCATAATATTTAGATTGTTTGATGAATGTAACAATTTTACGAAATAAAACACTAGTATGTTCACTATCATGTGGATAGATGTATATACGAATATCATCACCATGTGGACATCGATTAAAATCAAAACAATCCGAATCCATTCTACAATTTAATCCGGTCTTATGATCATCATCATCATCATCATCATCGTTGTCGTCATTGGTCATGGAATGTTTTTTGGCCATAAAAAATTTCTCCATTTGATAATAATTTTTTCGATGATAATAATGATATCGATGGTAATGTAAAATTTTTTTGTAAATCATTCGACAATATTGTTGTTGAACAATGGTCACGAAACCAAATATTAAAATATCCATTTGGATCATTTTTAATCAATAATAACAATAATGAACGATAAACAATATATACAATGAATATTGTAAATAATACACAAATATAACGTTTTATGGCTTTCATTGACTAGTCGCGTTTGCTGTTGGTGTTTGATACGGAAAATGAAGAGAAAAAAATGAAAAATTCAATTTAGCTTGCTGTTTTTTTTATTCTGAAAAATTCTTTTACAAAATATTCACAATGATTCATCATTCTTCATTGAAAAATTGAATAACAACAACAGCGGCAACATTGATTCATTGATTGAATGAATGATCAATAACTAAATGACCATCAAGCAATCAACAGAATATAAATTGTTTCATCATCATCATCATTGACTTTGTTATATATATTTAATGTAAACATCACATTTAATACAACACACAAACATACATGCTCTCTCTCTGATAATGACAATGATGATGTTGATGATAATTTTCTTGTTTGATGATGATGGCTTTAATGTTCGATGATGATGGCTATAATGATTGATTGATGATGGTTATGATACATGATGGCTTTAATTCATATTATTGATATCCAAGATTATTCAGTAATGACAGATCCAAATTAAAATTAATTGGTTTCACATCCAGAAAGAAAACACCAGATTAATATTATTCATGTGTGGTGGCGTGAAAATATAGTTAAAAAAAATAAAGTTAAAAATCAATAAATCTATTAATGATGATCAAATACTCACATTTATTTTTTTATAATATAATTTATAAAAAAATCTCCATCATGTTCAAAAAGAAACCCATTGTTATGGGACAGTTCATTGACCGGAATTGACATCGGTCCTTTGCACACGGCCTTACTAAAGATGAACTCATCTGTTTGGGACTCAACTTCATAAATTTGTCCCGAAACAAAGATGGCACCTTGTTGAGTGTAAAAGCTCGTGGCTTTGATGAATGAACGTCCATCTCCCATAACAGCTCGGACGATGTTATGTCCCAATGAAAACGGATGGAGCGTTTTTGCCAAATTAGGCGATTCGAAAGGTAATTCTTGGACTAATGAAAATAAATTTTAGTAAATAAATTTAATTACTCCTTAACTTACCAGAAGTCCAGAATTTTTTTATGAACAATGACTCCTGATGTAGTTGAGCCAAAGCTTTAGCAACGTTCCTGAAATTCTTGCTCTGTTTGTAGTGCTGTTTCAAGGAAGCGTGCTGCCTTTCGAATCGCGCTGTTGAATATTTGAATAATTGGCCATAATATAGCCACAAATCTAAGTAATGACTTATGAAATGTGACTTGGCCGTTCGGATTTTTTTGTTCCAACAAAACTAAAAAATCAAATCAAAATTTTAATTTTAATGAACATATATATAAAGCAAAAGATAAAAGACACTTACATGTTGGACTTCAAAAATTGTTGTCCGAACTCTTTCAGGATCTTCCATTTTCGAAGCCGAATACATTGATCTCTCTTTCTATCTAGTTGTATGGAGAGAAAGAGAGAGTTTATTATCCACATGTGAGTGTGTGATATATATACTACACAGAGCAGAGCAGAGCAATGAAACAAGAATGGTAAGTGTTCCAGAAATAAATATTGAGTAACGAAAAAAACGAAATTCCATAGAATTTTATGCGCATGCGCATTTCTAAATTTAATATATTAAATTTAATTCGAATTTTTTTTTTTTTTGAATCATGTGCAATGTGGTATTCCATTGTTGTTGTATTCCCGCCAAAAAAAAAAACCTGAATCCTTTAATCCCATATTGTTTTGTTGTTGTTGTTCTTTTTTGAATAATAAAACTTTGTATTTTATCATCATCATCATCATCGTCGTCATTTGATTTGAACAAACCTCATGTTGTGGAATTTGATAATGGAATCTGAAAAAACGATACCAAAAAAACAAATCGACTGTTCCAGTGAAGAAGAAGAAGAAAAAGCAATTAAACTGTCTCGTGAAAGGGCAAGGGTCATCATCGTCATCATCATTATCATTATCAACGTAAACAATGTATGAATCTTCATATATTCATTCAAGTGTCCCGTATGTATATTACTAAACTTGAAATTACCATTTTTTTCTTTGATTCCAATACATGCATTGTTTTGTTTTGTTTTGTTTTCATTCTTTCTCGCTCTATATAGAATAATGGACCATTTAGAATTATTAGTATGGTTGATCGGTTAATATCATACAATCACAATCACAATGTCACGTGTTTTCATATATATGAAATCAAATTCATTCTGAATCCAAATGAAGGTCATTGTCATCATCATCATGTGATGTTGTTGAACTGGTGGTGGTTATTATTGTTTCCTATTGGTGATGGTAGTGGAATTTTGTTGTTTTTACGATCCACATTTCGAAATTTCAACCATCGACAACAACAGTAAAGAAGAAAAAAAAACACTACACTAAAACAATCACATAAATTATCTTTAACAGAACGAACGAATGAAGGCAAAAAAAAAAACGTTATTATTATGATCATCATAACTGGAGATGAAACAAAAAAACATCATCATCATCCACATCTCTCCATACACACACACACGTGATGTTTGGCTATATTTTTTTTTCTATCCATTCTCGTCGATTAAGTCGAGTCCATGTTTCTGGTTTTTTTTTCTTTCGTTGTTGTTGTTGTTGCGAATATTTGAATACCACTAGCCAACCATCATCATCATCATCATCATCATCATCATCATCAAAACGACAAAAAAAATCATAAAAAAATTGGGATCAATTAACCCATTTCTATCTTTTCTCCATTTTTTTTGTCGTCGTCGTTCATTCACCACCGCCACCACCACCACCATATAATCATCATCATCATCATCACTAACCACATAACCATGACGATTGTTCAAATGAAATCTTTGAATAATTTCATAATAATCATCTTTATCGCCATTATAATAATACGTGTCACGTGTTTGTATCAATATTTGTTCCATTTTTTTTTTCTTACTGGTACTTGGTTCATGAACTCTTTTCATTTTTTTTTTGTTTCTGAAATCTAACCTTGTGTGTATGAATGACTTTAATGTGCATCAACACACAAAAGAATGAAGAAGAAAAAGAAGAAAAAAAACGACCATTCATCAATTTGGGTAATAAAAAAGATTTTCTCTAGTTTGAAACTTTGTTGCCAACCAGACTTAAAAAATGCACAATCCAACAATATCAACGACAATTTATGGATGATGATGATGATGATGATGACGACCATCAATGGGTATTGAAGGATGCTTTTCATTTGGATAGTTATGTGATGTGGTCGGTGTGTGTGTGTTTGTGTGTGTGTGTGTTTGGCTGCTACCATCATCAACATTTATATATGGTTTTTATGTGTATTTCTTATGATTTTTTTTTTTGGCGTGGTGGTACATATTATACAAATGAAATATCAATGGACCATCAACCATCCATGATGATGATAATAATATAACGACAAATATATCCATACATATTAAACACATGTGTGTGTGTGTGTGTCTGATGTTCCAGAAAACATATACATTCATATAAATACAATGAAAATAATTTGTTTCAGTGTTTTTTTTTCATTATTCAATAATCCAGCTGAATCAAACGAAAAAAAATTTTTTTTCCATTATAAAATCTCCAGTGTATTCATGGTGTGTGTTGTTGTGATTTGATTCCGTTTTTTACCCAACAACAACGATAACGACGATATTTGGTAAGTTTTTTTTTGCATGGCCTCGCAAAAAAAAAATCAATTTTCTTGACTTTTTAAAAATCCAATGATGTTGCATGTATCTGAAAATCCTTAAAGAGAGAGAGAGAAAAACATTTCCAATATCCGATGATTGTTTGTTGGAAAAAAAGGATTTTCTTAACCCCAAAAAAATGAAAAATCCGGTCATTATGTTCATATATATATTTGTCATCATCGTTCAATATTTTTTTTCTTCCAAACATCTCGAACAAATCACCACCGAAACACACACACAATTGAACAATAAATTTTGTTGCCCCTGTTTTTTTTGTTGTTTTTTTTTGCCTGAAATATTTGATTATGACGATTGTGTATATGTGCTTTATTTTTTTTTTGTTTTGGTTTGAATTCCATTTGATGCTTTCATATGTTACACACACACACACTCGCACATCGGTTGAAAAAGGGTTAAAATAATTTTGTTGTTGTTGTTGTGGTTAATGTTTGTTTCCTTCAAACTTATGTTATGATTCAATGAATAAATTCTAATAAAAAAAACAACAACAACAACATTATAGATGATTGAACCTGTTGTTGTTGTTGTTGTTATTTGAAATGAAGCAACAACAACAACAACAACAACAAAAAATGATCGTAAAAAAATTTTTTTTCAAACAAAAAAAAAATCCAAATAACACCAATTGGAAATCAATTTTGTTTTATACTTGTTTATTTAGCTTTTTTTATATATATAACTTGCACAGAAAAAAAACTTGTTGACTTTCAAGAATATCATCATCATGATGGTGATCATCAATGAAAAAAAAAGTTGATCACATCATATTTATTGTTTAATAAATTATTATTGATTTTTTTTTCTTGTTTTTGCATCTTTTTTTTATATCTATCTATCTATCTATCTATCTATTGATGCAAATTGAAATTGCCTTTTTGATTCATCCTTTGATGATGATGATTGAATCATGTAAATGTCAGTGGTTGGCAAAACCAAAAATGATGATGATGATGATGAAAAAAGAAAAAGAAAAGCTTAATGTTTATGACCCAAAATGATGATTGTTTTCTGTTGCTGTTGTAGTTGATGGTGGTGGTGAATGGCATGTGGCATTCATCATCATCATCATCGTTTTTTTTTTGTTTTACATCGTTAAATCTTGAAAATAAAAGAATATTATTGTTATATATCGATATATCGATGATGTTACAGATGATGATGATGATGATGACGATGATATTTATTGATCAATTTCTTTCATTCTCTCTCTCTCTTCCTTTAATTTATATCAATTTTAAGCTTAAAATATCAAATCTTGATATATGTCGAATGTGTATTGCGTGTGTGTGTGTGTTTGAGTTTTCAATCGGATTGAATGGTGAGAAACCAGCCAAGAAACAAAAATTGTATCGGCTTATTCAGACCGAACAAAAAAAAAATGAAAAATGAAATAATTAACCACTTAATATTAAAAAAAAGTAGAAAAAAAAAATACCAATCTGGTACTTATGTTTTTTTTTTTTTTTTTTTTTTTTTTGGTTCAAAACAAAATACAAAAACCCAATATCAGATATGAACAAAAGCTTTGAACGAAATAAAAAAAAAAATTCACTAAATTTGCATCCACCATTTGTGAATGATAAATAAAAAAAAAAAACTTCAATTACATTAACCAGTAAAAAAAAAAAATTACCAAACGACCATCATCATCATCATCATCTTCATATATATGGCAGATGTTTAGTTAGTGAAAAATTTTTTTTGCAAATAATAATAATTCACCGTGTTTGGACACAGTGCAACACACGAATCTTTTTTTTTTTTTGTTGTTGTTGTTGTTGTCATTTTGCTACAATTACCATTTTGTTGTTCCCGCTCCAACAATGATGATGATGATGATGATGATGTAGCAATTAATGTTCTCTCTCTAAGCCATCATCATCATCCATCCATTATTATTATTATAGCATCTCACACAAAAAAAATTTTTTTCTGTTAATTTTAAATGAAAAAGTTTCCACTAAATGCAAAAAAAAATGCTACCATCAAGATCTGTTTTTTTTTTTGGTTTAAATTGCACGACGCATGTGTGATCATCATCATCATCATTGATACTGTAGCAATTTGATTATTTCAAATATAATGCAGATGCGCAATACATATATATTCCGGAAACTGATTTTTAAAAATTTTTTTTCATTTTTTTTTATTATCTTGTTGGTTTGTCTCTGGTGTGTGTGTGTGTGTGTGTGTGTGTGTGTATGCAAATGATATAAATTAAAAAGATTTTTTTTTTTACTTCATCCTATCCACTTTGTGTTATTGTTGTTGTTGTTGTTGTTCAATTGAACAGGCAAAAAAATTTTTTTTGTTTTGTTTTTTTATTAACTTTTCTTTTGCCATATATCCATATATATTGAAGTTTTTTTTTTTTTATTACGAGCAATTCTTTTTTTTTCTCTTGTAACCATTTGCGTGTTGTTGTGGTGAACTTTAACCAAAAAAAAAAAACGACTTGTGTGCCATGATGATGATGGTGAACTTTGCCATTGAGTGAAAGAAAATTCAAATTGTAAAATATTCACTTTTTTTTGATATGTAGAAAAAATTGATGCAGAAAAGTAGCATACAAAATGGTGATGTAGCAATTATATTTATATATTCAAAATCGAATGATGATGATGATGATGATTCGATTTTGATTTTTTAGCTACTGTATCAGTAAGGATAAATGATGATGATTTGTTCGTTCAAATCTTTATTATTATTATCATCATTTCAATATTTTTTTTCTGTTTGTTGTTGTTGTTGTTAAACACATCTCACATCAAACAACATTCAACAACAACAACAGGAACAAATCATATTGATGATGTTCGACAATAAACATATAGAGAGAGAGAGAGAGAGACAGGAGAAGGGGAAACCATACAGAAGATAATTTACGATCTTTTGTCTTGTCTTTTCGATGCATTTGTGTGTGTGTGTGTGTGTGTAGTGAGTGAGTGAAGAGAGAAAAAATTGAAATTCTTTATTATTTTTTTCCATTTTATTACTAATCATCATCATCATCATTTTTTTTCTGGACAACACCAGCAACAAAAAAAAAATGCTTGAATGTAGCCAAAATTGCCAATCAAAAGCAATGAAGAAGAAGAAAAACCCACACAATTTTTGTTTCCTCATAATCATTTCATTTCATTTGATTCGATGATGATGATACCTGAAACAAAAAAAGCGATTCTTTTTTTCTGGTTATTTGTTCGAGAATCGGATTATCTCATTATATAAAAATTGATGCAAATTTTTTTTTCTGTATAAAAAAAATTCCTGGTGGTGATGATTGTAGATTTGAATTTGGCAGAATTTTGTTGTTTTTTTGTTGTCCTTGAATTCCGATACTTGTAATGTTTTTTTTTTCAGTTTTGTTTGCTACATGATTTTTTTTTCGGGCGTGTTTCTGGTATGTATGTGTGTGTGTGCGTGTCTCTATTCACCTTTCCATTCCAGGTAAGTGTGTGTGGTATGAATGAATGGTAAAACAAAATTTTATCCTAGATACCAAGAGAAACGAACAAATCAAATTTGCAAATGAAAAAATTCATAAATTATATACCGAACACTGTTTAAACACACAATACACACACACACACACATGTCATGTTTGTTTCAAATAATGAAAAAAAAAACATAAAGGGAAAAATAAATATAAAAATATTACAAACAACAACATTGAAGTGAAACGCAATAATTGGCTACATCGTTTTTTTGAGATTCGCTACATCAATGATGATGATGATGTTGATGATGATGATTGTTTCAACAACAACAACATCGACATTCTTTTTTTTCAGCCAAACAATATACACACAAACCATGGATAATTTTTGTTTGAAAAGACCAAGAAAAAAAATTAAAAAAAAAAAAAATTTCTCATGATGATGGACCATGGTAACGCATACACACACACACACACACACAATCGTCGTTAGATTTTAAATCTATAAAATCATCATCGAGGATGTAAGGATTCTCATGACATTTTTTTTGTTGTTGTCGCTGTTGTTTCTATTACCTGTATCCTTTTTTTTTGATCAATTTATTAATATCCAAATGTATGTATTTTTTATCATTTACTCTGTGTGTGTTGGTGGTGATCAACCCAAATAGCATGTACCAGTATTTTAAAAAATTGTAATTGTTTTTTTTTTTTTTTTTGGCCAAATAGTAGGCCTGTCTTGCCAATTTGAATGAATGAGAAAATACAATATATGAACAACAACAACAACAACAACAATGAAAACTCTGCCCATTTGAAGGCGTGCGTAATCGAAAAAAAAACTACAACAACAACAAACCGAATTTGGTGATTGCCCCCAAATGATGATGATGATCATCATCATCATATATAATACTCATAGATAGATAGGTTGAGAGAGAGAGAAAACATTCATAAGGGAAAAAAAAGACAAACCTCAAAAAAAAGAAGTTTGTTTTAGTTTGTAGTAAATATTCAAATTCAAAATTTAAATGTGTGAATATATGTGTGGATATTGAATTTTGGAAATTTGTAGTTTGTGGTTTGTGGTTTTTTTTTTTTGTTGTTATTCAAAAACAAATCATTGTATCCAACCAACAACAACAACAACAACGACGACAACAACAACCATTGAATAAATGTGATGATCAAATCCAATCGGATTTTGTCATTTTTTTTTTTTTTGGTCTGCCCGTTTTGTTCCGTTCATTCACATCTTTTATGCAAATGATTTTTTTTATGATTTTTTTTCTTGTTTGTTTGGTGATAATATAAATGCTACATTTATTTATATGCAGATGCAGATTAATGATGATGCTGCATTATCATTTTTTTTTTTGCTTGCCAAGATAAGATTATCTCTTCTGTGTGTGTGTATATAAATGTGACGTTTTTATTTTTCCAAGAAATTAGAACGTGAGATTTGTGTTGAAAAAGACCGAGAACGAGAGAATGTATCGAGTTTTTTTTTCTTATTTGGATTGACACTTTGTATCCATCCATCCAAATGTAATGTAGCAATAAAAAACAACGAAAAAAAAAATTTGAATTTGTGATGAATTTTTTCTGTTCTGTTCTGTTTGTTTGTTTCGCCATTGACATTTTATATTGAATTTTTTTTTTCGTTTATCCATCCACTGTCCATTTGATCAATGATGTGACATATAAATCATTTGGAAAACAAAACAAAACAAAAAAAATTCCGGATCAATAAAAAGGCAAGTTATTTTTTTTTTCTCAAATTCATAACCGTCTTACATTCATTTTTTTTGACATCGATCATCATGACAATCAAATGATGATCAAACAATAAACCTTAAAGGTTTTTTAGTCTGGTTTTTTTTTGCTGGTCTGGTTACTTTGAGATTTTTTTTTTTTTTTTAATAAGGGTTAACCATACAATCTGTCTGTCTATGTATGTGTCTGGTATTATCAATTTTTTTTTTGTTCGTTTATCAAATAATTTTTGCTACAATTTCTATATTTAAAGCCAGTAAAAATATAACCATTATCCTTGACAACAAATATGTCTATGTGGTAATATCATAATGATCATGATTGGTGATTGTAAATATACCAACCATCAATAAAGAGTATCAATGATGATGATGATGACGGTTAATAGTGGTGGTGGTGTTGTATCATCATTATCATTATTCACAATCATCAGACTTTTTTTTTTTTTTTTTTTTGCTTACAGATTTGACGACAAAAGTGGATACATCTTGAATAAATTTTTTTTTCTGATCGTTGATTCTGTCTGCTGTTGCTTCTGAAAGTTGTTATCATCATCATCATTTTTTTTTGAGAGCAGCAATGAGTTAATAGTTTGATGATGATGATGATGATAATATTGAAACATTTCAAACTTTTTAATGTTTTTGTATATGATGATGATGATTATTATCAAATGAAATGAATGAGTGTTTTTTCTGACATTTGATTGTGATATATTGATGATGGTCATGGTATATATTGATGATGATGATGATGATGATTACAATGTCAATGAATTATTTTAATCATTCTGATCGATCAATCAATTTAACCATTAATTCAACTCTTTCTTGTCTTTGATTTTTTTTTTTCTGGCTTCATTTTTAAAACGATTTCGATTTGTATGTGATAAAACTATGGATTTTTGTCGTTGTTGTTGTTGTTGTTGTCGTTTTTTTTTCTTTCGTTTCATTTTCTCGATTGATTCTTGGAAATTATACTTAACACTTTTTTTTAAAGTGATGATACAAAGTATCAAACGTGTATAAACAGCCAAAAAAAAATCCATTCAAATGTATACCGTTTATTTTTGTTTATTTCATCAATTTTAAAATTATTCAACATTCAAACAAAAATCGAGAGAGATAGAGAGACTGAGATCATCAATATTGATTGATTGATTGAACGATTGATTGAATGAATTTTTTTTAAATTGAAAATTTTTTTTTGCTTCAGGCTAGTGTGTGCTGTTATCATTTACTTTTTTTTTATTAATTTCAAGTGCAAATTGATGATAGTGATTGGGTGATTGGTATGTAAGTTGTAAAGAAATTTTTACACACACACACAATGTATCCAATCACACTGCAAGATGAGATTTTGCTGATTTCTGTGTGTGTGTGTGTGTATGTATAGGATGGAATCCGAGATTATTTTTTTAATTTTTTTTTTTTTGTTAACGCTGCTCATTAACCCAGAAAAAAAGGGTTAAAATTTTTTTTTTTTAAATCAAAGCATTACTAATGATATTTTTGATTTCTGAATACCTGTTTTTTTTTTCTTTCTTTCTTTCAACCAAAAATCCTTTCATCACCATATAAATGTTTGATTTTTTAATAATAATCACCATTTCAGTTTGAATTTATTTTCTTTCACACACACACACACACAGCTAGAGAGAAAAAGATGCTGATCATTTTTTCAATAATTTTTTCTTCGTGGTGAAAAAAAAAATATCCGATATACGAAACAAAATTCCTGTGAACATTTCACTAATCATCATCATCATCATCATCAACATTTGGATATTATGGACAACAGTAATAGTAACAGCAGCAGCATCAACAACATTCATCAACAACAACAACAACAATTGGATCATCGTGCACGTCAACCAAAATGTGCACGTTGCCGTAATCATGATGTTGTATCCAAATTAAAAGGTCATAAACGTTATTGTCGTTATAAGGTATATATATGATGAAACAAAAATTCAAATCAAATCAAATCAAATCAAATGAATCTTCTTCTTGTCTGAATTTATAATTTGCCACAGAATTGTAAATGCACCAAATGTAAATTGATTGCCGAAAGACAACGTATTATGGCCGCACAGGTTTGTAATTTAGTTTCATTAGCAGAGGCCACTATTTATTATAAATAGATAGAAAATATCATCCAATGACAATAAACAAACAAAAAAAAATTTTTCTAATTTTTAAATTTTTTTTTTCATTTCATATTTTTTTCCTATATGAATATAAACAATCAATCAATCAATCATTGATTTCTTTCTTTTCATTTTTTTTGTTCAAATTCAATGAAACAAAAAAAAAAAAGGTCGCCTTAAGAAGGCAACAACAAACACAGGAAGAACGATTACGTTCACCGTCATACAATCCGGGTGAACTTGAAGGTTTGACAATATGCAAAAAAAAAAATTTTGTTTTTTGTTTCCATTTTTTTTGACATTTTACAATCTAATGATTCACAAATAGAACAAACTGGATTACAATCATGATCAATGATGATGATAGATATTTTTTCATCTACGATTAAATATTTATTCATCATCATCATCATCGTTTGTTACATCATTTGTGGATTATTTAAAGATTGGAAATGTTTCTGCTACTAATGATTCAATTCATTTAATTGATTGTAAACATTTTTCTTTTTGCTTATTTTTGGCTACTGAAAAAAAAACAAACAGAACCCGATGAATTGGATCTCAATGCAGTGTTGAATCTGCGACAACAACAACAACAACAACAACAACAACAAAATCGATTAAATAATAGTTCAATAATCAATAGTCATCATCAATATAATAATAATAGTAATTTGATTACAACTTCTACAATAACAACAACAGCAGCAACAACGATAACAAAACCATCCATATCATCAACATCATCATCGCCATTATTACGACCACCAGCATCAGCACCATCACAACAGCAAATAATACATCATCATTCACCATCAACAACAACAACAACAACATCATCATCATCATCATCTAGTTCATATCATCATTTGAATAATAATCGTAATCATCATAATATGATAACATCAATAAATCGGTCATTATCACCAAAAATAAATAATAACAATGATGATGATGATAATAATAATTTAAATGGAATTATTATAAGCAATGATGATGATCATCATAATCATCATAATCATAATCATTTATTATGTTCATCATCATCATCTATAGCTACTATTTCATCATCATCGGTACAACAGAATCAAAATAGTAATCATCATTATAATAATAATAATCATCATCATCATCATCGAACAACATCATCGCCAACATTATTAATGGAAACAAAACATTCAACTTGTAATGATAATGTTAATGATGATGATGTTGATGATCATGATCATGATGATGATGATGATGATACTAGTAATAATAATGTTCAACAACAACATCAGCAACAAAATTATAATATTCAAACATTTGCCAATTTTTTACAAACACATTCTGATCTATTAGTTAATGTGATGAATCAAACTCAAACAGTTAAATCATTGATAAAATTGTATAGAAATGAAAATTGGACAAAAGGTTTGTTTTTCTGGTTATAATGATCGATATTTTTTTTTTTTTTGTTTCCATTGAATGAAATAATAATCAATCTTTTTCAGATCATAATAATCATCAACAACAACAACAGTATTCAACATCATCATCATCATCATCATTAACTTTTTATCTACAAACATATCTAGATCAATTGGAACAAACAAAATGGCGTTTTGAACGTATGGTACCGATACAGTCAAATCAATCAATCATACAACAACAACAACAACAACAGCAGCAAAAAATGTATCAAATATTGCTGATAATGTAAATTATCTTTTACAGAATTTTGATCTCATTACATCGAATCATCATCATCATCATCAACATCATCATCATCATTTGTCATCATCATCATCATCATCATCACAATCACAATCATCATATCAAAATTCATTACAAAATCAAGAATTATTTAAAAATCAATTATTTCATCATTATCGTCATAATCAAATGATGATGGAAATGAATGGTAATATAATGAATTTAGATCATAGTATCCGTAGTAGTAATAGTAGTAATGGATCATCACCGGAAATTGATTATGTTGCAACAACATTATCCGATGAATTGGAACAACAACAACAACAACAACAATCGCAACAACTTTTATCATCATCATCATCATCATCATCATCATCGACAGCTGCGATGAGAATAATGGCCGCTGCACAGCAATTATATGCAAGAAATTTATTTGCAAATGTAGATATTTTTAATGGCAATCGTTCAAGCATAATATCACCATCATCATCATCGTCAACAACCACAGCAGTAGCAGCAGCAGCAACATTATTACCACAAATAATGAATAAAAATCCAATGATAACTAGCTCAGCATCAGCATCAGCAGCAGCAGCAGCCGCATCATCATCCTCATCAGCGCCATCATCTTCATCAGCATTTACGGTGGATAATCTTCTTAAAACAGTAGCACAAGTTAATGGAACATTTAATAGTAATAATAATGAATCGAAATAGGTGATCCACCCAAAACAAAACAAAAAAAAAAAAAAAATGAAAATAGGAAATTTACAAGTGTATGCCATTTACACAAACAATGAATGTGTCGTGGAACCACTAAAAAAAAAAAAAAAAAACAAAAAAAAAATCCATTCCAATTTATATTATGAAATTTTCTAAATAATTATTTGCCAAACAAACAAACAAAAAAAAAACACAGATAGAATAAGTGTAATAAATACCGACAAGAATTTTGTCTTTTTCTTTTTTTTCAAAGAATTTAATTTAAATATATAAATTAAGTGATTGAAGAATTCATTTTGATGAAACAAAATATTATATTCATTATTCACGTTATTTGTGGATTTTCCTGACTAAGTCACTAACTTTTATGTTTTTTTTCTTGTTCCACAGAGGAAATAATTTATGAGCGAATCGTAACAAATAATCCGGTGAAATTGTTTTGCTTTGTTTTCGAAAGTTTTTTTTTATGAAACAACGGAACATATTCGTGGATAATGGCTCCGAGCACACACACACACAGAAAAAAACTGGTAATTTTGAATAAAAATCGGACACGCCTTTTCTTTTCTTTTTTTTTACTCTGGTGATAGCGAACGAAAAATAAAAATCGAATTGTCATAAATTATTATTACAAAATGTCATTGAAAACAAGGCCAATGATGATATAAACAACATATTATGATGATATAATGAACATTTTATGGCCAATCATCATCATCATTGATTTTATCGGAAAAAAGAAAATTTTTTTAAAATTACATTTTCCCATCAACAGATGGTGCTTTTGTTTGTTTTTATTTATATCAGCTGTAATGTCATTGGGTGTGTGTGTGTGTTATGTGTGAAATGTGAGTATTTGTTTGTTGTGTTTTGTTCTTGTTGTGTTTGAATGACGATAATACAAACATTTTTTATTTTTGTGAATTTTCATCTTAATATTGGTATATTGGTATATAAAGAAAAAAAAATCTCTAATCCAAAATTGGTAACCTACTTGATTCACCACCACAAAGTATGGATAAACATTTATTCAATCTAAAATTTGCTGCCAAAGAATTGGAACGTCATTCGAAACGTTCAGAAAAACAGGAACGTGTACAGAAATTAAAATGTAAAAAAGCCATCCAAAATGGTAATGTTGAAGGTGCCCGTATATATGCTGAAAATGCTATACGTGAAAAGAATCAAGCATTAAATTTTTTACGAATGGCAAGCCGTGTTGATGCCGTAGCAAGCCGTGTACAAACAGCTGTAGCCACTAAATCTATTGCACAATCAATCGGTGGCGTTACAAAAGCCATGGATTCAGCAATGAGATCAATGAATTTGGAGAAAATTTCACAGATTATGGATAAATTTGAAAAACAATTCGAAGATTTAGATGTACAAACAAATACTATGGAAAGTACCATTAGTAATGCAATGGGTACAATGTCACCAGAAGCACAAACCGATAGCCTTATGAAACAGATAGCCGATGAAGCCGGTTTAGAATTGAATCTTGAATTACCGAATGCAGCTACATCAACATTAGCATCGGCAAAAGAATCGACCAAAGAAGATGAATTATCTAAACGTTTGGCTGCCTTACGATCGATGTGATGATTGATGATGAAATTATTTTAGAAAAAAAAACTATTTAACCAAACCCCACCCCCATCCTCTTAATCCCCAATAACAACGACGACTTATGTTCACATAATTGTTTCATTTGTTAATTCTCTATAATAATTCTTTGTTGTATTTTTAAGCTTAACTTTCTGATAACCCATTGCTTACTGGTTTTCCTTATTTCATCCCCCCATCCCCATAAGAAAAATGCAAATTTATTAAATAATAATAACTGAGCTTTTTTTTCATTGACAAAAATTGTTTTTTTTTTTTTTTTTGGTTGATATAAATATATTATAATATATAGTGACTATTGTGGTATATGATGATTTCGTTTTTCCACATCCATTGTGGATATAAATGATTTCTTTAGTAAAATCATTTCTGCATCACGTACAGGTCGTTGTCCTGGTCCAGGTCTAAATTGTTGCCGTTGTCGTTCACGTAATTGTATTGCATAATTAAAATATTGATTTACTAATTTACGTGTACAACAACGTAATATTGGCTTAATCATTGAACATGTTGTACGTGGATATAATTTACAACCGAAACCACCATTAGATGGAATATAAACGGATGCATTTACATTGACCATTGGTTCATCATCATCTTCAGTTGTAATGCTTAGACAACATAATCTTGCTGCTAATAATCGTTCTGTTGTCCATTCAGTACAATTTGTTTGTTGACAAACTTTGGATAATTTTGAAACATTTCTTGTATTTGGTGGCAATAATTGTGATCGTAATTCACCATTACCAACTTTTGTTACATTTTTAGCTATTTCTTTTCCAATGTCCAGCTGTATAGCTGGAATCGATGATGATGATGATGATGATAAAGTTTGTTGTAAACCATAAGTTTCAATTGTACGATTCAATGTATCGATAAGATTTGTTGTTACATTTTTTGTCGTCATATTACTAATAGATGTTGTATTATTGTCCATAACGGATTCCGATGATTCTGGTACAAAATTCATTGTATAACGATTGTAAAAAATTTTCAAAATTTCACCCATCTGTGAAAGAACATTCATTTCAATTGATTCCGTCGCAGTAGTAGTTGCTTGATCCGTTTGATTTGTAATGTTTGTCATTGAATCATCGGTTGTTGTCATCATCATTGTTGTTGTTGTTGTTTCAATTGTTTCAGTTTCATTTTGATTGCCAGTAATATTTGTTGTTGATGATGATGAAACAGAATTCCGGATACATTTTTCTTTACACGGAGAATCCGTATGTGCAGCCAATATTGTTGCCTGAAAGAATGGATCTTTACGATCGATAAAACTTAATGGAAATCGTATATAATATGCCAACAGGTTACATCTATCAAATGAAAGGTGAGGATAATTTAAAAATTTAAAAATTTTTGAAACAAAAAAAATTTACCTATCAAAAATATAAACATCACCACTATGGCCATCAAGTTGATTAGCAATCGGTGATGATGATAATTCCTGATACACTTCAAATGATACTTTTTTCCTTATACGATTCACCCATAATGGATTATATGAATCTTTTGAATTGATCAATATTAAACGAATGTTTCGAAATGATTTTTGTTCAACAAGATTATGATAAATATTTTCTAAATTATTAATCCATGCATCAGTATTGGCACGTTCATCATGTAAACTTGATAACGCTATAACTGTAACATGATCATGATCATCAGCATCAGTAGCAGCAGCAGCAGCATCAGCAGCAGTAGCATCATCATCATCATTATCATCATCAATTGTATTATGAAATAATGAACGAAAATATTTTGGATTCGGTAATGATGTATTCAATGATGATGATGATAATAATAATGATGATGATGATGATGATGATGACGTTTGTTGTTGTTCATCCAAATGTGTGACAATATCATAGAAACGCAATTTAGGTGATTGATGACATAATTTAATTCTATTAGTTGCGTCAACAACAAGAATAACATTGAATACTATACAGAATATAATGATGATTAGATTTTTAATTGTAGATTGATTAAATGATCGACGATGATGATGATTAGAATATTCACGGACAATATTGTTTTGTTTTGCCATCATCGTTATCTTGTATAAATTGATACATTTATAACGCAAATAATTGCAGCCACTTTTTATTCGAATTTGAATTCAAATGATGATGATGATGATGTGTATTTTGAATCGATTTCACTTGATTATCGATTAGTATCAAGTTTTATATGTGTGTGTGTGTGTGTGAAAAGATGTGTATGATGATTGCAAAAAAAAAATCAAGAAAAATGAATGATTAATGATGATCGGTGATTTTATACAGTCTGGTTTGAATTTTGTGTGCAAAAAAAAAATTTGATTTTTTTTCCACTCAAGAGAAACGAAAATTGCCGTATATTTGAATGTAATAATTATGATGATGATTGATTAATTCGATAAGTGAAAGTAAGAAAGAAAAAAAAATGGCTGAAATTCATGAAATTTTCATTTCATTCCAATGGAATGTGGTTTTCTGTATATCCACAAACACGCACACGCACAAGACGGCAACAGGTTATCATTCAAATTGAATCGATTGAAATAAACAAATTCTTGAAAAAAAAATGATGATGATGACGATTATCATTCGTCGTCATCATCATTCTATTGGTGATGAATTTTTCATGAATTAATGTCTATTATTATAAATAAATAAAAAAAAACATTTGAATGTTTTCGACGATTGAATTGAATTGAAAATATATCCAAAATCAAATCAAATTGTGATTGGTCGCACTGAAGAAAAAAAAATATTTTATCAATCGAATCGATAGATGAATAAATTTTGTACACTCACCTTATATCAGTATGATTTTGTTTTTTTTTTTTTTTTGGGATTTTACACATTCTAATCACTCATATCGATTGATCAATCAATCAATCAATCAAATGATCGATTAAAAAGCAAATCAATAAATACAACAACAAAAAAAAATGTTGATTACAGCAATTGGCGGTTATGATACATTCGATCATGTGAATATATCAATCAATCAATCAATCAAAATTGAATAAAATGAGCTAATTTTAATCGCCGTAACTAAAATAAAAATAAAAAATAAAAAAAGTAAAAGTAAACTATTGATACGTTGATCGTTGATGTGATAATTCTAAAATTCTAAAATTAGCAAAAAAAAATGTTCAAATGATTTATATATTCATCAGTTGATTTTTTTTTTGTTTACTGAATGTAAATTTTTTTTTCCATTTCTTCTTTCGTTTGTTGATGAATGAACGAAAAAAAAAAAACATGACCCTGATCATTTTAGTGGAATTTGTTTCACGTTTGATTATTTGATGATGACGATTGATCGATTGATCATTTCATTAATCATCAATACACAGAGTTATAAATAATGGGAAATTTTTTTTTTCGATGATATCGATTTTCACTATCATTTTTGTTGATGTTTTGTTTTTTCGTTTGCCGACAACAACAACAACAAAAGAACTACATAATATTCATCATCATCACATGTGCATTTTGAAATGAAATTTTTGTCATGAAATCATGAAAAGAAAAAAAAAAATCATTCTTCTCATGTTGATAACAATTAAAATAATCTTTTATCTTTCTTCACTTAGGCATCGCGAATTTTTTGTTGTTGTTGTTGTTGTTGAAAATATCGATTATCTGGTATTTGGCAATAATTTCAAGATCAATGTCGATCATATTGTGTGATCATCATGTGTATGATGATGTCAGCTTCCTATTCGATCATTGGGAAAAAAAAGTTGATAAATTGATTTTTCACACAACGATTTTATCGAAGATCAATTTAATTTTCTCACCATATATATTTAAATTTATTTGATATGATATCATACAAATGTGTTGTTGTTGTTTTTTGTTTTGTTTTGTTTAATGTAATGTATAAAAAAAAATTTTTTGTTTTTTCCTAAATATTAAAACAATGGCCAATAAAAAATGCAATAGATGCAATCATCGATATGAAAATTTCCTTAAAACATATCATCATCAATATCTCTATGTTGCATTCGTGATCGAATTCTATAATCATGGCCCGAAGAATTTGATCTTGATCGTCGTTTTCGTTCAAGATGATTTTTTGATGATGATCTTTGATGATGGTGGCGACGGCTTCGATCATCATCTGGTGAATGTTTTCGTCTACGTGTCTTACTCGTACTTCGACTACGTTGTTTTCGATGATCATCATCTTCCGATGAATTAGGAATTTGATATTTTTGTGGAAAATTTGCAATAGATTTGATTTTTGGTTTTGATGCCAATTCGAATTCATGATCTGGATCAGAAATCGATGGATGACGTTTTTACGCCATTCTCCATCTGCGTTTGGACTACGATCTCTTAATTTGTATTTTTTCGATTTCAATCGTTTAGGCTGTCGTGGATCAGGTGATGAAGATGATGATGAATCCGAATCATAACTATCATCATCCGATGACGAAGAACTATCATCCGAATGTTTATAACGTTTCGTTGATTTCTTTTTTAATCTAAATTTTTGGAATTAAACAAAAAGTTTTCTTTTAAAAAAGATTTCAACAAATATTTGGCAATTACAAACTTTTTAGATTTTTTGCGCTTTTCTTTACATTTTACTTTTTTGGATTTTTTCCTTTTATAATCGTCATCATCATCACTAAAACGTTTCGATTTATGTTTTTTATTCTTCTTGAGCTTTTTACGAATTTTTTTTGATTTTAATTTCGATTTTTTAAACGGATCAAATTCAGCACCACCACCACCACCACCTGCAACAGGTTTACCACCTCCTATTGTATCACCTTCATCGGAATCAAATGAACTTGTTGAACTAACATCGAGCACAATATCTTCGGTAGGATTTACACGGAAAAAATTACGACATTGATATGTAAAATGTCCGGCTGCAGCAAGAAAAGCACCACAAATAATTAAACTCAAACAATCAAACATAATTGTACAACAAATTCACTTACGATATCCACATTTCGAACATGATGATCGTACGCTATTTGTATTGGATTGATTCATAATTTGTTGTAAATTTAATTTACTTCATTCAATAAAAATAAAATCTTTGTTTTTTTTTTTTTGCCATGGCCAAGAAAATTCAATTTTATATACATATGTCGAATAAAAGTATCGATACAATCGATACCATAAGTATCGGTTCGAATCGATTTTAGAAACAATGATGAATTTACCTTGCTTTTTATTGTCATTGTTGTCATATATGACGCAATTTTATTTATATTTGATGACGATCCGATATATATCATGTTCAATCAGATAATGAAATGTCATATCCAACAAATAAAACGGCGACAACTACAACAACAACAACAACAAGTGATTTCATCATTTGAATCCGCAATCTGACTATTTATAATTGATAATTGATAATAGATTGGCATGTATGGTATTTTACAAATTATGATTTATTAATAATTTGATTAATCATTGATAAGGGATTTATATGATGATGATGATGATGATGTCATCGATTAAAATCAAAATATCAATCCAGGAATCATTCAATTACGGATTTCGACAACAACACAGACTTATAGATTGAAATCAAATCAAATATAAAAAAAAATTATGGATTAAACTAAGACGGTACATGATCATTTATTAATATTAATATATCTTCTATATGGGTACAAATTATCTTCGAAAACCAAAAAAAAAAAAAAAAACGATGTGTAAAAAACGATTTTATTGTCTATAACACTACTATTTTATTATTATTAATAATTTATTATAATTAGCACATTTTAGGCTCATTTTTTTCCACTATTTATGTCTAATGATGATTTTTTTTGTTGGGTTGTAAAATGACAACAAAAAAATGTCAATATTAATCCATCACAACATATAGTAAGACCGGGTTGGTTGGTATAATAAATGTGCCCGAAAAACAATATTTACACATGGCACATGCAATAATAATAATAATAATCGATACAATGATTATTCTTACACCCCCCGGTACCATTGCTAGTATCATCATTGATATATATCCATAATTTTATTTATCTATATTTGTGCCTAATGAAAATATCTGGTTCTCCTAGTTTAGCGTGTGTGTGTGTGTGTGTAACAAAAATATGGCCAAACATGATAGTATTGTCTTATCAATCAATGTGCCTAACAAATTAGAAATGAAAATGAAGAAAAAAAATTTTCTATGATTATAATGTGCCAATGTTGTATGTGTGTGTGTGTGTGTGTGTGTGGAAAAGGGGAAAAAAATGCATGCATGCAAAAAGAGAGACATCCTTTTAATATTGCTTTTTGCTGCTGATTTCAAGTTCCTTGAAATTCTAAATCTTCCTTTCATTTTGTCGGTTTATATAAAAAAATTGCCATTTTGAATGTTAATAAATATTGCACAACTCTTGTTGTTGTTGTTGCTGTTGTCGTTGGTGGATAGTTTCATTTTTTTTGGATCATAAATTATTTGATGATGATGATGATGATGATGAATAAATACCGGTTCAAATTTTTGTCTTTCCCCATTCACATGATAAATCATATATATACCACATGCATACACATCAATATCATCATTCATTAATTGTTAGATTTGATTTTTTTTTTCATTTTCTTTTTTTTTTTTTGCCTAAAAGGCTTATAAATCAATTTTCTGATCATCAAATCGTTCTTCGTTGTCATTGTAGTTATCATCATCATCATCATCGTTGTCGTCGTCGTCGTTGTTTGATTGAAAAAAAGGTTCGTTTCCTATAATTTTCTATGAATTTTCGGATATATAATAAAAATTATTTGTCCAAGTACAAATACGTGTTTTGGGAGGTCAAGTTCTCTCTTTTTGAGTTTGTCTTGTGTGTGTGTGTATGTGTATGCGAAAAATCCTGTTTAGTTTGGTTTGTGTTTGATCAAAAAAAAAAAAATCGTTTCCAAAACAACAACAAAAAAAACACAAACACGGATATTTGTATAAAAAGTGAAAGAAAATTTACTAATTTGTATTTTTTTTTTCACTTGTTGCTTTCGATGATTTTTATGTATTTGCACTTTGGCATTCAACAATTGTTGGTGAAAATTATCAATTTTTTTTTTTTTCATAATCAAAAATTAGGTAAGCCAATATTATGACAATAATCATCTATCCATCCATATTAATTAATACCGGTAATCACCGGCATAGAGTTATGATAAATTAATCTAAATTAATCAATCAATTGATTGGATAATAATATAATAAATTACAAGAAATATTACTATATAGAAGCCACTTGAACCTGGAAATAGGGGTTGTCTCCTGTTTCAATAAAATTTCAATTTCAATATAATAAATTGATTGATTTAGTAGAAAAATCAAATGCTTATCATTCTAATCTCTATACTAGATCAGAATAGTATCCTTAATCTTGAAATTTTTCCAATATTCATATGTATCCCCCTCTTTGATCGATGTTATCAAAGTGTTGAGGGCATAAAAAAAACAACCCAACAAACAAAATCGATAGAGATTTAAATAGTTGAAGGTTATATATAATGACTTGTATCATTGTTCATTTTGCTTTTAAACATCAATTGTGTGTGTGTGTGTGTGTGTGTGTGTGTTTGACAATCAATCATTAGACATTGGCATTGATTTTGAATTTTATCAATCATCATTTTATTGATTTTGATTTATGTAAGTTTTCATTGTATTTTTTTTTCAATTGAATCCAAAAAAAAAAAAAAAAAAAATTCCTGCCTATCTGAACGATCATTAACCTTTAACCAAGTTGATTTAGTTGGTGGATAATTTCCATTCAAAAAACATTCATTATTTTCTGATCATCAACAAATGACAACCGCAACAACATTAGTTTATGCAAAGGAAATGAATGTTGTACGAATGAATTTAGATCATTTTACTATAGTTTTTTTTTTTGTTTGAAAAATTTTTTTTTCACTTTAATTGCTTTGTTCCAGTAATGTGTTCATCTCCAGAGTTTCAATTGCTAATTGCTTGCTTGTTTTTTTTCCATCAAATAGAAAACGATGGGGAGTTTTTTGTTTTTGTTTTATTTTAATTTTAAACAAATCAACTTTTATCAATCGAGTGAGAGTCGGTAGTAATTTTTTTGCACGTTTGCGTATGAAAAATCCAACGAATGTTGGCCCATTTTTTTTTTTGTTTTTGAACATCGATAAATTTTATTCAACAACATCTTATTTTTTTTATTATTATCATAATAGATTGAAATTCGTCTTTGTATTTTGGTTTTATTTTTGAACGAAAATATTGCAGAAAAAAAATGGAACATTTAACATTTACTACTGCTGCCATTTTGTCAATTTTGACATTATTGATGCCCATCACCACCATTCATACATTAACTGTTTATGATCAATCATCTGAACCACATCATATTATATTATCATTGAAAGAAATATCCACCGAAGATAATAATAATGATAATGTTGAATATCGTCTTAATACATCAACTAATTCATTGGAAATGTTGGTCGATCATAATAACACATTTAATCTGATACTTGAGTAAGTTTAACAACATTGTTTCTTATCATTATTTCAGGTTTTCTCATACTAATCCAACGTTTATTTTTATTAAAGTCCACAAATATCATCAAACGATACTAAACAATTGTTGACACGATTCACATGTGAAAGTGAAGAAACAGATTCATTTGATTGGAATTCAACTGAAAACAATTGTGAAATATTGCAATTACCAAAATATGAATATATTTTCAATGCTACTGAAGATTCTATAAAAGTAATTAGCTTGAAAACATTGAAACAAGGAAAAACACAATTGGTCGCACATGCTAAATGGATATCGAATACATCTGAAGTGACTATTGAGTAAGTGAAAAAATGAAAAAAAATTTCCAGCCATAATTAAAAATAAAAATCTGATTTTATTCTATTAGTACATGGAAAGCTTATGTTACAGTAAATGTCGGTGTTTCAGATACTATTCTTGTTATTAGTGCTATTATTGGATGGATTTATTTTGTTGCTTGGTCAATATCTTTCTATCCACAAATTTGGGACAATTTCAAACGAAAAAGTGTTGTTGGATTAAATTTCGATTTTATTGGCCTTAACATTACCGGTTTCATTTCCTATACAATGTTCAATTTTTCACTATATGCCATAACTTCGGTACAAAAAGAATATGAAAACGATCATCCACGAAGTCAAATTCCGGTACAATTAAATGATGTTTTCTTTGGATTTCATGCTGCATTTGCTACATTGATTTGCATTATTCAATGTTTTTTATATGACGTAAGTGTTTTATTTTGTTTTGATCACTAAATTATTTGATGCATAAATGGATATATCATTTTAAAATATAGCGAGGAGAACAAACAGTTTCGTGGTTTGCTCGAATATTTCTAAGTATCGTTTGGACCGGTTACATTGTTATAGCCATCATTGTGGCTTCTACTAATTGGCTGACTATGTTAGATTATCTTTATATACTTTCATATGTAAAATTGGTTATTACAATCATCAAATATATACCACAAGCTTGGTATAATTATTGCCGTAAATCAACAATTGGTTGGAGTATTGGTAATATATTTCTTGATTTTACCGGTGGATCATTGAGCATGTGTCAAATGTTTTTACTAGCATATAATTACGGTAAGACATACAGCTATTCCATTTGATATATTTAATTAATGATAAATCATCTACTTATTTACTTAGATGATTGGGCAACAATTTTCAATAATTTCACCAAATTTGGTCTTGGATTCATTTCCATTTTATTCGATGTATTATTCTTGCTACAACATTATGTATTCTATCGTCATAGCGATGTTAATGATTCAAGATCATTACTAGTTTGAAACAAAATTCGTCATAATTATTAATTGTTTTAGTTTTATTTGTTTGTAAATATTTTGCCACTTTATAATAATTTATTTATTATTATTATTTATGATTCATTTATTAAATTAAATTTTTAAAAATTTTATATTTTTGGAACAAAAATACTGATTGCATATAAAATGAAATTACAAAATTTCATTTTGATGATTGAAAGATATGTCACAACAAATTCCTAAACGAATATTATTTCCACCACCATTTGAGAATATATCACAATATGAAAACGAATCATTCAAAGTTCAAAATCCAAGGCCACTAATATCGACAGATAAAAAATCCAATAAACAATCATATTCGGTAAATATTACACCACCATCAATTAATGTACGGAAAACAGATGGAAAAGGAGGAGGAATGGCGATGATGCCCGATTCGAATGAACAAATAATGAGTTTAACACGTATGATGGATAAATATCAGGATGATCTAAAAGAAATATATGAAAGTATACATCATCAATATAGTCAAATGTATTATGCAAGTGATACGAACGTTTCGAATTGTATAAAGATGTTTGATTATATGAATAATTTTAAACACTTGATTAAAAAATGGAAAGAATTATCTAACCAAGAGACGAATGATTTTGGTTATATGAAATTGGATGATCAATTACGTTTACTTTTGGAAAATCTGGACATGTTGACCCAATTGGATTTCAGTCCAATGTTACCGATTTTAAACTGTATGAAGGACAAAATACGTCAAACAAGAAAAATTAAGCTCTTAGAATTTTGTGATGCATTGAATGATTTATACATGAATGTAAGAACTGTATGTGATGCAAATTTAAGAGTTGAGATCGATGAACATTTGAAAAAAGAAAATCCAACGGCAATCGATACTAAACGATATCTTCAACGTTTGTATGATGTGACTATTAATGATGAACGCCATAGGAATGTCTGGAATCAATCAGCAGCGCGATTATTATACAAAAAAGAATTGAAAGATTATAAGGAATAAAAAAATAAATGATGCATCACAGCACTAATGTTGATTTTTCATCACTTTCGTTTGCCTTGTTTTCATTTTGTTGTTGTTGTTGTTCTTCCCAGGCAAAAAATTTTTTTGTAGCTGAAACTTTACATTGTCGTTTGTTTTTACCATAACCGATAAATGTACCAACACCATCGACTCTAAGTTCAATCATTCGTCGATCGGTTACCGGTTTTTTGGATAGATTATTTTCCGTCGAATTATCCGCTGTTGGTTCAACATCTTGAACAGGACCAAAATGGCAGTTATGATAGAATTGCGATAAACGTAACAGAGGCATCATTGGAATATTTTTCATAAAATGATCTTGGTGACGAGAAAAAAAATCGATATTACAATCATTCATTAATATTAATATTCAAAAATATATTACCTGTTTCCACTTTAATCAATCGATAAGCAATACGCCATGTAGCATCCAAATCAAAATGACAATCAATAAATATTGCACCCATTAATGCTTCAAAAATATCGGCCAATGTTTTTGGTATATCAATATTATTCAAATCATAAGCAACATCTTCATCGAATTCTTTTACCAATAATTCTTCAACTTGTTCAATATATTTAAAGGTAAAACTATTAACAAATTTATATATTTTCGATCGTAATCCAATGGATGAATGTCTTATGAATTTATGTAGACCATGTTTAACAGTGATTGATGCATAGAATGCATTATTAACAAGTGCATGTTTCAATAATGTTATTCCAGTTGGATCTAATTCATGATCCATATGATAGATGAATCTTGTCATCATATAATCTAATATTGCATCGCCAATAAATTCTAAACGTTGATAACTGGGTATAAAATTATATCGAATTTCACCCGTTTCCATATCTACCGAACGATACATTGATGGATGATTGAATGCTTGAACTTTGAAAAATTCAATGTAATTAGTTTTTGGTCAAATGACAATCAATAAACACTACTTACCAAGAAGATATTTGGCTCGAAATTCATATTGAATTTCTTCCTCTAATAAATGCATAGAATATTCATTATAAATATCATCGATTTCAACCTGTATACTTTGTTTTTTCATTCTTTTCAATAATTTTCGATCAATTTCTTCATCATCGATTTCATTGAATTTACAATCATCTACATCGATTTCTGAGCCGATGTGTCGCAATTGAAGATTTAGCTTATAATCAAGAAAATCATTCAAACATGATTGATTGGATTTCAATTTTTCCGGACAAAAAGATTTAAGATCAAGAAAATTGTTTAAAAATTTCAATGCCGTTCCAGCACCACCGTATACAAGAAATGCTCCAATCAATGATTCAATACAATCGGCAACATCTTTATAACGAAGTTCGTGACGAAATTCCTTTTCAATTGGAACAAAATTCTTGATTAATAAACGTTTAAAAAAATTTAATGGTATCGATTGATGTAATGAACAGAAAATGTATTTTGTAATATTCTTTTCCATTGCAATCTTGAATAGATTCTTATTATTAATCAATGATGTTTTCAAACAATCAAATTTCATTTCATCATAATCTGGATATTGAAAAAATAGATATAAACTGCAGGTAAATTTGATGAATGAATCGCCAATAGTTTCTAATCTTTCAATATTCCATGAATCACTAGCTTTAGTCAATGTTAATCCTTGAACAATATGCCATGGATTGGGACATTTGAATGTTCGAAATGTGTTGTAGGATAATGCATTTCTATCGATATATTCATCAATATCACCAGTGAATTTAAAAATTGATGATTGTCCAAATTCGATTCCTGAACGAAGAAGATCATGATCAATTTTTCTTTTTGAATAATCTTTTTTAATCGTTTGAATCTGATTAATTTTACTTATCAATTCGGCAAATAATTTTTCCTGTTCATCTTTATTATTGCTCACGGTGATAATATCGTCCATGAATTCTTGATCACCATTCATCTGCCCGTTAGTTTCTTCCGTTTTTTTCATTTCATCAATGAGAAAATTTTCAAATGTTTTCATAATCGGATTTTCGCATTCATGAAATTTTGTTTCATCAATAATTGAATTAATATCGACAAGTTTAATATCCGATTCTTCTAGATCATCTTCTCTGTATAGAATTTCTTGAATTTTTTTCGTTCGTAACAGTATGTCTTCAACATCAAAATTTTCATTTTTATAATTTAAATCAATACAACCATGTAGACCAGATAGAAATTCTTTGCCCAAAGCATATTGTTCTAATCGATAAAGTAGAATCGGAATCGATGCGATTCGTAGATACATACGACTATTGATTGGATGTATGGTGATCAATTCTAATGGAAACAATGTTGAATGACGACTGGTAGTTTTAAGCATCGTACATTTTTGTTTATAAAGATGATAATTAATCTGAAATGTTTTCACGTCTCCAGCGTTTACCATCGGTAATTTTTGATCTTGTATAATTCGATCATATTTTTTTTGATAGAATTGTGCATACGTTTGTCCTTGAGGAAATTCATCAGAAGGTCGAATCATAAAATCCGTACAATTTCGATCACCAATATTTTTAACAAAATAAAAATGCATTGATGGTTGATGGATAGCCGAAAATATGGTGAATTCATCGTCGAATTCAATTTTATCCGTTTGTGGATCATATGCTTTCACTTGATCAAGTTGTAATGAATCAGGTGAAATTTTTCCAGTATCAATATTAGCCTCATGATATGATTGTTCCCAATATTTAAGAAACTGAATAAATTCATAATCAATGCTATAAGCAGATGATTGTTTTTTCATTGGAACAATATAAAAACCACGATTCAATGGTAATGATTTATCCAGTTTTAATCGTTGAGAAAAAACCATATGCACAACATGATCGTGAAAATATTCGATTGAATTCAATTTTGTTTTATCACTTAAATCAATTTTATCACAGTATCGTAATTCAAATTTGATTGGAAATAGATTGAAATAAAAATATGATTGCACAAAATCCAATGAATGTTTTTGCGATAACAATAAACCGATTGTTTGTATATCATTTTTTGATTCATTTGTCGATATAAACAATGGTTTATATAGCTGACTACGAAGCTCAGGTTTCAAGTTGGTTGAATCAAAACTTCCGGCTTTGAATTCTAATGCATATAGATAATAGATGAAATCTTTGTTGACATTCTGATCAAAGTCAATTATCGCTTGAAAATAATCTGATGTTTTATTCAAATGATGACGTGTCTTGAATTGTGTTTCATCATCCAATCCTCTTACATATCGAATATTCAATTCAGGAATATGTTGTTCGAGTATGAATCGCTTCTCGAAAACATTCAAATTTCCATCAATATCACCGTTGTCGATTAGAAATTTACATGCACGAAAAGCACAATGTATTGCAGCAGATTTTTTTTGCCGAAAATAGCCACCTTTACACACTGTTCCAGCATGAGTTGAATTGATTGGAAATATGAAAATATAAGCATATCTAGTCTCCAGTGATTGCCGAACGATAGGATGAGGAAATAATTTTATGAAAAATTCCAAAGGCATTTGTTGTTGAGTGAATAGATCCCGTGGTAATTTCATTATATATTTGTTCAACAATTGTAATGATCCACGTGGATATAAGGTACTTTGGCCATTTTGAAATGGTTTAATTGATAAAATATCGTCAGTGATTGGATCATTTAGTTTAAAAAATTCAGGATTAAAATCATCAACATTTTCACTCAACGATTCTTGTTCGAAACAGTCAATATAATCTTCCGATTTAATATTGACCAATAGATCATCAATCTTTTTATAATTGATCAATTTTTTCTTTACTTTTTTCGCTTCACTATTCAAAGTCATGATGTAGAAATGTGAATGATCATGTCTTGCACGGCCACGAGATTGACAATAAGCACGATAATTATCAACACCATCATAACGAATGACAACATTACAGATAGGAACATCGATTCCTATTTGGTAAATCGAATGATAAAATGATTATTAAACACGAAAAAATATCAACTCACTTACCTTCTTCAAGTACTGATGTGGCAACAATAAAATTGACATGATTTTCACGTAATTCATTCAAATATTGAGAATTGCTTTGAATAAAATCAAAATGAACAAAATCTTTTACAAACGAACCGCAAATAAAACCTGGTTTAAGAAATGTTAATCTTTCATCATTTTTCGATAATAATTTAAGCCAACGAAAAATGAGATTAGCATCCGTTCTTTCCGAAACGAATAGAATACCAGTGAATGTTTGATTGGAAAAATTTGATCGAAATTTTTCGATTAAATTCAATAATGATTTTAATTTGTTGGAAATTAAATCCGTTTTGATTAAAATCGGTTGATATTCTTGTTCATTATTGTAAGTGATTCCTTTATGTTCATATAACCAATGACGTATTCGTTTGTCAATATATTTCATAATCTTCATCATTATTTCACCGATTTCGAAATGATTTTTGGTCAATGAATCACAACAAAGTTTTATATATTCCAATGCAAACCATAATCCCATTTCTTCTGTAATGATCTTATGAATTTTCATAAATACAAGCTGAAATTGTTTCAAAGATGTGAAATGTTTTGTTTCGGAAAAAATACAAAATAATCGATCGAAATCGAATCCAATCTCGACATCGAAACATGTTTGATTGTATTCAAGTAATTCTTCTTTATATTTATGTAAATATGAAAAGCCACCTGATTCAATACGAGCCAGATAAAGTTGTTCGATTTTTTTCAATGAATCATCAATTGATGCAAGTATTGATTGACTGTCGTTGGCAAAAATTGAAGCACTTAGACAAAGTATTCGTGGCTGATACAAGTCATCAGTTTTTTTAACTTGTTCCATAATACGGCTATACGGATGATTCGATGGTTCGGTACCATTTCGAAATGCCCAATGCATTTCATCGAAAATAATCAGATTCAAATTACGAATCTGAATATATCCTTTCAATATAATATCCAACAAAATATCGGGTGTAACAACGAAAATTTGATTTTTTTTCAATCGATCCATCCATTGTTGTTTATCGAATTTATCTGGCTCATCATCACCAGTGAGCATAAGAATTTTTGCCCTTACGAATTTTTCAATCATATGATATTGTTGCATTGTTAGTACACGTTTTGGTGTAAGAAAAAATGTTCGTTTCGCATTCTTTGGATAATGTCCAAATGTTTGTGGCAATAAATGATTGATCAATTCGATGGCTATCATTGTTTTGCCACTGCCCGTTGGTAAACAAACGATTAAATTTTCTTTGATACATTTTTTAAAAATACGTTCCTAGAATTTTACAAAAAAAAATGAATTCTAAATAAAAATGGATATATAAATTCAAAATAAACCAACTTGATAATCTCGTAATTTCAGTATAAAATCATTCGATGTATTTTTTCCATTACAAGTCATGATTCACAACAGAAACAACAATAACAACAACAGAAATTTTGATAGCACGTTGTTTCACTCCACTAGAGCCTTGACTCAACCAACTTGGTGGGTTGTGCGAAATATGTTGTATATAAACAGAAAAAAAACTTGGGTTTATGATATGATGAATAGATGATGATAATTAGTAAACAAACATATTACGCTTTCAATATTTTCAACGATTTCGAACATATGTGTAAAGACAAAAATGAAACAAAACAAAAAGGAAGTACAATTCATTCGAATAGTAAATTTTTTTTTTTTTTTTTGTTATCGATATAATCGATATTAACAGAAAGAAAAACGACAACAACGAATCAATAATAATCTATAATTTAATTATACATCCGTCTATTTAATTCGAATATTTTTTTTCCAATTGAATTCTAACAAAAAAATTATTTATTTTTTTTTTTTCAAATGATTACAATGAATTCTGTATTGATGAATGGTCGACAAACCAGACAAAGGATTAAGAAATTAATCGAAAATTATGATAAAAAAATTCATGATGACCACCACCATGATGATGATGCAATGGCTACGTTTGGTTTGAATTATTTTCATCCAGAACAACGAACAAAAATGATGAAAATACTATTAAAATATTCAATACAAATCGACGAATTGATAGTGGACATTGATTTGGTGGAAAAAAATGCTTCATGGTTGAATGATATTTTTTTATTGAACAAACGAATAATTAATCACATTGAACTATTGGAAAGTATTGATCTACCAATCGGTGATGATAAATGTGATGAATTATGTATTGATTTCCGTAATCAAATGCTAATGAGATTGACGAAATTACAACGAAAAATGATTTGGACATTTGTGAAATTTTTAAAACACATAATTGATACGAAATTGGAACGAAATCAATTGACCAATCAAACATTGTTGAATAATGTTGTTGAATATTTGGACAATGTACTTCAGGAAAGAATAAGACCAAATTTCGAATTCATCATTGACATTTGGAATCAAATATTTGATAATGATGACAGTGAGCTAAACGAATCAAATCATGATGATTCGAAAATGTCCGAACTATCAGATTGTTACATATCAGCATCATCATCACCATCATTAGATTCTATAATGAATTATGATGATAATGATGATGAACGAGAATTTAGTCAGAAATTTTCTTGGCCATCCGAAGATGATGGTATGGATTTTGAATATTTTTAATTGAATTTTTGATTTTATGAAATTTTTTTTGAAAAATAAAATATTTATTAATTAAAATCAAAATTGGATAAAATCAAATGTTGCAATCAATCAATCAATTAATCAATTATTCGCTATCGGATTCCGTTTCATCATCATCATCGTCATCATAATTTTCGCCATCATCATCACTGTCGTCATCATCGGATTCTGTATCTTTTTGTTTGGAATTGTCATCATCATCATCATCGTCAGTATCATCATCATCATCATCATAATCTGATGATGGTTCGTTTGTCGTCGTAACAACATTTTCATCATTTGATTTTATATTAGTAGATTTTGTCACCAAACTTGATTCATCTTCTGAATGTAGCAATTTTCTGTCATGAAAAAAAGAATGAAAAATTAAATTTGTAACAAACACGCTCATATATCTTACGGTGTTGTAATAGAATCTTCCACCGAAGGAACCGGTGCCGATTGTGATTGTTTTACAAGAAAACTATTTATCAAAATTAACACGACAATAATCGTGATACCCATCAAACGATAATTATTGAATTGAATGGCCATGATGATTATTATTGGTCTGGATAAGAATACGAAAAAAAAATTACACTGAAAACCAAAGATCCAGCGATTTCGGCTTTATATATTTATAAATCCGATTGGTTAATTAATGACGTCAAATCAAATCAATGATGATTTGAAGAAGAAGAAGACGAAGAAATTGAATGTATAAAAATGAGAAATGTCAAACTACTACAACTAACACTCCACACGTTAAAAAAACACACAAATCAAAACCTTGAACAACAACGAATGAAAAAAAAATCTCCCATATTGATGAATACCTGCATTTATATATTAATTTAAAATCACATGATGATGATAATATCATTGACAATTTACAAAATGGTAGACAGTTTCGTTTTTTCTTTTTTTTTAGAAAAAAAATTGAAATTTCAAATATGAACAAAATTGTAATCAAAAACGATGAAATTTGTCAATCGCGTAATCATTAGACGTCATATAATTAATGAAATGATGAATTTTTTTTTGTTCAATACAAAATTTCCACTCATTTGGTTTCATCATTAGTATATCTCACACTAAATGATTCGATTTGAATCATCATATTTCAACTAATAATAAACACAAGGATTCTTTCAAGAAATGAATAATTTCATATATCATCACCATCATCAACATCAACAACATCATTAATGATTGATTGATTGAACATCAATCAATCAATTATCAATTATGTAATGTACGATGGTAAGGATAATTATGGTTTTTTTCCCAAATCATCATTATTTTATTATCTTTATTCATAGATGATACATACATTTCCCGTTGGTTCATCATTATCATCATCATCATCAACATCATCATTAATTGAACAATAACAACAACAAAAACAACAACAACAACATCAACAAAAATAACGACAAATTGCAAAAAAAAGATGAAAAAAATCAATATTACCTGAACAAAAAAATATATGATGATCATCATAATCGATTTATATATTACTATTAAATATGATAAAATTTACATTATCATGTTCATTCATGATGATGAATATTGATCCACAATGACAATTAAAATTAAAATTATCATCACTAAAATCCATAATGTTATCAATGGTGGATATAATAATGTTGTAATTGTAATTTCTTTGAAATTTCATTTAATTAATCGATAATAATAATAATAATAATAAACGATCATCAATCAATCAATCAATCAATCAATCAATCAATTCAATTCAATTCATCATTTTAAAGCTAAAAGACATTTATATATTTGTAATAATAATATAATAAAATCCAAATTCACATTTTTTTGTTGCCACACGTAATAATAATGTTGTTATTATTATCGTTATAATCATCATCATCATCATTGTCATTGTTTTGAAATTGTATATAATATGTTCGTACTTTTTGTAAAAATTCTTCTTCTTCTTCTTCTTCAGCCACACATTGAGGAGAGAGAGAGAACAAAACGAAAAAAAAGAGCCAGAAAAAAAACTAATATTTAGAAACAATTGATGAATCGGTAATAATATAATGGGTAGGTGGGTGGTAGATTGGTTGGTTGATTGGTATACATCTCATCGGACATAATATAATTATATATAGTTGTTAAATGGATAAAAAGTGTGTGTTGGTGTTGGTGTGTGTATGGTTCGGTATTTATGCAGTATGGTAATTCATCAGTTCAATCCAAAAAAAAAAAAACATTGATCCATTCATAAATTAAATATCATCTATAATCCTGGTGGTGGTTGCTGTTGTTGTTGTTGTTGTTGTCTCATCGACGGATTACTACCACCACCAACAACAACATTGGATGTTGTTTGATTTGAATTGTTGTTTGTTGATAACATTTGGCTGAATAAATATTGATTCAAATTATTTTGTTGATGCTGCTGCTGTTGTTGTTGTTGTTGATTTCGCTGCTGTTGCAATTGAAGAAAATGCATTTTTTGTTGCAACATTTGTTGTTGAAATTGTTGTTGATGATTATTATTCGGCAGATGGTGGTGAACAATTCGGCGATGTTTGCTGCTGCTGTTGTTGTTGTTGTTGACCAGCGTTTTTCCAAAATTGTACCATTTGTCTAAAAATTTTCAAAACAAAAAAGTTTTCCAATAAAAATTTATCGTTTTAATCATGAAAAAATAATTTACCTTGGTGATTGTTGCTGGAAAGCACCATTTCCATTCAAGAATTGATGATGACCACCATTCTGCATTTGTTGTTGATGGCCAAATGAATTTAAATCATTTTGTTGTTGCTGTTGTTGTTGTTGTTGTTGTTGAAATTTAATGTTAACATTTGGTAACAATTGTCTTAATGAATTCTGTTGCTGTTGCCATTGTTGTAGTTTATTGTTTGTTGGTGATGATGGACCACCACCAACCATACAAAGTCCATTTTGATTAAATCCAAATGGATTATTATTGTTAGATGATTGTTGTTGCTGTTGTTGTATAAAATGATCCAAATTTTGTTGCTGTTGTTTTTGCTGTTGTAACAAAGATAAAAGACTAAGATTCTGATGCAATGCTGATTGATTATTAAAGAATTGTTGTTGTTGCAATTGTGATGGTGATGAACGATTACCAAATCCAATATTATTAATCGATGGTTGTTGTTGTTGTTGTGGATATAACGAATTAAACAACGATAAATCACCATTTACATTTGTTGTAAATGGTAATGATGATGATTGTTGTTGTTTTGTTCGTCCATTGTTTTGACATTCAACAACACCATTATTATTATTATTATTATTACAACCAATATTCAATAATGCTAAACGATTCAATAATTGATTTGTTTGCTGTTGTTGTTCCAAAAATGAATCACAACCAAAATGTTGTGATAGATTTGTTGTTATTGATGAATGCTGTTGATTTGATGATGATTGTAAATTATGAATATTATGAATATGGCTATTATTATTATTATTATTCGGTTGCATCATCATTATTCCACCAGCATTGCTGTTTCCATTGCCACCAACAAAACCATTATTACTGGCTCCGTTTATTAAACCATTATTATTATTAATTTGATTCTGATTTCCATTCATATATGATGATGTCGATGTCGATCCTAACATTGCTTCCAATGTTAATGATATTGGATCAAAATCAAGATCGTCATCATTATCATTATTATCCAATACAATATCATTATCATCTTCGTCATTCGATTGATTTGTTATTAGTGATTGTTGTTGATGTAATAATTCTTCTTCCGTACAATGTTGTTGTTGTTGTTGTTGTTTGGCCTGTTGTTGAATATTATCCGGTGTTGATGAATTACTATTACTACTACTACTGCTGCTATTACTGCTTTCATCACATGAGAATGATGAAGTTCCTGAAGATGAAGATGATGAAAAATTGGAAAACATTGATGGTTCAACAACAACATTATGATGATGATGATGATGATGCGCATGATGATGATGATGATTAGGTGTGGATGAAAGACTTGAATTCCCACTTGATGAATCAGAATTATGTCCATTTGTTGTTGTTGTTGTTGCTGTTGCCACCGTATTATTTGTTGATTGTAACGAATTATGCTGCATTATTCGTATGGCCTGTGTTTTTTCAACCATATTCATCGATGTTGTTGTTGTTCCTGATGATGACGATGATAACCAACGTTGTTGTTGTTGTTGTTGTTCACAATCAATCTATAAATGACAAAAAAAAACAGAAAAAAAACATTATTTCAATGTTGCAAAAATAAATGAAAATCGCAGATTCATATCATTATCATCTAATTTGATCATGGTGGTTAATGGTAAGGGAACAAAAAGATTTTTAATTTTTTTTTTAGTAAAGATGAAAAAATTATCAATTAATGTAATGTGTAATATGTGGTGTGTATGTGTGTAATCGAATGATGAATATAAATCAGTAATGATGAATATATCACGAATTAATTGATCAGTGTTTTTTTGAATGATGAAACTTTTCTATAACTAAAAATAAGAATTTCGATCATGATCAACAACATTATTGCCAGCCAACGATATGAATGGTGATGATCGTTTCGTTGATAGCTGAGCAATTCGAACATTCTGTTGTTGATGTTGTTGTGAATGTGAACGACGATAAAATATTCGACTTGAATAACGAACCACTTGTCCATTATTATTATTATTATTTTTATAATGATGATGAGAATTAAAACTTTCTTTTTTTCGTTCATTTCGCACAAAATCATCATCAACATTCATGCAACGATTATCATTATGGACACTAACCATTTGGTCAATATTATCAAAATCGCCATTGGAATTTTGTCCAAGTTCATTTGATGATTTCCGATAATGATTTTGCTGTTGTTGTTGTTGTTGTATGGGTGGTGAATTAGAAACTCCTCTCCCCGTAGTAGTAGTAGCATATGGCCTTTGTTGTTGTGTCAATTTTGTACCATTAGTCTGAATCTGTTGTTGTTGTTGTTGTTGTTGCTGCTGCTGCTGTAACGTTTGTTTTTCCTTTTCCCGTTCGGCAACAATAATATCAAGATAATGTTGTATCAAACGTTTTTCATATTCTGTATGTTTTCCTGCTTGCATTTCTTCTTTCGTAAATGATGCTTCCTGTTCAGCCATTTCATGTAAATACATGCCTATTAAAAATGGTGGACATAACATTGGTTAATTGAAAACAATAAAAAAAAAAAAAAATTTTTTCACTTACAATCTGGTTGTTTAGGACATGATTGACTACGTAGCCAATGTGTACAATATTTTGTTGTACCTAATGATGCTTTTACCGATGTCAAAATACTTCCACCTAAAGTTGATATTCCACCACCATTATTAGTCATTAATTGATTTCTAGATGTTTTTGTCATCATTTGGATACCGTTTTGTTGTTGTTGTTGTTGCTGCTGCTGTTGCTGTTGAGATGAATCATTCAATGTTTTAATCGCTGCAACAGCATCTTCAGGCCTTGTATATGTTATATAAGCCGAAGATGAATTGATGACCATTTTGACAATTTTTCCATATTTCGAAAATTCTTTCCGTAATTCATCCTGTGTAAATCTTGGCGATATACCGATCACAAACAACAAATTTTTCTGTACAACTCTAATTGTTGAAAGATTTTGTTTGTTGCCTAAATTTTTTTTGTGAAAATGAAAAACAAATTAAAAGATGAAATAATGAAATATATAGTGGATATTACCATCTTTCAGTTTTTGTTTTTCCTTTTGTTTCTTTTTCATTTTTTTCAATTCTTCCACACGTTCAATACTGATTGCAGAGAAATGAATTGGTGAATCAGGATAAGGCTAGAAAAAAAACGAAAAAAAAAATTTGAAAATAAACACTCAATAGAAACACACAAAACACATACTTGTCGACAAGCCGGACAAAGACCATTATCATCATTTTTCAAACGATGCCAACAGAATCGACAAACTTGATAACCACAAGAACAGGGAAAAAAATCGAGATCATCGATATCCAAATTTTCCATACATAATGGACATTCAACAGAAACATCATGATAATCGGTGGTTACTACTATTCCATTATTACTATTATTGTTATTGGCAGTCAAACTATTTGTTGTATTTGTTCCGATTACAGTTGCAGCCTGTGGTTGTTGTTGTTGTTGACCAGTTCGATAAGAATGACATCCATTCGAATGTTGTTGTTGTTGTCCAGTTATTACAATGGCATTGGAACCATTATTGTTAATCATCGCTGTTTCAATATCACTTTTAACCATTTTTATTTTTATTTTTTGTTTTATATTTTGGTTCGTTACAGGTTATTTTTCAGTTCAGTTCAGTTCAGTTCAGTTCAGTTCAGTTCAGTTCTATTTGGTGTGATATAAAATGTTCCAAATTTCAATTCAATCCAAAACGAATAACTACGATAATTTCAACACTATTCATAGGGATGAGAAAAAAAAACAAACAAAATTTTTCAAATTAATTGATATTTTACACACACACACAAACACATCTAATATATCAAGTTTTTGCATTTGCTAAACAAGACAACTATGTTGTTGTCGATATATGTTCAATATACAAATAAATATTGATGATGATGATGATGATGATGATAAAAAAAAACACAAGAAAGGGGCATATTATAAAAAAAAATGTGTAATTTATATTCACACATACAACATATTGCGTTCCTATAGGTCACATATATATATATACAGAAATTAGATTATCAAATCATCAACACAGATGGTATATATATACAGTAGACATAAAAATAAACACACACACACACACACACACAACACGTATATACAAACAGATGTTTAATTAAACATCATGATCATCATCATTCGCAGCAGCAGCAGCACATCAATTATTAATAAACATTAGATTGATCATTGAAAATAGAAAAAAAAACTTTTTTTTCAAAATAAACAAACAAAAAAAAAATTTCCAAATAATAACAAAACATTAGATATGTACGTCATCTATGGAATCTATCTCTCTGAAACAAAACAAAAAAAAAATGAACAGATATTTCACCTGGAAACAAAAAAAAAAAAAAACATCCACCATCAATCGATTGACATTGATTAACAAATTATTAATGAATCAGCTATTCATTATCATCATCATCATCATCATTTTGTTTTCATTATAAATCTCTAAATTCATCATGTGTTTACAACACACATTGTAAATAGACAAATAGTTTTTTTTATCGCTTTTCTTACGAAAAAAAAACAACAAAAATATATTATTCATCTGACTATAGTATACTAAAAGAAAATGAAATGAAATCATATGACAATTATAATATATGATGATGATGAAGAAGAAATCAAACAAAATTACGTGATTACACACACACACACACACAAAAACACATAATCAAATTATTAAACACCCACGCTGCGCAAATATAAAAATTGATTAAATTCAGATATATATCGCACACACACACACACACACACGTTTGGGAAAAACAAAACCAATTTACATTGGTTGAAACTCTCTATTTTTTTTTTTTAAGATGATGATCCAGAGACAAAGTGAAAATGAAAATTGAAAAAATTACAAAAAAAAAAAAAACCAAAATGAAAACAAATTTTGTTTAGATTACCAGAAAACAAAACAAAACACGAACACGAACAAGATTTATTTTCTTCTATTTCTAAACAATAATACCAGTGGAAGCCATTCATTGCTTCTCTACAACCCTCTCTCATAAATTCAGCAAAATTGAATGTAAAAAAAAAATAAATCAATGACGTTGTATATAAAACGAATGCATACATAGAGAGCCAAAAAAAAACCATCTCTGTAATAGAAATCAAAAATACGGAATCCAAAATAAACATCACAGATTCTTCATCCAAAAAAAAAAAATTTGATTTCAACTAGAAAAAAAAACAAAATGTTTACAAACACACACACACCAACATTACATGGATAATAATGGACCTCGAAGAGTAAAAAAAAATTTTCATAAACAAAATAATAATAAAAAAAAAGAAGGCCAAAATAATAAAAATTCAACTCTTTGATAACTAATTTTTTTTTTTGTAAACAACATCAATTAAAAAAAAAAAAAAATGAAAATGAAACAAAAACCAATACAGAGACAGACAGACAGTCAGTCAATGCTGTTGAAACATTCAACAAGGAGACAGACCATTTTTTTTTCTCTAAAATGGAATAAAGAGAATCAGGAATGAATGGTGAAAAAAAATATGAATCATTATCATCATCATCATTATGGAAGAGAAAATCAAATACAGGTCCACATATCATTATTATGGGACCTATAAGAAAATTTTAGCAAAAGTAAAAAAAAAAGTCGACTTTTTTTCTATTCATCATCATCAGCCAACAGCAACATACGTACACACACCACCACCACCACCACCATCATCATCATCATCATCATCATGATCATAGCATCATCATTATCAACACTCTTGGCCTAAATCTTTTATCATCATCATTATTTTTCTTTAAAAAAAAGACTAGTGACTCGCTCGCTTGTATATATATATATTTTATATGTGTGTGTGGTGTAGCCACCAAACATGGTAAACACACACACACATAAAAACACATCATCACCATCTCAAAATAAATATATATGGCCGTTATATATGAAAAGAAAAACATTTTTAAAAAAATTCAAAACAAAATGATACAATGACCGAGTATGAATGAATGAAAATGTCAACATGAACATGAATCGATAAATTGAAATCAGTCAAATGATCAATATATAATTGTAGAATTTAAAGGATTTCATTACAACATACAAATGTATGTGTTTGTGTTGTTGGTCATTAAAAAAAATCGATTTATTGTAACTGTGTAATAAACGAACGAAAAAAGAGAAACTTTTACAGCTCAAAAATTTTTTTTTTTTTTTTTTGAAAAACAAAAAATGAAATAAAATGAAAAACTAAAAACGAAAAAAACCTGTGTGTATACATGTGGCATATAAATTGACAGACACACCCAGGTATTAAGTAGTTTGAAACATATATTCACATTCAATCAATACATACACACACACACACACACACAGGTGTGTGAATGATATTAATGAATTTTTTCAACAACAACAAAAAAAAAGAATCGTAATGATTGTTTGTTCATTGATGATGATGATGATGATGAACACACATGTTTTCACATTCAAACCTTTTTTTTCCAATTGATCGCCTTTGTTTTCCACACACACACACCAGAATTTTGGTCGCTGCCATTGTCAATTTTTCATAATCGTCATAATAATGATAATTGGCACACACACACACACAAATCATTAAGTAAATGAACTCGGAAGTTCATTTATTTTTCAATTTTTGTGTACCAAAAAAAAACTTTTTAATGGATGAAAATTGATCAAACAATTACAACAGTGTGTGTGTGTGGCAGCAATTGGTAAAAAAAATGATAATTTACCAATTTTCAATTGAAAGTTCAATTGAAATAAAAAACAAACAAGACAAAAAAAACAAAACAGGCTAGATCGGGTTAGTTATCAAATATGGTTGAATGAAAAATTGGTCAATCATTCATTCTGTTTTGATCATTCATTCAATCAATAATTACATATATCAAAAAAAAAAAATTTGGTCACCATATATTTAAATAAATGTGAAAAATGCTAACACTAAAACATTTTGCACTTGGATGATGATGATGATGGTGTTTCAATGTTTAGATGTAATAATCTGTGACCAACCAACTAAACGAACGAAAAAAAAAATGATGATTGATATCTTGATTCAATGTGTAATAATAATAATCCGATAAAGTCAAACATCATCATCAATAATAATAATACAAAAATGATGATGATGATGAAAGTAAAAAAAAAAAAAACACACATCATTTACATACACAAACGTTTTAAATGTCGCATTAAATTTTACAAAAAAAATGGCAATTTTTCCATCATCATCATCATCATTATTGTCGTTGAAGATGATGACATTTGAATACCATATATATATATAAATAAAGCCAGGAAAAAAAATTTGGACGATTGGTTTCATTGTACATTTGTTTTCTGTTTTGTTTATCATCTGGATTCGTATATATTGAACAAAAATCCTTCTTCCTGGACATACAATACACACGCACGAACACACACACACACACACACATAAAAATCCAAATATACAGAGAAAAACCATTCAGTTTGAATCATATATCATCATTGTCGAAGCGAATTATGAAAAAAATATATGGCAAATACCTATTATCATCGAGAAAATTAGATCAATTTAAAAAAAAATAATACACACACAGACATCAAATCTTGGCTTACCTTGATTTTTAAAGTGGTTTTAAATTCATCAATTTTTTCTCCAAAATAAAAAAAAAATGAAAGAATTCGAACTTGATTGATTGATGGAACAAATTTCTGATATAACCAAACAAACAAAAAATCTGGATCGAGATTAGAAAAAACAAAATTTTTTCTTTTCTTTTCTTTCTTTATTACGTAGGTTTTTCCCTTCTTCTTCTTCTTCACAGTTGTTTTTATTCACTCACTTGAATATACACATACACGCACATACACACATATAGATAGATTGAAAAATAAAGCAATGAGCCGTAAATCCACGATCAACAATATATAATGGATGGATGAAAAAGAATACCATTCACAAACATATATATATAGAGAGAGAAAGGGATAATGATGAAAAAAAAGAACGATAGGATTGTATATTAATCGAATGTGAATGAATAATTAATAGAAATATATTTATATATATATTGATTCAATATATACATACATACATACAAATCTTGAGACGAAATAAGAAATTGAAATTCAATTGAATTGAATTGAAGACGAGGACATCAAAAACGCACACATACACAAAAAAAACACTTAATATATAAACAGCGAAAAGAAAAAAAATTAACAAAACAAGATTTCAAGATAAATCTGGATGATTCTATCAATTTTTTCTATTTTTTTTTTTTTTTTTTTTTATGATGACGATGATGATGTAATGATGTTCGATTTTTTTTTCAAATTTTCTTAAAATTCAAATTTTCTTAGATTTGTAAATATTCTTTTATATATATGATTTATATTCAATTCAATTGATGATTGATTTTTTATTTATCAATAATTTTTTTTTCTTATTGATATAATAATAAACACACACACAAGGGGAAAAAAAATTTTTTTCTTTTATTGTCGTCGTCGTAGTCGATGATGATGATGATGCTAGCGATATTTGCATGGAAACAAGTGTAACATATACACAAAACAAAACAAAATAAAATAAAAAAAAAAAAAAATTCACTCAAGATTCACGTACAAAATACGAGATGATGAAGAGGAGGATGATGATGATGATGGTGGATCATTCCTTCATACTGCTAGCAATTTATTCATTCTTTCATGTATACGTATATGCTGGATTCTTATTTTAATATTTTTTTTCTTTTTCTCCCCTTTTTTTTCTCACCATCATAATCAATTCATCCTCCTCATTTATTTATTTTTTTTTACTTGTTTTTAATACTCATCAATACTACTACTACTACTACTACTACCCACTGCTACTACTACTACTGCTGTATTTCACACAGGTGTTAGTTTTTTTTTCTCTCTTTTTTTACAAGCGACCCAATTCATTTTGTATGCTACTACTTTTTTTGTTGTTGTTGTTGTTGTTGTTGTTGTAGCTGAAAATGATGTCGCTGCTATCGTTTTTGTTCTTATTCATAGATGAAATGACGATTTATTTTTTTGAAATTTTTTAAATTCAAATTTTAATCCTCGTTGAATGGAAAAACAAAAATCAGAGAAATAGAACAATTAATATATAAAACAGTAAATAAAATGTAAACGGAAACGATCAAAGTTTATTTAGATTTATGATAATCAACAACATTTCTTGGATTAATCATTTTTTCTTTCAACATTTTTGGCTGTCCATTACAATCGGTCAGAAATTTTCTCATAAAAAAATCAATAACACAAATTGGTGCAATTGTTTGCCAGAACCAGATTCTTATTCGTTCTGAATAACGTGCCACCGTATATGAATATTCTACCTGTGTTGTGGTAACCGCTCGTTCCATTGTACGAACTACCTGTTCGATTTCTGAACGTGCACTATCCATTGCTTGTGTCATTGTACGTACGAAACCTTCATGATATGATCGGCCATAATCTTTTCGAATCGATTCTTCACTTTGATTCCATTGTTGTTCAAATTCGGCAATCAAACGTTGTTGATTGACCAGATTTGTACTAATAATAAATGGATTTAAAGATTATTTTTTTATATATATATTCAATTAATTTGTAATGAATAAAAATTACCGATAAAGATGTGGTTCAATCGATACAACTTCAATATTCCATTTAGCTAATTCACGACGTAATCCATCAGTGAATGCAATGACGATAGCTTTCGACATACAATAGGCAACAAAACCGGGCATTGTAAAACGTCCGGCTAAACTAGCTATATTTACAATACGTGCTCGACCAAAATGATTATGTCGTAATAGTGGAAGAAATGTTTTCGTCACTAGCACAACACCCATTCCGTTTACATCCATTTGTTTGGTGAATGTTGACATGTTACCGAATTCAATTTCACACAATGACATAATACCGGCATTATTGACGATAGACCAAAGTGAAATTTCCGGTTTCGATTGTAAATACATTTGAATCTGTTCACGGGCATTATTAACACTTTGTTCATTGGTTACATCCATTTCAACGATGAAAATTTTTTCATAATTTTTTTCACATAATTTTTTTGCACCAATCGATTGTATCGATAAACAACCGGCAATAATATGATAACCTTGTTGATGAAGATTTTGTGCCAAATACAAACCGAAACCAGAATCACATCCTAGTGAAGAATTTTTTTATATAAAATGACAATCAATCGATCAAACAACAACAATCAATACTAACCGGTAATCAAAATAGCACGTTTATCCATATCGGATAGTCGATGATTTTTTGGCAAAATATTTGTCGAATATTCAAGCCAATCATGAATGAAATAGGCAACATTCCATGCAACATATATGATGAATAAATTGAACAATGTATCCTGTAACCATTGTATGATGGCATGAAATGAATGTATTTGACATAATAAGAATAATATTGTCAACAATGAAATGAAAATGTAATGTCTAATATATAAATATGGCTGCTGTTGTTGCTGCAGGTGATTCGCTGACGATAATGATGGAATGTTTGATGATTCATTTCGTTTCATGATCAAAATTCAATGAAGAAGAAGAAAAAGAAGAAGAAGAATAAAATGTGAAGTTTTCATACAAAAATGATGATACAACTTTGTTGATGGATGAAGAAAACTCAACAAAAAAAATGGATTCGAAATTGTTGCGTACGTTTTCTCTTTTCATTAATTTTTACCACTCTTTTTTTTCACATTCAAGTTGAATGACCGTGGATCAAAAAATTTTTTTTTTTATTTTAATCTTTTTTTCTCTTTCTTTCTCTCGAATAGATGCTCGATTGATTGACTTTTGCAATCATCATCATCATCATCATCATCATCATTTTATTTATTTAGGACACACATCATTTATTTTGAAAGATTCGTTTTTTTTATATATTTCGAATATAGAAACCAGTTCGTTGTGGTCGTCGTCGTTGTCGTCATCATCATCGTCGTGGTCGATGAAAAAAAAAACACCACAAGTGAGTTTTTTTTCATTGAAAACATCATCACCTTTGAGGTAAAAAAAAATTGTTTATTTTGTTTAGTAGCAAAAGAAGAAAAAACTTCACAATATACACGAATCACGAATCATGAATATGGAACCGAAATAATTTTCAAGATTCTGGACCTAATTCATTGGTAAATGAAAATAAAAACATAAAGAAAAAAGGCCATCATTTTGGTTGAAAGAATAATCACACATTCAATGGTTTACATTCATTCATTCATTCAAGTTTACATTGATTGGATTTTTTTGAAATTAATGTGGCAGATTTTTTCAAATTCATCAATTCTATTCCGTCATTGTTGTTGTTATTCGAATCGGTTGCCGATGATTTCATTGTTTGTTTAATATTCGAACGTTTGAATGCCATTTTACATAGATTAACCGATGGTGCTTCAAACAGTACATAAAGAATGTAACCGAATGTCAATGAAAATAATGTATGTCCACCGATTCGAAAAATCTGCAATTGAAACAAACAAACAAACAAACAAAATGCAAAAGAAATTATTAACGTAAGAAAAAAATGGAAAAAAAATCAATTTACCGAATTATAATGGGAAATTGTATGCAATTCACGTGATTGATATGAATAATACCAAACGACCAATGATTGTGTTAGATATATTGAAAATGTAAGCCGTGAAAATGGTTGAAAAATTTTTGCTGATAAAAATCTGGATACAATGTCTACAATTATGGCCCCAAAAAAAAAAAACATAAATCATCACGTTATGGCCATCGTCATCTGATACATACTTTTATCCGTTTCCGTACATGATGCATACACTATCCAACCGATGGCGAATATCCAAAAAAATCGTTTTATACCAGTATAAAGAATGGCTATAAGCGATGAATCGGGAATATATTCCATCTGTATGAATGGATATGTTGAAAATGGAATGACCAATGCCAGAATGATTGCCGCCCACCATAGAATCAATCGAATATTCTAATGGATGAAAAATTATTATTGATTGAATTTTTTCTCCAGAATTGAACAAACTTTTTTCAAAGAAAATCGACGATTCTGTAATAGTCCAGCAATCAATAATCCGGTAAAATAAGCAGAATAATGATTGAATGTATAGATATCAATCATACTGAAGGTAACGTTCAATTTACTGATTTGAAAATGATTTTTACAAGAATTCAATGATTCAAAATTAAAATCGAACAGATTTGTTTTTCAACTCACTCAATATCTGGTTCCATGATATGTACCAGCGGTACCCCATAATACAGATGTATAAAAATCGGACATACAATGGCCATGGCTAATGTGACGATATTGGCAATCAAACCGGCCTTATATTCATATGCATAAAGCCAAATGAAAAAATATGCCACAAGATTAATTTGAAAATCAGCACTCAAAAACCATGTATGTGATCCACATTGATCAGTCAAATGGAACCAATTTGATATGAATAAAAAATTTGTCCACCATCGTTGATAACATGGCTGATGACCATAACGAAGATAATCCCAATGCATCATTGGTCCATTGCCTAATGTTGGCCATAAAAATTGATAACAAAACATTCCCAATAATGGTGGTGCAAATCTTAACCATCTGAGTAGTATATATTTCCAATATGGTACTGATTGAAGAAATGCTTGACGATTTTTCATTGCCGTATGTAGTGATATAAGGCCACTTGTAATGATTGATTAAACATATACATATTCAGTTCATACAAAATGAAAAATAATTAACATTATTACCTGATGATGAAAAAACCGGACACGGATAATGATCCACTTATGACAAATTGTGTCCAAAAATCTCGAACTATTTGAATACTATTGGCAAAACGAGCTTTTTTCAAAAGAACAAAAAAAAAATGGTAAGTTATTCATAACACACACACACACATATTGTTATAAATGAAACATACAAGCAATCATTGGTTGATCATAAAGACCTAATGGTGCAAAATTTGTTGTATGACATGTTATCACCCACATGATCAATAAAAATCGCAGCCCATGAATGGCAGTCAATTCGGTGTGTGGTGTTGTCAATGTTTCACCTGGTTTTACCCGATAATCATTATCGTATGTAGTTATGGTAAAAAGTTTTTCCGTATTATACAATAGACTAAATCCTTTCCAAAATTCCATTATTATCGTATCGTCATCATTCATACAACATTGACGTTTGTAGCAATCGATTATTGTTCCAATGATTGCAAATGAAATACAGATGCTCAATACGAATCTTTATTGAATGGATCGATCAATTCGATAAAGAAATAATAAATAATTTAGCAATTCATTTAGTTTATATTTAACTAGATTTGAACATTACTTACATTGAAAATTTTTGTCCAAAATCCAATTCATTGGATTCTTGTTCCATTCTTGTTTGACAGGCTTCCACTTGGATTGTAAATTCAAAATTTTCAAACACTTTTCGTGCTATTTGTTCAATTTCATTACGTTGACAAGTACTTGGCAAACATAAAGCACTAACAATTCGATAATAGAAACGATAACGTGGATCATTCCACCATTTTGATGGCCATCGATTTTCATATCTAGTACCATTGAAAATGATTTTTTCATTTACCGGTGGTATCGGCAAACGTATGGTCATCAGACAATATCTTGCCTGTATCATACGATCATTATGATGATGATCGATGGCTAAACATTGATCATAATCACCAAAATCGGTTATAGTTCCGCTTATAAAACCTGGTCTTATTAATCGACCACTAGAATCAAACACTAATTTTTTTTTCGTAATTAACGTGATTATTATGATATTTTTTTTGATTGATTAACTTACTTAATGATGCCCATTCCAATTCTGGCTGTGTGAACATCAACTGCAATGAATGGCGACATTCTCCAGTAAGATTTCCAACATTAGCAATCGATTCATCATATAATGGCCTAAAGAATTGATGGGTAAATTTTTGTCCCAATAAATAGATATGATCAAAATTTTTCATAAAACGTTCAGTGTAGATATTTGGTTCATCATCATCATCATCAATATTATGACTTTTAGCTACAATGAAAACATTGGTGAACAGTAATGAATAGTAAAAAATTATTAACAAAAAATAACGCATCATGATGGTTGACATATATCAATTATAATGTTGCGTTTTTGAATTTTTAAAAAAATTGTTTAAAATTCAAATGTAAAAAAAATTTGGTTAAAATTTAAAAATGTGGTTAGATTTTTTTTTTGAAAAAAAATGATAAGTCTTTATTTTAGTTGATAATAATAATGTTACCTTGATTGATTTTTTTTTTTTTTACAATGAATGTGATTGATGAATTGTATACCTGTCGCTCGTTTTCACATCTCATGTAAGGATTTTAAATATATATAAAAAAATAGATTTTTTCAAATGTAAATCCTTACAAGCTAGATGTGTTTCGAGAAACAAGATTTTCTGTGTGTGTGTGTTTGGTGATCACATTAATCATTGAACGATTGGTTAAAGATTAATTGATCATCATCATAATCATCATCGTTATTTTTTCTTGAATCTTGATTGAATGAATGTGACAATTTTTATGATTATTGTCTAGCATTTTTATCTTTGAAATGATGATTTTAAGGAAAAAAAAAAAACGAAAGAGAAAAAACTGGCCTACCTACCGATATATACCTATGGTGCAGAAAAAAAAACAACAACAACAAAATATAGTTTTGATATTTAGATTTCCGATTTATCATCATCATCATCATCATCATAGTATGATGATGATAGTGGTACACATCCATCTCTTTATCACATAACACACACACACACACACACAGAAATAGAAAGTGATTCACACATTTATAAAATATATAAATTGCATGGATATGGATTCAAGTATTCTACAACAACCAATTTGGGTTTTCGGATAAAAATTTTTTTTTTTTTTTTGATTTGTTTCGTTGTATTGTATAATTCTTTCTTCTTGAATTAGAGCTATCTTTTATCATTATTATGAGATTTATTTTTTTTTTTTGTTTTTTTTTTTTTTGGCTATGATAAACATTATCATTATTGCATCTATGATTGGCAATAATGATGATAATCAACGTTTAAGCGTTTTACCTTTCTCTATCTATCTCTATATCTCTCTTTTTGTGATATAATTTGAGCAATTTTTCTATAAGAATAATAATGGATTTATTGATTTTTCACTGGAATTATTTGCATAGTCAGACACACACACACACACACATGTAAAGAGAAATACAGAAAATGAGAGAACAAATATATGGCCAAATATTATCGTTGTTGTTGTTGTTGTTGTTGTTGTTGTTTTGTTGTGTATGATGTTGTTGTTGTGAAATTAATAAATTCTATGGGAATTTGAAATGGAAAAAAAATTCGTTTTTTTTTCTCTCTTACTTAACGATAAACAATGGAGAAGTTTAATTGATTTGTTTTCGTAGTATTTTCATTATAAAAATAGAATAATGAATCAGTTGGATCGATTTGAGACCAAATGAATTTTTTTTTTTTTTTTTTTTGAATGGAAAAAAATCGGTCTAATGAAGATGGTACAGAACAGCAACAACAACAACAACAACAATGTGATGATGATCCAAGTGAAATGATAGCCAATTTGATGGTTAAAAATGAACGAATGAAAAGGATAATATTTACAAAAAAAGGAGGTCAACAACAAAACAACAACAACAACAACAACAACAACAAAAACGGCGATGATTGAAGAATTGCAACAATTATTGGATGATAAGAAAGTTCAACAAAAGAAGCAACAACAACAACAACCAAATCAAGGAAGATTATTAAATTCTGATGAAAAACAATCAATTATTAAGAAAGAAAATATTTACATGAATAATAACAATGTTTATAATGTTGATGGCCAAGATAATGATGATAATACGATCATCGTACCAGAAACACCAAAATGGTTACAATTCAATGGATATCAATATCAGAAAATTTTAGGTGAAGGAACATATGGAAAAATTTTCTGTGCACGAAATATTAAAAACGGTGAAATGGTTGCAATCAAACAGATTGATCGTAATAATCCTTCCATACAACAATGGTTAGATAATGGCTGTTTGGATCGTGAAATGAAAATAACATTGGCCATACGACATCAGAATCTAATTGGTGCTATTGATGTATTGAAATTTCGTTCAATAGCATTCATTGTTATGCCATTAATTGATGGTGGTAATATACGACAATTAATGTTTCGTCAACGGCGACCATTCAATGAGCGACGTACGAAAAAATTATTTTACGATATGGCCAAAGGAATGAATTATTTACATAGAAATCGAATCGTACATCGTGATTTAAAATTAGAAAATCTACTCATTCATCGTCAATATGATCGTTTAATGATTGGTGATTTTGGTTTTGCTAAAATATTGCCATCCACATCGTCGATGGCTATTGTTGATTCCACAAATATGATGACAACAATGAGAAGAAAATTTGATAAAAATCAATGCAATTCACCATGCGGTACGATTGAATATACGGCACCGGAAGTGAATTTAATACGATTAAATTATCTTGAAAATTCTCAATTTAATAATCAACAATCATATGATGGTAAAGCGGCCGACATATATTCAATGGGCATATGTTTATTTGAAATGTTATATTTTTGCAATACATTTATAAAACCGGAAGAATATTTACAAGAAATGAATATATTACAAAGAGTACAATTAGTTTATCGACGACAAATGACACAACAATGGACAGAGAATAATCGTGTTAAAATATCAACAAAATGTTCACAACTTTTAATACGATTATTGCAGATAAATGCTGAACAACGACCAACCATAATTGAAATAATTGAAAATGATCCATGGTTATATAGGATAAATCATCGTGAACAAGCTAAAAGAGAAAAACTACGACAAATTACAACATTAATACATGAATATATGGCTATGAATGATGATGATAATGATGATAATAATGATAATGACGATGATAATGATGATTATGGTGGTGGTGAAGAAAATCAATCATTAGTTATGATGAAAAATTTAGATTTCAAACAGAATCAAACGATGACCAATAATAATAAAAAAAAATTATCCAAAACAAAAACAATGAAAATACGTACATTGGATCGTTGATGGTGGCGAATCACAAAAAAATCAATCAATAAATCAATTAATAAATCAATAATTTGAAAATAATTAAATCAACTTAACTCAACTGGTGAGTGAAAGTGAGTGAATGAGAGTAGTAAATGATGTTTTAATTGTCAATATTTTCAAGCTCAGTTTCTATCCGGAACATTGTGTGTGTGTGTGTGTGTGTTTACAAAATTCATTTGTATATAACAAGAAAACAATATTTTCCGATAGAAACTAAGCATAAAAATATCACAAAAAAAATTTTGTTAGACTTACATTACATTTTTTTTCCGATTTGTAACAAATTTTTGCTTTCAATGGCACACAAGAGGACCGTAGATTTTTTTTTTCTTATTAATTTCAATATAATTTTTCTACAGTCATCAATCGTATGCCATGGAAAACAACAAAAACAAATTGAATGCAAGAGAGAGAGAGAGAGAGAGAGAAATATTTGATGAAATACATTTGTAAAACATCATGATACACATCGCCTAAAGATGCTTAAAAAAATTTATTTCATTCATTCATTCATTCATGAACCAAAAAAAAAGCATCGTTAAAGGGGATGTGTAACATGATGATACAAAGATTGATTTTGCTGAAAAAAAAATTGTTGACAAAAAAAAACAATGTCATTGTCATTTTGTTTTGTTTTATTACAATTGATGACAATTGACCATCATTGAAACAATGTGAACGGGATTTTAAATGATTTTTCTATATTGTCAACTGTCATCATATATTTATATAATAAATGATGATTTTAAAAGAGAAAAAAAGATACACAAATCTACAACAGATTTGATTATCTTTTTTTATCTAAATTTTAGATTCTAAAACATAAAGATATAATAAATATGTTGATGATCGTAATCGTAACATTGTTTAATTGTTTTTCAAAAAAAAAGAGTTTTATGATGATAATCTAAGAAATTTTTTTTTATTTGATAATTAGTTTGGGGTTCTTCTTAATCATCGATTCTTTTAAACACAATAAAATTATTATAAATTAATCAGATATCCGGCCAGGTTATTATCTTTATATATTTGGTTTATTTTTTTGATGATTTAGAAATAGAAATGAAATGATGATGATGATGATGAGTGTGTGTGTGTGTGTGTGATAAATTTTTAATTGTTAATCATAAAGTGGTGATGCGTATTTTTTTTTTTTTTTTTATTACTGATAACACACACACACACAGAGTTTAGTCGATAACGACAATTCCATGGAACTTATAGGTGTTGTTTAAAAAAAAAAAAATTTTTGTTTTTTCACTGAGACGCAATAAAGAATTTTTGTTTTTTTCTGTTAAAAAAAAAATCTTTTTTTTATTCATAATTTTCAAACAACAACAACAACAACAAAAATTACAGAAATTTAAAATTTTGCAAAATTCAAATAGGATCTAGTTAGCCAAATGGATTTCCACCACCAACACCACCACCACCATGATTCATGATATTCATAACGCCACCATTCAACGGTAAATGGCCATGACCATTGATCTTTATTCAAGAGGGAACAAAAAAAAACGAAATTCAATTAATTAATTCTAAAAGAATTTTTTATTCAATTTTTATCCAAAGAAAAAAATAGAAAGAAAAATTATTACAGATCTAGATGCTGTGAAAAAAAATGCACATCTACATAATACTCATCAACATTATAATTTGTATATACCAGGTGTTTGCAAAAAAAAACCAAATCAAAAAACACAAAAACGAAAACGAAAACGAAGAAAAAAAGAGATGAAAACAGATCACAACAGATAGATTGATTTATGATATTCGAATGAAGATGAGAGGTTGATTCAAAGAAAAGTAAATCGTTGCTGAAATGAAAAAAATACTAACAAATGCTATTCATATATATATAAAAAAAAATGCAATGAGTATGTGATTTGTTGTTGTTGTTGTTGTTGTTGTTGTAACCATTATATTTTTGTATTTTAAGTCACATATAAAATGTCCAAGAATAAAATTGACAAGAATATCATGAATATTATGTGTAGAAAAAAAAATGAAAAGCAAAGAATCAAAAGAATCAAAAAAAATCAAGGAATGTAATGTGTATTAAGAACCAAAAAAAAAAAAAAAAAAAATGCCATGTAGTGGTGTGTGTGTATTATTATTATTGTAACTATTACAATAAATGCAAGTTAGTGGTTTTTCAAACATATATATCACAAATATATTATATATATATAAAGGTTTCAAATGTTATGATTTAAAAAAATCATCTTCAAATGGATCATTTTTGTTGGCAAAAATGTCCATCTGTTCAATTGATGATTCTTGAGATCTATTAGTTTCATTTGTTATGACATCATCATCATTATTATTATTATTGCTATCGTTCGCATTTGTTGCTGTTGTTAATATTGTCGGCGACAGTGGCGACTGTATCTTGTTATTTTCATCATTTTCATTATTCAATTGTGATTGATTTTCTAATTTTTCATCATTATCATTAGTTTTGTCATCGTCCAACATCATAATTAACGAATCTTTTTGATTTCGTTTGATAGTATCGAATCCATCTTGATTTGTATCAAAATTTGCAAAATTATCATTAAATAATAAATTAGAATCATCCACTTTGTTTGTATCATTATTTTGTTTCATTGAATTCTGTTGTTGCTGCATCGTATTATCCACAAATGTTGTTGGCCAAGGGTTTTGTTGATGATGATGATCATGACTAACATATTGATGATGAGCTGGCGATATACGAGCAATTGGATCAACCATCATTGATGTTGTGGATACCAATGTGGATGCATATCCACTACTACTGCCATTACTACTGGAATTACTTCCAATACTACTGTTGGGACAACCAAAAGGTGATGGTTGAGAAGGTAGGTTTCCTGATTGTGTGGATGATAATGGTGGTAAAGGTTGTTGTTGTGTAATATCTAATTGATGATTCGGATAAAGATGACCAGAACTATTTCGACCTCTAACAATTGCAGGATAGTGTCCAGGATATGATTGATAATTTGTATAACCATAAGGAGATTCATATGGTGGTAATATTGGACTATTACGATGATGCATAGATGGTACAACAGGTGGTGGTGGGGGTTGTAATACCGGATTATGATATTTCATAATCATTTGTTCCATATTCATATTGAATGCAGCGAATGGTGATGATGATGATTTATTTGGATCATCATAATATAGATTCCGATAGAATGGATCGATTTGATGTGATGGTGGTGGCGGAGGAGGAAACATTGGAATCATTCCAGTAGTATTTGCATTGAAAGTTCGATCCGTTGTACTAGAAATAGATGATGATGTTCGATGTAAATTTGTTGATGGTGATTGGCTAGATATTGCTCCACCCGAGGAAGATGATACTGATGCAGCCGAAATACGACGTTGTGGATTAGGTACAGTTGGCGGTGGTGGTTGTGTAGAAGGTGCGGCTTCATCATTATCAATGGTATTACAAGGAGGAGTCGATGATCTTGATGAAGCTTTTATTGGCTGTTTATCTTGTGATTGTGGTAAATATTGCATAGCCGATGCTGTTGATGATAATGATAATGTTGATGATGACATTAGCTGATGTGAAGCAGCAGAAGGATGAATCATTGATGATGAATGTGGTTGTTGTTGTTGATAGTATTCATGCCAAGTATTACCACCACTAAATGGTCTTGATGGATTTGTATAATAATCATTTGGATTAGCGTGATAACCCAAATAATTTGATGGAACATTCGATGGTATTGGTGGTGGTGGAATTTGTGGTGGATAATCTAAAGGTGGCCGTTGTGGTGGTGTTGAATAGATTGGATCATTTTGATTGCAATACCATGAATCATAATAAGTTGGATGATAACGAAGATGATGATGAGATGATGATGAATTAGGCCGATGTAAATATGGATCTGGATAATGGCCACTTGGTGGTGGTGGTGATGGATAATAAGGAAATGGTGGAAATGTTTGTTGAGGATAATGTTGTGAATAAATCCTACTACCATATGATGAAGAATGACCACCTTGAATCTGTGAATGTTGCGGTGGTAATGATGGTGGAGGTATGGGACACATTTGATTATGATATTTATTTGTATTATGCAGATCAGTTCTAGGAGGTATTGCGGGTGGTGTAGATGAAGTTGAAGATTGTCGTGATAATGATAATGAAGTAGATGCTGCTTGAGGTATCATTACGATTCCGGTGGATGAATCGGACTTCAACGAAGAAACCGATTCTGTTCGCGATTTAATTGTAGTTGTATTTCTTGATTTAATTTCAATTGATTGATTTTCCTTTTCAATTGATGATTTATTATCTGATTTATTAGTCGTTTCATTATTCTCGGCAATTTTCGTCACATTTTGTTCCATATCGTTTGACAATAATGGTATTTCAAAAACATCATCGAATTTTAATTCGGAAATATTGGAATTTTCTTGTTGTAATAGCAAAGAATTTGAACTTGATGAAACGGATGATGTTCGTGATCGTTGACCATGTGATCGTTGAACAAAATTATTATCTGATAATGAATTGTCTTCATTCTTATTCATTTCATCATTTACATTTGGTTTCGATAATGATTCATCCAATTTTTTATGATCTAATTCTTTTTTCTCTTCGTTAATCTCTGCTGATTCATCATTATCTTTACGATGAGATGATAATAAATTCTTGTCTTTAAGTACTTTATCATCATCTTTAGCTAATTTTGAAAATGAATCTATATTTTGATTATTTGATAAACCATCATCATCATCTGTTTGATTTGATTGTAATGGTGATGTACTAAGATTATAAAGCATAATATAATGCGGGCTTGTTGTTATAGTTGTTGTTGTTGTCGTCGTTGACATTGTTTTTTTCGAATTAAGTGGTGGTGGATTAATCGTCAATGTATCATTATTGATATCGTCGTTATTATCATTATTATTAGGAATTTCTTCAATTTTATTGTTTGCCGATGAAAATTGTGATTTCAATGAATTGCTACAGGAAGCAGTCATAGCTGGCAATGATTGTTGATGACTTAATAAAGGCTGTGGTGATTTCCGATTTTGTTGAAAATGTAGACTATTTGGTGTTGAACACTGTTGTTTGATATAATATACAAATACAAATAAACAACAAATACATAATGGAATAAATAAGTATTGAATTTCAATCATCATACAATTGATTGTTACAAAAAAAGGGGTTACAAACAAACAAAATAAATGTACGTGTTATGTTATATGTTAGCATGTATCATGCATATATTGGATATTCATATCAAATCCGATCAATGATCACACACAAGATGCAAATGAAAAAAAAGGAAGAAATTTTAATAGAAAGGAAAAGAAAAGGAAATAGGAAAAATGAGAAACAAGATTGGCAAATAGTGAATTAGTCAAATAATAGAATAATAGTTGAAAAAAATTCATCATTTCATCTAATCAACAATATGAATGAACAAATACTTACATTACGTGAATTATTAAACAATGATGAATTTGATGAATTCATCGATGATAATGATGAATCTAATCCATTAGGATTGTTAATTATTGGTGATCGATTGCGGTTATCCTAAACGTATTGAGAAAAAAAATGTTAAAATCTTTTTTTTTACAAAAAAAAACAATAACAAATATAATTCATTTGAACAAACATTGAAATTTCCAAAATTTGAAGGCGAATTTCTTTTCTTATTATTATTTAATGGATCTAATTCTTGAAACAGTGGAATATTTGATGTTTCGGTGGTTGATTTTCTCTGATTCGGTTGCTGCTGTAGCTGTATATTGGGATTATTTGAAATTGAAGTATTCGATGAATTCGATGATAAATTCGACATTGAATCAAATTCAGCTCGTGGAGCTTGTTTTTGTGCTTGCTGTTGTTGTTGTCCATGATTCATGTTTCGACCGGTGGACATTTCATTTGAATCAAAGCTTTTAGTTAACCATTGATTTTTTGGAAAGTTTCCAACAGAACCATATTCCTTTTGTATCGATGTGGAAGAAACTGGTGGTAATACAACGACACCATTGACTCCATATGAAAGTGGTGAAGGGTTCGGATGTTGACGATGTTGTGAATTATTTATCGATGGTGGATATCCTGTATAATCAGAATTTATAAATTGTAATCGTATTATCATACCATTAAATTACCTGTAGCATAATTTCGTTGTTGCATTACAGTGGCTGGTGGCGGTGTGGGCGTTTTATTTTTATTATCATCTTTTTCAATCATTGTAGTCGTACGGCTACCCAATGAATCAAAAATTGATGTTGATATAGAATTAATATCGGCAAGAACGGCATATCTGAAAATATTCATCAATGAGAAATATGAAAAATTAATTGGAAAAAATTTTTCATACTTGTCTGCTTGGGAATTTTGATTTTGTTGAGACAATTCAACATTGCTTTTGAATAAATTGTCTGAATGTTGATTATTTGTCACAGATTGTTGTGATTTATCCAATGATAATGATCCAAATGAATTGGTCAATGCTGGTACTGATCCAGAATTAATTTCCTGTAATATAATAAAAAATGGAATAATTTTGAGAAATAAAAATTCAAAATGAAAATCGTATAGTTTACTTTGAAACTTAATTTGTTTGAATCAAACAATGTATTCGGACCAGGATTCGATGGTGGACGATTTTGTTGTTGGGGTTGCTGCTGCTGCTGCTGTTGTTGTTGTTGTTGTTGTTGTTGTTGAAGTGATGGTCGTGCACTAAACACATTCGATGATATATCAGCAGTTGTTGATGCTGTTGAAAATGGATCCGGACCAAAAGCATCGGAAAATGGATCCATTCCATCGAAATTAGCTGATGAGATCGTTGTTGAAGAGATATTCAATTTATTCTGACTATTCATCATTGCTTTAGAATTCATCTGGAATTTCTGATTTGTTGAATATTGTTGTTGTTGTTGTTGATCAGCAACCAATGTGACTGAATTATTCAAAGTTTGTTGATTATTGCCAAATGTTAATGTATCTGAAATCGATGATATTGTATTCAATGTTGAATCATCTTTGATCGATAATTGATTATGATCATCATCGAAATGTGCCCAGTCATATGATGAAGCTAAACCTTGTGGACCGGATTTCGGTTGATTTGTGTCCTATTGATAATTATAAAAATTAGTCGAACTGAAAACCGAAAAATAGCACATCACAAACCTTTGGCAATGAAGAATCAATACTTGAACCTAGATTTTGACCACCACCAGCTACGTTAGTTGGTTGAAATAGATCCAATTCATTGATCAATGACGAGGATAATGTTTTTTGTTGTAATTGTGAAAAATTATTATTAATATCATTTACACGACCAACTGTAGCAAAATGTTGATTGTGTTGTCGATGTCTTGGATGTTGATCCGATGGTGGTGGTAATGCCGGTATCGGAACATTTTCCAATGCGACACCTGTATTCGGACGAATTCGGGCACGTGATTTTGTCGTTGCCGAACCACTATTATTGATGAGATCATTAGTATTGTTAACAATCTCTAATGTCTGTGATGATGATGTCAATGAAGATTGACGATCTGGTACGGAATGATAAAGATGTTCTTCGCCTGTTGATATAACAGAAGCTACTGCTGCTGCAGCCGCTTGTTGTTCTTGTTCGGCATTTCTTTTACGTTTCAATGTTATGGCAAATAATTGGCCAATTGTTGACATGACAATCATTGCTTCTTTTTTTGTTTTTATACCAATAAATTGATGTCCAGTCTGTGAATTACCAAAAACATAACCAAAGGCACGTGTATCCGTTTCATCACGTGATATAAACGATATTTGCGGCACAGAATGATGAAATAATTCTTCATTAGTTTGTGGATCCAGAATTTTGATACCATCAAACGAAATGAATACATTGATTTTACGTTTATGACCACCCAATGCTTTTTGTATGATTTTCAATTTTTTCAATGATTGTTGACACATTTGCTCACCACGAGCTTCGGCCACATATTCATGACCAATCATTTTACCCTGAAATTGTACACCATCACCATTGAAACGATCTTCATCTAATTCGTTAAATTGATGCGATGCACCAGATGGACTAGATGGTGTTTTATTTATTTTACCATTTTCCTCCTGATGATTATCATTAATTGATGTGGATGATGTTGCATTTGCACCAAGTGATGATCCACCACCACCACCACCACCAGTTATCGTTTTAGAACCACGTGAAAATAGACCACGTTTTTTCGATGCTACATTCATCATCATAGTATTATTATTATTATTAATGGAAATTGGACTAGTTCCTGCTGATATTGTATCACTATACGGTGATCCAGTCGATATAATACTAGCGGATGAAAAAGATTTTTTCAATGATTTTTGTAATTGTTGTTGTTGTTGTTGTTGTGAAGTTGTTAAATTGATTGAATTCGATAGTTTGGTTGGATTTTGTTGAAGAAAATAACTCAACGAATTTGGTGATCCACAATCAAATGAAAATGTTGATGATAATGTCTGTTGTTGTACGTCAATGTCAATACTATTCGATTGATGATATTCACCATCACCATCATCATCACTTTTTATGCTGGATTCATTTTCATTTGAAATGGTAGCAGATTTAAAAAGTTCATCATCAGGTATTTCTTGTTCACTACCGATAAACCAATCGATATTTTTCTTTTTGACAATTTTTTTTGACGACTGTTCTTTATGATCACTATTATCAGCTGTAGATAAAATTAATGAATCTTGACTGCTAGAATTAGTGGATAGAAAATGACTTGTAGATGTTGGTGGTGAACCAGGCCAACCAACAGAATCTGTATTAATAGATTCTACAACTTCTTCTTTTTCTTCTTCTTCTTCTTCAAAATCTTTCAATGAAACTACATATTTTTCAAAAGAATTTTCATCATCGATAATTGCTTTTTTTGTCAATTTCCGATCATTGATTGATGGATTGTCGTTGTCGTCGTTGTTGTTGTTATTTACAACAAATGGATTAGTGGAAATTTTTTTCGTGGGCGTTTCCTGTACGGTTTTTGTGATGACAGGTCCTGTTAGATGAAAACAAACAAAAATGAAAAAAAAGTAAATCAATGTCATTGATGATTTGGTGATAAAATTCTTCCGATAAAGAGAAAAAAACTCGAATAAAAAAAAATTTCAAAATTTGTACAACACCAAAAAACCAGAAAAAAACCGACTACTTACCGGTCATATCGAATAGAGACATTTTTGAATAATAAATTTATTTATTATTATTTCTAATATACAAAACTAATGATCAAAACTAAAAAAAAAACCAACAAACACACAAATCGCACACAATCAAACATAACCCACAATAAAATAGAAGACACGCCACCGAACAAAATTAAAATTTCATGCGATGTTGTCGATGATGTTGATGAAGATGATGATAATGAGAAAACAAAACAAAAAAAAATTCAATGGAAAAAAATATTTTCAAGAAAATGAATGTCACTAACTCTATATTTTATTCAACCACAGCCATCATCATCGTCTATGATGAGGATGATGATGATGCCAACATAAACAGAAAAAAAATACGTGTTATAATCAACGATATATGAATACGATGTATTTATATAATAATCATCCATCAATTACTAGCACCAACACCACCACCATCATCATTATCATCATCAAATTCGAAATAAAACAAACAGGCTCGTGACAATTAATAATAATAATAATGATTTCATTTATTTATTGGATACAATCGGCACATGATACGCACTATATATGATAAAAATCATTCTTTTTTGAATCAATCAATGAATGGTACAATCTATGATTTTTTTTTTTTAAAAGCACATCATGGTGGACCTTAGTACACAAACTATGCGTGTGTGTGTATGGTGTATGTTGTGGGAGTTATCGAAATTAATATGAAACAAATTTTTTTTTTTTTTTGAAATTTTTTCTATCGGAAAGAATTATTATCATATATAAATATATACAAATCAGAAACAAACCTTTTTTTTCCAATGATGATCCGGAGTACCCGAATAGTATATATAGAAGTTATTATTGTTGTTGTTTATTGTAATGATGAGATCAGAAACAAAAGGGTTGATGATGATGATGATGATGATGCAGTAGTCTGTGAATTATGGCTAAAAACACAAAAGAGAAGAAAAAAAGTTAAACTTTAGATGTGTTCAAAACATCAATCCATTCATTCATTCACCCATTCCCATTCCTTATGAATGAATAAAAATAGCCAAAAGTCATAAATTCAGCAACAAAAATAAAAAAAAAAAAAATAAAAATAAAAATTCCGGAAATCCGATCATTGTAAATTGATTTTTTTTCAAGTTCATTATAAAAAAAAAGTTAAATGAACTGAATATCAAAATTGTAAAGAAAAAAAAATTTGTCGTTCAACGATGATGATGATGATATCATGAACAACAAGAACAATGACATTTGCCAATATCCAAAAAAACTGAAAAAAACACACACGTATTTAATAGATCAATAGATCATATGTTTGATTCAATTGTTTTTTTGCTGTTGATTATATTGTTATTTTCAAGATCAACAACAACAACAACAAAAAAAAAATCTAAAACAATTGAATCAATAATCAAACAGGTGAATAGAAATTGATTGCATCAATAAATCGATTAATAGAACAAAAAAAAAATAATAAGAGTAGCAATAATGCATATTTGTTATTCTTAAATTAATAAAACAAAAAAAAATTTTTTTTTGACCGATTACTTTCAATCATCATCATCATCAACATCACCCAGAAGCTATATTTATGGTAAACAACATACATTGTTTGTCAAAAACAAACAAACAGTTTAATTTTGACCTTGTTTCTTGTCAATTTTTTTTATTATGAAACATATACGTAGTATATAAGGCAGTAGAAAGCAAAGTATATTGGTATATGATCGATCAATCGATTTGATTATCGTCATAAGGATAAGTTTTGTGGAGAGAACACACACGAACATTTTTAATCACATACATAATATGATCATTATCATTATCAGCAATGAATGAAAATTAAATGGTCAAAAAATGTGTGTTATTATAATGATATATGATCCAAATTAGGATCAGAATAGAATAGATGATGAAAAAAAAATTCCAAATTTTTTTTTGCATTTGCACATATTCAATGGTCGTTAATCAGCCATTGATTGAACAATAATCAGAGCGAATATTTTTTTTTCTATGAGAAAATCAACGATAATCATATAATGATGGTGATGATGATGATGACCATAATCAAAGCTCAAAGGTCAAAAATTCATATTTTTTTTAATGCATATATTTAAAATTTCAATCCATTTGATTGGTGAGAAATACAACAGAAAAGTTCAAATGTGATAGAAACGTGTGAAAAACAGAATGTTGGCAATAATAATAAATAATGATTATGTATGTGAAATCAGCGTTAGATAATAATAATAATGATCATTGTTGTTGTTGTTATTGTTGTTGAGGATTATCAAATCAAATTATTTCATTTCAGGATGAATACACTATGATTGGGCCATGGAAATGTCGTTATATGACCACAAGAAAAAAAAAAAAGATCGTAAACAGTTGATAATCTCATTCCATTCAGGTTTAGATCATAAGATGGAATATAAATTTTTATGAATCAAAAAACAAATTACGATTATTATGACGATGATGATGATGATAACAATTTCATTTTGAAATGTCGTCCTTGTCACCGAAATTTTATTATCATCATCAACAACAACAACATGGTAGTTGTCATCGGTAGTAGCAGTATGAATAGTGACTACTGTTTTCACATTGTACTTCTAAAAATAGTCAATATATCAACAAAAAAAACCACAACAACAACAACAACAGATATATTCAATTAAGCAGAATATTCAATTAATAATAATAATGAAAAAATGAGCGGAATTAATTAGATTCGATTCTAAATAGTCGAAATAGTTTGATTCGTGTCATTCAATCATCATCATCATCATCATCATCATCAAACATAATCATAATTTTGCTATTAATTGAAACTGACGTCTATAGATGATTGACAAATTCGATGATGGTTAAATGACAAAACAGAAATTTTTTCTTTCGATTATCCAAGTGACAATTGTGTGTGTGTGTGTGTGCAAGCGAATAATTATGATGACGATGATGATGATGATTACTATTATTTAACAACATGTGATATGAACATGATAATGATGACTTGTAAATGCCAATTTGATGACAAAAATGATGATGATGTTGATCTCTATTATATTATTATTATTATTATTTACACAAATGCAATATGTATGTGCATTTCACAAATACAACAACGCAATCCATACAGGAACCGCATACAACCGAAAAAAAAACGAACACAATGGGAAAAAATAGCTCAAAAAAGAGAAATCAAATCACAAATCTTTGAGAAATAACAAAAAAAAACGTTACATTACCTGTTTGAAATTCTGAAATGGATGATGAATAAAATTTATTCAAATTCAGCAAAAAAAAAGAAGAAGAATATACAGAGATCATCCAAATTTGGATTTGTCACAACAAGAAGTAGAAGAAATTGGAAAACAAGAAAAAAAACAGAACCAAAAAAAAAAGAAAGAAAGAATTTGGCGTTATACTATTGCGGTATATATATGACTAATATGTGTGTGCGTGTATATAACAAACAAATAAACGAAGAAGAAGAAGAAGCAGATAGAATTGATGGTATCTCCAAATGGATTGTAGAATTTAAACACATGAACGGCGACATAGATAAAACAAAATGGGGCACACATGCTCAACACACACACACATAAAGAATAAGAATCGAATTGTGAATTGACAAGAATCAAAAAATGACGCCAAAAATTCTATAACATTTTGAATCGTAGTGGTCGATGCTGTGGTGGTGGTAATGTGGCATAACGGTTGTTTTTTTCTGTTGTTGATTCATTTACCATAGACAAGAATTTGGTGATATCATTTATTATCATCTATATATACATGCATGCAAAACTATGGACTATTCACACATACAGAAGATTCGCAATTTTTTTTTCTTATTGATTTTCAATGAGAAAAAAAAATCAATGGTCAATTCGATGATGACGATTTAATGTGCGCATCACAATTTTTTTTAAATCATGCTTCCATCGATGTTGATTAACAGTATATATCGAATATAATGTTTTTTCTTATCACAATCAATTGGAAAAATTAAACAAAACAAAATAAATAAACACATAAACACATAAACAAACATTCGATTTGAAATGATAATTTTTTTCTTGTTTCGCACTTGGCAATAATAATGCTAATGATTATAATAACGGATGAGAGAAATGTACGGAAAAAAAACAAATTCAATGAGAGAAAAGGAAAGATTTTTGTTGTTGTTGTTGTTGTTTTCCTATGAAAAATGCATTTAAAAACAGTAGTTACAACAATACCAATATATTGTGTGTGTGTGTGGGAGGTTAATGTTGAAATGTTTGTGGGTAGTTTTTTTTTGATTGATGTATCGACAATGTCAATGTTGTATTCATCATACATCATGATGATATAGAATAGATCAAAAACATCATTTATAATTTGAATGTTTTGTATCATTCACGACACACACACACACACACAAAAAGAACACATACGTACATCGAATTTATTTTAGTTAGCGTGTTCGAATGTTTCGAACGTAATAACTAATAAAAATGAAAATTTCTAAACGATTGATGATGATGATGATGAGCCAATCATACGGAAAAAAAGTAGCCAAAATGAATGAATGACATACACACACATACATGCAAAAAACACACCATATATACCATTGAATAATGTTTTCATGATGAACATGTTTCAATGTCCAGTATTATAACTAAGAAAATATGAAATAAAATAAAATGAAAGAGAAAATGACTTGGGGGATTATCAACAAAGTAAGTGGTGGTAGTGGTGGTGTTTAAATCCATCAATTCTCTCATCAAAATACGTCATGAATTTTTTTTTATTATTTTCTTCAATCTTATGCTGCTTATAAACATACTAACATTTAGAAAAATGTGTTAACTATCAATCAATGATCATTATCATTGATAAATTATTTTATCTTTAATACGATCGAATGTTACGATTATTTATTCGATTCATTCAACAAATGACAACAAGGTGATTTGGCCAAAAAAAAAAAAAAAAAACAAAACAAAACATACCTTCAATGTGTTAGATTCGTTGATGATGAATTCCGTGTGGTTTTACCGTCGAAGAAAAAAAATCACATAATTAATTATAATTATGAACAATTGGCACAATTAAAAACAACATATGTTTTTATGTATGATCAAAAAACATCATGTCATTTCACATTTTCATTCATTCAAAAACTGAATCTATCCTATTCAACAACCCAATAAGAATCGAAAAAACCATATTTGGAATAAATTCTTTTGTATACATTGTTTCAAGTGTATACACCAGTATATGAATGGCTCATAAAGGAACATTTTGAATAAACAATGAAAATCAGGGTAAATAAATTGGCCACTACTGACATCTGATGATTGATTTTGGAAAAAAAATTGATTCTTTTTTTTCTACCGAATTTACATTTTTTTTTCTCATTGATTCAATAACAGATGAGCAAAAAGTGGTTCATGCGACGGGTACATCTGTAAAAAAAAATCTTGCATTTTTTTTTGTTTAAATTTACAAACAAATATCATTTATAATTGATTTCTGTTTATTCAAGAATATACAACAATAATGGCTGCAAAATATCTTTTTTCATCGTGTACGAAACAATTACAACAACAACAATTTCGTTATTTTTCACAAACACAATCATTAAATCGAATTGAAAATGTTATGATTATTGGTTCAGGTCTAATGGGATCCGGTGTTGCACAATCATGTGCTACAAGTGGCCGTTTTAATTCGATCACATTACAGGATGTATCACAAGAACAATTGGATAAGGCACGTAAACGTATTCATCAAAGTTTGGCCAAATTAAAGGAACAAAAACGAAGTATGTTTGATGGTCAATTTTCAAATTCATTGTTTATTTATCTATTTTTTTTTTATTTCCAGTCAATATTGATGATGCTGAAGCAGTTACGAATCGTATAACATTCAATACACAAATTAAACCGGTTGATGATAAAAATTTATTGATCATCGAAGCAATTCCAGAATTGATGGAAGCAAAACAAAAATTATTTAAAGATTTATGGTCAGTATCAATATGATGATTAAATGATTGTGATTCGTTTAAAATTTTGATCATTCATTTTTAGTGAACAATTTAAATCCAATGATTCGGTAATTTTTGTCACAAATACATCATCATTACCTTGTTATGAGATTGGTAAACATGTTACATGCAAAGAACGTTATGGTGGTCTACATTTTTTCAATCCAGTACCATTAATGAAATTGGTGGAAATTGTTCGAACGGAAAATGGTACAAATGATAAAACATTCGAAGATCTACAACAATTTGTCAAGGATATTGAAAAAGTTGGTGTTGCATCTAAAGATACACCTGGTTTTATTGTCAATCGTCTGTTGGTACCATATATGCAAGAAGCAGTACGAATGTTAGAACGTGGTGATGCTACTGCAAGTGATATTGATACGGCAATGAAATTAGGTGCTGGATATCCAATGGGACCATTCGAGCTAATGGGTAAATTTTCAATCAATTAATATTCATAAACAATAAAAATAAACTAATCTATGTCAATTTTCAATTTAGATTTTGTTGGATTAGATACAAATCAATTTATTGTTGATGCATGGCAAAAACGAAATGATCCAAATCTGACCATATATCGTTCGAAAACTATTGATGAAATGGTTAAACGTGGTGAATTGGGACGTAAAACCGGAAAAGGCTTCTATGATTATTCACAGAAAAAATAAGCTGTAAAATTTTTTTTTTCTTTGCATTATCAAAAAAATCTTTTATCACATATTTTTATTATTATAATTGAAAAAAGTCTTAATTGATTGATAAATGATAAATGATATGATGATGATTGAAGCGCCACTTTACGTCGATAATGTGAAGTGACACATCCATTTACCATCGATCGATCATCATTCAAGAAATAAACAAAAAAAAAATTCAACATACATACATACACACGGGTACAATTATATTCAAATTAAACTTTTTGCTGAAATTGAAATTATGATTTTTAAACAAAAAATTTTTCCAATTCTTCATTCGATTATTGGCCAACAACAATTACGTTTATTCACACAAACATGTCGATTAAATCGAATAGAAAATGTTTTGATCATTGGTTCTGGATTAATGGGTTCAGGTATTGCACAATCATGTGCTACAAGTGGCCACTTTAATTCGATAACATTACAGGATGTATCCGATCAACAATTGAATGTGGCAAGAAAAAATATTGAAAAAAGTTTATCAAAACTTTTAGAAAAGAAAAAAATCAATATTGACAATGTTGAAATGACGGTGGCTAGAATTTGTTTTTCAACCGAAATGAAACCAATGGATGATAAGAATCTGCTCATTATTGAAGCAATACCGGAATTGTTGGAAGCAAAACAGAATTTGTTTAAAAATTTATGGTTTGATTTTTTTTTTTTTTGGTTTTTGATGACAAATAATGATGACATGATTCATGTCTATTTTTTTTCCACAGTGAACAATTTAAATCAAATGATACGGTCATTTATGCCACGAATACATCATCATTACCATGTTATGAGATTGGTAAACATATCCATTGTAAAGATCGTTTTGCTGGTCTACATTTTTTCAATCCAGTACCATTAATGAAATTGGTGGAAATTGCTCGTACCGATAATAATGGTACTAGTGATCAAACATTTAAAAAACTTCAACAATTTGTCAATGATATTGATAAAGTTAGCGTTGTATGTAAAGATACACCTGGTTTCATTGTGAATCGTCTATTTTTTCCATATAAACAAGAATGTATCAAAATGGTTGAACGTGGTGATGCTACTATCGAAGATATTGATACGGCAATGAAATTGGGAGCCGGTTATCCAATGGGACCATTTGAACTTTGGGGTAATTAATAGAATGAAAAGAAAAATTAAAAATTTCGTCTAAAATATGACAATCATACATACCTTTTTTTAATGATTCGAATTAGATTTAACCGGATTGGATACGACAAAATTCATAATGGATGCATGGGAAAAACGTGGTGATCCAACACTAACCATACATAAATCACCGATAATCGAAGAAATGGTTGCCAAAGGACATTTGGGCAGAAAAACCGGAAAAGGTTTCTATGATTATACAGATAAAAAAAGCAAAAAATGATGATGATGATGAAATGATGAAATGAATTGAATTTTTTTTTTCATGATTCAAAGTTGAATTTTTTTTTTTTGATTGATTGAATAAACTTTTATCACACAACAATAAACACGATGATGACACACATCATCATCAACAACGAGAAAAAAAACCAATCAATGTGATATTGACTCATTTCTTTCTTGCATTTGATGTGTTATGATTCGAATTTGAATTTTTTTTTTTTTTCAAACTTATTCTTGATTCATGTTCGATTGTCATTTTGTGGTCATTAAAAAAAAAAAATTTTTTTCATCGCTATATAAATACTCAACACGATTGTAGTGTTGATTTTCGAAAAAGTTTGGTGATCAATTTCTTCAATTCAATTCAATTCATTTTTTTCTTACTTTTATCACTTTCACAATGGTAAGCTGTTGTACTGTATTTCGAATGAATTTTTTTTTCATTTTTCTTCTGTTTTTTTTCATGGGTTAACAAAAAAAATCAGCAACATCATTATCATTATACATCTGGTCTACAATTTTTGTTGGAACAATCACAACAAAATAAAGATTGGCCATCATTTTTTCGTATGTTACCAAAAGTTACTGGTGAAGTATTGGAACAAACTTGTCGTTCATCAAGTATATCGATGATTGTTTCGAATCGAACACCAACGAAATCGTCATCATCATCATCTATCAATAATTTGATAGTGTTACTACACGTTCTGATTCGGCAATGGCTAAAAATATTAAAGATTTGATCAACACAATACATCATGTCAATACAAATAATGAACATGTTGAACAGATTTGGCAATTATGGCGTTGGAAACCACCGGTACAATCATCATTACAAACACGTGATGATTATTTTCATAATCCTGCATCAACACCGCATACAATAATGAATGAATTTAAAAAACATTTAACCGTTTCGAAAGATTTGAAATTTCATACCTGTGATCTGAGGTTTGTTTATCGTTCAATTGATTGATTGATTCATTTGATTTCATTTCATTTTTTTCTTGACAGACGTTTGGCTGAAATTGAATATCAACCATTGATGACATTTGTTACACAAGATGATTATGATGATCATACCGATTCGATGGTTCGTAGTTATTTCATTTTCAAAGATGGTGTTATGCCATTATGGGAAGATGAATATAATGTATTCGGTGGTTGTTGGTCATTAATCTGGAGTAATGATTTTGTACGAGAAAAAAGCCATGAAAATGATCAACATCATCATCATCATCATCATCATCATCACCAGAATCATCATCATAATCATGGTTCAAAGAAAACATCAAAATTTATATGGAAACAGGTGATTAATTTGCTTACCGATCCATTGATGGTTAAATATGTGGATGAAATATCCGGTGTTGGTTTGACGATTCGTTCGAATAAAACCTATAAAATAACCATTTGGAATCGAAATTCGGATGATACAATCACTAAAATGATGATCGGGTATGTTGTTGTTGTTGTTGTTATACGCCTGTTTTAGCTGTTGTTGCATTTCATCTCTCCTTTTCTTTTCTTCATAGACAAAATATCAAATCAATTCTTGGTCATTCGGGTCCAATGTTTTACTATTCACACAAGAGTACATTGAAAAATCAATATGCAAAAAAGAAACAGGAAAAAACAAGACAACGTCGAACAACATTACCAGTTGATAAGAATTCTATGAATGTTGATGATTCACCTAGGCTTAATCCAAATCGTTCATCAGGTTTTTCACAAAGATTTTCATCAAATCATCAAATTCATTCGATTACTGCAGATAGATCTTTTCCGATGATGAATTATCGTTCATCATCATTTCATCATCAACAACAATCACCAGGAGAAAATGTTTGTATACCATCAACATCACGTATGGCAAATCATTTAAATCGTCAAAATTTTCATCATGTCAATCCATTAGTCTATTGATAACCGTTCTCTACATTATTCCGATTTACAATATTATTCAGATTTTTTTTTTCATTATTGCAAACATTATTGAATTCTACTATTTGTTGTTTATATTGATTGATTTTGATGATTAATTTTGTTGATGATTCAATTTTTTCTAAAATATCTATCAAAAAAAAAATTTGAATTGAATGATGAATATAGAAACACCGGTTAATCACAAAAATAAAATTTTAGTGAAAAATTGAAAAATATGGGCGATGCAATAATTTTTTCAATGAAAATTCGATTAGCATATTGATCACGTGATTATTAATTGGCCACGCCTTTTCGAATTTTTTTTTTTGCTAACATAACATTCGATTTATCGATGACTGTGTGTTGTTGAGCAAAAAAAAATTTTTCATTTTTTATTGCAATCTTCATCACATCGAGGACAATTTTTTCACCCGTTTTTTTTCGTTCTGGATAAATTCTTCATTCAAACAACTGGTAATCATATCATGATGGTATTTCAAAATTTCTAATTCAATTTGTCGATGATCAGTATTTTTTTTTTTTTTTGTTTTTCGAAATCCCCCCTCCCCCCGAAAAAAAACAGCTGTCATTGTTCATAGTGAAAAAATAGGTGAATATTATTTGTTTGATATCATCATGTATCAATATGATTAATTAATCTAATTTTTGTTCAATATATAATAATCAGATTATGTTCGATACTTTAAACTATCGACAATTTTTCAGCCTTGTCATTGATAATTTGGATCTGAAACAAAAATTACGATCAATGTATGAATGGTTTATATTTGAAGATAATAATAACAATCATCATGTGACAATCGATCATCATCATAAGGCTGAAAGTCATCATCATTATCATCATGAATGGCCATCATCAATAACAAAACAAAATCTAATCGAAGGTGTTGATGATGATGTTGTTGTGATATTTATCATATTCTTCCTGTTTATATCAATGTTTGTTTATTATCTATTCACAAGGTATGTCCATGAAATGGTTTTTGTTTTTGTTTTCATCTTCTCTTCATTTTTATTGAAAATGAAATCATATTTTGTTTTTTTTTGTACATTACCATACATTGTTTCAATCAATCAATCAATCAATGAATGAAACGATTGATTTCATTTCAATTCATATCATACACACACACAGCCATATAGAGAATTTCCATCAACATATTTTTTTCTGGTTTTTGTTTGTTGATTTAATCGCCGAAACACACACACACACACACACATGAGAAAAAAAAACCGTTTGAACCATTTTTTTCTCTCTCTTTCACTCTTTACAACATACAATTTTTTTCATTTCTTTATTTTTTAATCATACATTGACCCTTCCATTGGCATTGATGATGATGATGATGATCATGATTTCTATCTTTGTAATGAATGATGTCTGTCTAGTGTGTGTGTGTGTGTGTGTATGTATGAATCAAATGATCACATCATACTAATTTCAATATTCATAAAAAAAACTATTTATTTTTCATATCCATTGTCATCATCATCGTCATTTTGTTAAGGATAAAACGATCGATTTTTTTTTTAATTTTGTCAATTTCCAGGAATATTATATCTTGTTGTTTTTAACAGAAAAAAATTCTTTTTATTTGATTGATTTGTTTTTTTTTTTTTGGTTTATTTATTTTATACATGTAAGGATTTTCAATTGAAATTTCAAATTAATTTGAAATATCTTGTTTTGTTTTGTTTTGTTTTGTTGATGTTTGTTTGTTTTCTAAAATGCTGCTAATGATGATGATGATAATAATAATTGATGATGAATGAATGATAATCAAACAAAATGTTGATGATGATGGTTGTTTCCAATGGTCAAAAGTCGTTTTGTTAATGTTTATATTTCAAATTCCGAGGAAAAACACTTGTTGCGTTGTGTTCTAAATTTTTTTGTTATCTCTCTCGTTTGTTGTTGTTAAGGCCGAATTAAATTGTTGAGCATAAATCATACAACAACAACAGCAACAACAACAACAACGATGAAATGATCGATTTTTCGTTGTTGCTGTTGTTGTTGAAACAATATTTGCCGTTGTCATTTTTAGCTTAGATAATAATCACATTTACATTTAATTTCACTTTTTTTTTAGAATGTCAATTTGTTATCAAAAAAAATGAAAATGAAAACACAAATTTCTTTCTTTCTTTACTATTTTTTTTTAGAAATCAGCACATTTTTTTTTGGTTTCAATTTAGATCAGTGATCTTCAACCATTTTTATACAACCACCAGTTGTAGTTGTCTACAAGTGTGTGTGTGTATGTTTGATTGATTGATTGATTTGAAATCATAGCAGATATATCTCATTATGATGTGAAATTTTTTTTTTTGAAGATCATTTATTTAGATGATGATAATTATTTGAAAGTGTGGGAGTCAATTTGTTTATATTGAAAAAAAAAAATTTGATGATTATGATCTGTGTGTGTATGTGTGTGTAAATTTCTGCTGTTTCATGAAGAAAAACTCCAAAAGATAAAAAATAAAATGGTTCAAAAAGTCCAAACATCATCATCTCATATTTTTTTTTTTCTCTTGTCGTCGAGGTCGATGACGAGGATTTTCATTTTAGAGTTTTCTCTTTACAAAATTCACCACCAACTGCTACTACTACTACTACTAATGTGGGGCCATCACCACCATTGAAAAAAAAATTATCATTTGTAAATCATTTGAATTTTGAATATGAAAACCGAAACCAGGAAAGAAAATTTGGAAATTAAAATTTTTCTATCTATTTTTGGGATTTATTAATTTTAATTAACTTTTTTTTTATCCCGTGATGATGATGATGATGATGACGATAGATTATCAAGATTTGATTTGTTGTTGTTTTTTTCCGGTTGTTTGTTTTGTTTTTTATATGTTTTGAAATGAATGAATGGCTTTTTTTGTGTCTACATGTTTGTCTGATGTTTTTTTTTTGGCCTATCTTTATCATCTTTAGATTTTGTAGCCTCATTTTCATTCTTGATGACATTTGATTGACAATCGATAATAATAAAATAAAATAAAATTTTGTATCGAAGCTCAACAACAACAAAATAAAAAACGCAAAGACGTGCGACATTTTTTTTTTTTTTTTTGGCCGTGGCTGCATGTCTTTCTCTCTCTCTCTCTCTTTTTTTTCATTGTCGATAATTTTTCTTTGTTCTACATGGTGTTTCCTGATGTTCTATCAAGATATCGATCATCATGTGTTTAATGATTATTATGGAACTGATGTGATTGATTGATTTAAGAAATTTATTTTTGTGATGCAAATTTTCATTTCTTTTTCTTTACTTTACTTTGTACACATAACGATTTTAATCAATTTTTTGTCATTTTCAAGGTTTTCATTGTATATTGTTTGTTGTTTATCATCATCATCATCATATTCATCGATATTTATTGTGTGTGTTTGATTGATTAATTGTTGATGTGTAAAAAAAATTGAAATTCATAAAATTTCCAATAATTTTTTTTGTTGTCGCCCCTTTATATATATTCATTTACAATGCATATTCATTCATTATAATGATGGGAAAAAAAGCGAAAAAGCAATTTGAGCGAATAATAATAATTTGATCGCAAATTTTATCTTCCGTTCTATATATTACCATTGCCATAATAATTCCATTATATTTTAATTTATCCTGTTTATTCATTATAACAATCAACAACATCGGTTGAACATCAAAAAAGGATATGCGTATATATGTGTGCGCATTATTTGACACTTGTTGATTTATGAACAAAACAATTTTTTTGCATTACAAATTTTATTGAAATTTTTTTGTTTTCATTATATATAGATTAATTGGAAAAAATATCTCGCCTGATTTTTTTTCCTTTTTTAATTATTTATTTGTGTGTGTGTGTGTGTGTATTTGATCGGCTAAAAGCGCCACAATATGACCACACACACAAACACATAGATATGGCAAAGATTTTTGATTATATGAACAAGTCGAAAAAATTTTTTTTTTGTTCATATCCATATAGTATTATATATTGTTGATGATTTTTGTGATGATAATCAGCTGAGCTAAATGATCGATAGCGAGAATGAGAGAAGAGGATCCATTGACAATTTATATACGGTCGCCCGGTTGTCAAAAAAAGTTTTTTTTTCTGTGTGTCGTTTATTTTTCAATAATAAAAATCTACGATTGATGATTGTCATTGATCATTTGATCAAACATATATTATATCCATTCATTTGAATAGACACCAGATCATATTGGCCATCCCTTTTTTCGTATGTTTTTTTTCCACTTTTGTTTGTATATTCAACATCGGTGTTGGCATTTTTCATCAATTATCATCATCATCATCATCATCATTATCGTCATCAATCGCAATAATCATTAATCGATCCTCGCGCCAGCACCCATCATCATCATCATAATACTCGTATAGTGTATAACACACACACATGCAATACATAACAGTTTGATTCGAGGCGTCATTACTTATAGACGTCTGTGAATATTTTTTTCTCTTATTTGTTGTTTGTCGATTTTTCGATTATTATTTTTTTTTGTAGGGATATTACAGAAGTTTTTTTTCTACCAAGTTATAATGATTAGTAGTTGGAAGTGTTTTCATCAAAATCTGTGATATTTATTATTTTCATATTTCATATATTTCGGAACTATTGTAATTTTATTTTTCGCCTACTTTCCTATATTTTGTTCATCTGTTTTTTTTTTGTCGTTTGTGTCATTTTATAATTTGTTCAATTTGATTCAAATAGTAAATAGTACAAAAATGGAATTCTGGAACGTTGTACAATCTTGGCTGTAAATATTCTTATGATTTTTTTTTTGGGAATTTTTATTTATCCATTTTTTTGTGTCAATTTTTTTTAACGAAAAATTTTTTTTTATTATTTTCGTTTTTCAAATAGATTTGATCATTTTACAACGGTCACGTTGAATAGCTTAACCTCATCGTCAGCGGCCACATCATCATTATTAATTGATACGACACAACAACAACAGCAATCAACACAGACGATATTGCCGAATTCTTCCATAAATAATAATAATAATAATATGTTTCAACGACAAAGACATTTCAATTCTATGGATAGTAATTGTCCTGTTTGTTTAAATACATTTGTATTACCTGTTGAAACAAATTGTGGTCATTTATTCTGTGGTAAGTTTTTATTTTGTTATAATTCAATTCATTTTTTTTCAAAAAATTTCATTTTTCATTCAATCATCAAATCCAGGTCAATGTATAGTTGTTTATTGGCAACAATCACAATGGCGTGGTGGTCCAATCAAATGTCCTGTATGTCGGCAACAAGTGAACATTTTATTACCTTGTTTTCAACTTAATAATATTAATCAAAATGTTAATAATAATTCAATGTCCAATTCGAATTTAAATTCTACTGAATCGACAACGACGACGACGACAAATGGAGATTCATCAAATGAACAACATCAGAGTCAGAATAATGTTGCCGATATGGCAAGACAAGTAACATCACAAATTAATAGTTATAATAGAAGATTTTCTGGTGAACCACGTCCGGTATGTTTGAATGTTATTTTTGTTGTATGTATTTTTATCTTTATTTTTATTATTTATTTTTTATAGTGGTACGATTATCTATACGATCTCCCTACAATGTTACGGCATTTGACCAATGATTTTTTCTCATTCAATGGTTTATTTTACATGTTTCGTTTACGTGTCGTCATCTGTTTTTTTGCGGCAATTCTATATCTAATTTCACCATTAGATATGATACCTGAAGCAGTGTTTGGTATATTCGGTCTATTTGATGATATTGTTGTTGTTCTTTTGTTGGCCATCTATGTTACAATTATTTATCGAAGATTTTTATCCTCACGTTGGGGTGACGATTGATCGATTGTCTACTACTATCACATCATCCATGCCCGATATATATATATGGTTTCTATATTTTGTCGCATTTCAATTTCATTCACACAAACACACACACACACACACTCTTGTTCATCCATACAATCCTCCATCATCAAACAAACATACAGGAAAATCAACTTAAAAAAATGATGATGATGATGATATAAAATTCTATGTGAATCCATTTGTTTTTTTCTATATATATATATATACCTACAGTCAATATTTTAATAATTAATATTGAAACAAATGATTACTTGTTGTCATCATTAATTAATTATTACTACTATATATAACAGAAATAGTAGTTTTCTCTGGAGACTAGATGCAAATATTTTTCTTAAAAAAAAAATTTCAACTGCTTTTTTAAAAAATTTCTCATTCATGTGTGTGTGTGTGAGAGAGAAAGTGAACAACAAGAGTGCTAGTCCGTGAAATTGTGTGTGTGGGTGTGTGTGTGTATTCAAATTGAATCCATTTTTCAATCACTTTTTTTTCTCTCCATTTGTTGATATTATTTATTTATTACATAACATTCGTTTAGGTGATGGACACACAAACACACACAGAGAAAAATATATTTGAGGGAAAAAATCAAATCAAATATAAAAACCACATCATCATCAATATATATGTGAAGAAATTATTACATAGAGAAAAAAAGTACGTTTGAGATCAACAGGTTTTTTTGACAATTTCTATCTATTTTTCGTTGATGATATATTCAAAACATGATAGTTTTGGTTGTTGTTTTTTTGTTGTTTTTGTTTTTGTTTTTTGTTGTTTTTTTTTCGTCATACGATCATATATATTATACAGTGGGTACTCGACTTACTAAGCATTCGGATTTTTCGAACAAAATTTTCCAACGAATGACATTCTTATGGAATACAATTGTAGAGTGTATACACCACTGTATATGTCAAATAAATTCGTATTGAAAGGGTTGAAGATGAGATGTTTTTTTTTTATTTTTATTTTTGATTGATTGTTTGATTGATTGATTGATTGATTGGAAAAAAATGTACAAAATTTTCTTTTTTTTTTCTATTGTAAATGCACTTGATTGGTGATAATGAAAATTGATTATTTTTTTCAACTATGTATAAGGATGCCAACGACATTTTGTGTGTGTGTGTAATATGTTATACTCTTTTGTTGGTTTGTTCGTTAATTACCATTATTATTTTAGGTGTGAATCATCGATGGTTTTTTTTTTTTCTGTGAATTTTGTATGATCGATATCTATTGATTTTCATTTTATCCATTTCTTTTTTCGTTTTTTTTTTGGCTACTATTCATTTATATGATTTCATTCGATGATGATGATGATGATTGATTTTCATTTTTTTCCCCATAATCAATGGCAGTGTGATATGATTTTTTTTTTACTAAAAGCAAAAATGGATTCGATTGGTTGATAATTTTAGTTGGCGGATTGTGTAGTTTAATCTTTGAATTTCATTTCAATTTGTTTGTCTTTAAATTATTTTAATAATAATCATCATCATCATCTACAGTTGTTGTTGTTGTTGTCGTCGTCGTCGTTGTTGTTGTTGTTGTTTCGGATGATTGTTTTGTTTCATCAATCGTATGACCATCATCATCATTATCATTATTTAGATTTTGGCAAAGTTTTTGTTGTTGTTGTTGTTGATCATTTGTCAGCAAAATTTTTTTCATTTTCATTGGATGATTATGATGATGATGATCATCATCATCATCATTACGAAATCTAGTTTCATTAATGCAGCTATATAGCCAACATATTGCTAATAATAAAATTAACAATCCAAGAATAATCAATGACCATATAACATAATTCAGATTGGTTGAACGTGCCGAACGTATACGATATAGTTTTCCATCACCTGAGAAATTGAAACAAAATTTTTTTAAAATAAATTTTGAAAAATTTTGTGATTGTTTGCATCTTACGAATTTGCCATTGGCTATCATCATCATCTTCGTCATCGCCATTATTGTTTTGTTGACCATTTTTTGAAAATTCTTCCCATTGACCACAACATTTTGTAACGACAAGACCTTGTTGTTGAAATTTTGGATTCAATGATTGTTGATTCAATGCTATTAATGATTCTGGTGCACGACATTCGGCCATAAATGGTTGATATTGATTTGATTCTGAACACTGTTATATTCATGGAGAAAAAAACAAGAACCAGAATTATGAATGAAAATATAAACAACATATATATATGTGACAACTTACAGCTGCATTCAAACAATAAAGGTGATCGATTCCATTGAAAACGATAATCATATATTCATCATAATAATCGTCTTTACCTTTAATCAATCAATAAAAGGAATTAATATACAAACTGAATCTCTCTCTCTATCTCATACACAAAAATTACTTACGTGTCCAACCAAAAACGCCGGTAATCTCAAATTCAGACGGTATTTGATGCAAATATTCCGGTAAAATGGCACTATATGTTAGATTTACGATACGTTCCATTGTTGCAAATGAATATACTTGCCAACGACGATTAAAATGTCTTTTTTGTTGCAATGTCGTCGTCGTCGTCGTTGTTGTTTGTTTATCACTTTGATTATTAATTAATTGAAGATTTTGTTCCAAAAATATCACCATAAAACGGCTTGGCTCATAATGATCATAGCCAATATGTTGAAATGCAATGCTTGGACGGAAATCATGATCCATTTCGAATAGAAATGTTTCACTATTCATTATATATGCATTCGATATATTACGATATATTAAATCTAAACATGTAATAAAACGTTGATGAATACGTGCTGAACAAATTTTCGATGTCATTGGTTCAGCCATATGTAGACTGAAACCAAAATCACCGGAAAAATTTTGTAAATAATCATCATCATGTTCTGTGGAACTTTGTTGTTGCTGCTGCTGCTGCTGTTGTTGAAATTCAATCGATTTCACTTGTAAACGATCCGAATGGTCAAAATATAATTTTAAAAATTTTTTCTGCGTATAAATATAATGATTATAAAGCCGTTTATTTGGATCATATTTATTTGCCGTTATAATCTGATTGAATGCAAAATCAAAACTATAATTCATTTTGAATGATAAACATGGATTATTTGATTCGAATTCGTTTGGCGTTATCGATGATGATGATGATGGAAATGATGTTACAACGTTGATTAATATCAAACCTGGAAATAGATAAGTAATCAGGATTTGAAAAAAAATTTTCACCTAAACTTACCGATGATGAGAATGATGATAGTGATGGACATGAAAAATGATGATTGTATTGGTAAATTATTTACATCTTCATTACGATCATCATCATCATTTATTCGTCTTCGTTTTCGACGGCCCCGATAATAAGGATGGATTGTATTGGCGGCGAAAAGATTTTTTCGAAATTTTTTCATTCTAGAATCATTGAAAAAAATGTATGTATATAAACAACAATTAGTCAGTGTGTGTGTTTTGAAAAGCTTCATATTCATTAATCTTACAAACAGCTAAACATCTGTACCTGTTTTGTGTATATATGATGAAAATCCTACCTATCATCAATTTTTCAAGGAAAAATTTTTTTTTATTCTCAATTTTACAAACACTTGCTGTGTTTTACAATATAGCGGTATCAATTTATAGACAACGTTGACAACATTGTCGTCATAATTGTAGTTTATAATGGGAAATATAAAATGAAAATGAAAATCCATTCAATACGTAATCATTTACAGGTGGCCAACTGCCCACCAATGATGACGATGATGATGGCGATCAATTTGTATATATGTCTAATGACTAACCTTCGAATGTGAATATTATTGATGAATAATGATAATCATAATAATAATTATGATGATGATGATGATGATGATGATGATGATGATGAGAATAAGAATAGAAAAAAATAGATGAAAAATGATAACAATTCAATAGTTGTGATGATTGTTAATGAAAATATCAATAAAATAACCATCAATGATGATTTAGTTTTTGTTGTTTTCATTGCATATGATTCAATATGGGTGTTATTATTCGCACCACCATCATCATCATCATGATCATGATCATGATCATTTGGATTATCATCACCGATACAAACACAATCTAATTGACACATTTTTCTCTCTCTCTCTCTCTCTCACACACAACGAAAAAAATGAATTTTTCAAATTATTAAAAATTTTTTTGCTGCTTGAAACAAACACACACACACACACACAGCGCGCAACCAAATATAAAACACTGACTAAGAAATTAATATGGAAATGAAAAACGAAAAACAACAGCAGAAAAAAAACGTTGACCGATTTATGGGTGTTACAACAACAACAACAACAACAACAACAACAGAAAAAAATCGGTCGATTGTGTCATTTGTTGCTGTTTTTTTTTTATTTTGGTTAAGACAGTTAAGAAACAAAAAAAAACTAAACCAAACAAGAAAAAAAAAACAAAACAAAACTAATTGAAATCAAGTGAATAATAATTATTATTACTGTCGTTGATTGTTGAGGAAATTGTTTCAAATTGAAATGTTTGGCTTTTGTTTTTCGGTCACTATTTTTTTCTTCTGTATAATTTTGTTATTAGTGTATATTACCATCTATAGTAATAAATTTCACAATTTTTTTTTTCGTTCATTTCAATCAAAAAACAACTGATGATGATGATCATGATCATGATTGGCGACAAAAAAAAATAAGAATAATGTGACATTTTTTTTATTAATATTGACAATACTCACATCTTTTTTTTTTTTCTTTTCAATTTTAACATCAACAAGTTGCCCCACTATATGAGAATATCAATAATGGTCGAGCTAACTGTATTTTTCCAATTGGATTGGAACAACAAAACAAAACAAAACAAAAAAAGAAATTTTTTTTTTGTTTTTGTTTTGTTCACATTGTTTTAATTTTGTGATGATGAATATATATATATATATGCAACAAGTTTTGTTTTGTTTTGTTTTTGAAAATCAAAAATCCAGTGTGGTTTCTAGCTACGAAATAATAATAATAATAAAAAACCACATCATCATCATCATCATCATTTGAAACATCATTTCGGTCATAATATTGCTATGGTTATTGTTTCATCATCATCATCATCATCATTTAATGATGTATATATGGAGAAGAAAAAAAAAATATGAGACCAATTTAATAGATGTGTGTGTGTGTGTGTGTGTGTGTTGTGTGGATCAAGGCTGTATCGATTTTTCTGTTGTCAATCATTAATCATCAATAATAATAATTCGTGTTGTTAAATTCCATGTTTTGTGTATGAATGGTATGTTATCATATCCATGTTGGTTGTGGATATAAACCAAAAGCCAAATATCCATATACACACACATACGCATAAAACAACGAAATTTTTGTTTTTCTTTTTTCGATTATAAATATGAACACCAATGAACCAATCAATCAATCAATATAGAAATGCATACCAAACACATACCTGTGGTTTATTTATCTATTTTATCCATTTTTTCTATTGATGATGATGATGATGTTTTCGTGATTTTTGTTGTTGTTGTTGTTGTTATGGGTGATCGGTAGGTGTGGGTGTGGGTGTTTTGTTTTGAAAAATCAATGAATGTGAACGAAAAAAAATTTGAAAAGAAAAAAAAACAATCGTTGAAACACAATATACATTGAATTGAAAACAAATCAAATCGATTGATTTGTCGGTGACATTGATTTTGTATTTTTTTTTCATTTCATTTTCAATGTATCGATATCAAAAACAAATACATGCAATAATGATTGATCAAATAGTATTCTTCTATTCGATATTGAATATTGATTTCTATCGGACAGGAAATCCAAAGGAAATGGCCAAACGTTGGTGTTTTTTTTTGTGTAAATTTCCTTTCAATACAAAAAAAATGTTTCTTTTTTGTTTTCATTCACCATAAATCACATTGATTCTAGCCATAATTATTGTGTTGAGTAGAAAACAAAATTGTAAAAAAAAATTGATCAAAATCAATAGACGGATGTGATTGAATTTGTACGCAACAAAAAAAAACGACAACAACAACAACAGCAAAAGGATTAACTTGCACTGAAAAAAATTTTTTCAGTTAATGTTGAATTACACTCAATGAAAAAATCTGTCAGTATCATCATCATGTATTACGTACATGATGATGATAATGCGTACTTTAACACAAACAAACAAACAAACAAAAAAAAACACCTTTCAATCATCATTTGAAGATCAATGACTTTAAAGTTTGTTGAATGAATTTTGTTGTTTACCGTTTATTATGAATGATTTTGGTAGTTTATATGCATCGCAACAACAACAACAAAAACAAAGAATGGATAGGATTATCGATTCTGTACGAATTTTTGTTTTTTTTTTTTCATTACAAATATTCACTTGGATTCACAAAGCATGGATTTTTCATTTCATTTTTCTCTCAGGATCTTATTTACAAACACACACGCATTTAACATTAAGATTGAACAGACGATTATAACGGCGACAACATTCTTTTTTTACTATTTTTTTTTTTTTCTTTTCCAAGTTTACAAATGTAATGCTCCATAACAACAAAACATAGTGTTTAGGTTAAACACATCAAATGAATGAACTAAGAAACTAAAAATAATTATTCACAACTTGTGTGTGTGTGTGTGCTGTACTGTGTAGGGAAATTTTTCGTTGTTGTTTTCCAAACTACTAAAAAAAAAAAAAACGAGCCATCCACCAATGAATATCGTGGATACACACATTGCTCTTGTGTCCTTGTTGTTGTTGCTGCTGCCGCTGTTACTAATGATCATGATTCTAGGAATTTTCAAACCAAATATATATATGAAAAAAAAACATTCGAAATTTGCAATGGATACAGTGAGAGAATTACAGACATAACAAATGGATGTCTCGTTTTGTTTCATTATCCACATTAATAATAATGACATATTTGACGAAAACAACGTACACATCTGTTCTATTTTATTTTATTTTATTTTTTATTTTCATTTTGTTTAAAATACAAATGAGAATACATGTGCTCAATTGTGATTGAAAGAAGAAACTGTTTCTCTGTGTGTGTGTGTGTGTGAAAACAATTTATTCAATCAACTTGTAGATTCTTGAAAATGATAAAATTTTTGGCTGTATTTTGATTACAAATAAACCAGAATCTCTAGTGATTTTTTTTTTATTCTTGAATCTTGTATATGTATGGGATTTTTGTAATAATTTCCGATTGCAATTTTTTTTTTTTTTTTTTAAAATCGATAATGATGATGATGATGATGATGATTATGATCCGTCGTAATTCATTTTGATGAATGAGGGAAAAATTTTTTTCAATAAATCAATAATCCAACGATGATATCGATTCATTATTATTCATTATTTCCGGTACAATTTTAGCAATTTTTCCAAGTTGTTGACATTTTAAACAATTCGTTTGCTTCTCTCTATAAAATATATATATGATAGATGATTGAATAGTGTGAAATAAATACAAAATTTAATTACCTGTATCAATTCCTGAATGATAATCAAATTGGCTGTAATTTGATCACATTGATTTTGTTGTGCAAATATTGCTGCTGCTGCTGCCATACCATCGTTGTTTTTGTTGTTGTTGATTTGTTGTTGTTGTTGTTGTTGTGAATGTTGCGGTTAAAATAGCCATCATTAATAAACGAACGTTTACCACCTGCTCTCCAATCTTTTGAAAATGTTATCTGTGACATTGTCGATTGAATTTGTGACATTAAAATGATTGATAATAATATGGCAAAAATAAAGCCAACGATACGTATATAAATTGAATTGGACATTTTTTTTTTGTTTGTTCGATCATACACTATTGATTGGTCTTTGATTTCTTTGAAATGAATTGATGTGAATCGATGAATCTGAAAAAATTGATTTGGTTTTTATAGCATGGATTTTTTCATTTTTTTCCAATAAAAATACCATTTTCCATCATTTGAATAAGATAAATGCATCATTGCTGAGAAAAAAAAATTGAATTACAAATCATCATAAGTGGATTTTTTTAAGTGTTTTTCTTCAAAACATTTTATCAATTTCAATTCCATTTATTTATTTGAATATCTAGTTCTTTTTTTAAAGAAAAAACATAACCAAAATTTTAAAAAACAATTTTGTCGATTCTTCGATGATGATGACGATGATGACGATGATAATTTACATATATGAAATGGGATGCTACAAACAAAATAATGATGACGTTGTAATATTTGTGAATTTTGTATTTGTCATAAAAAAATTTGCTGTATGGCCACTTGTATACCGGCCCATGTTTCTGTTGCCGTTGGTAATATTTGATCGGCTGGCAATATGAAACCATAATAACCACGATCACGAAGTTCGACTAGATATGCATCACGAATACCTAATTTATGATAAATCCAATCCATCATAAAACCGGAACCTAAATATAATCGTGATCCTAATGGACCAATATCGTATAGTATACCATTCTGTTGTCGTACTGCTTGTTGTATTGATCGCAATATACGCATATGATGATTATGATCTTTAGTCATATCGGTTGTGAATGCATTTGGACATGACCATAATTGATTGAATGAATGTAGTGATAATGTCATTTTGATACGATTACGATTTTTCGAAAGTAGATCACTAGCTGCACGTACTTCTGGTTCAGAAAATGGTTTTGGACCTTGATACAGAAATGAACATGGATTTTACTCGAACCAGTGCCACCAAAATTGATATCATAATTGCGATTGAGATCAACACCGGTACAACGTTCTGGCATTGAATGACGTGATAAACGGCTACCAATATATGGACGACGATTTTTACGCCACATACGATCTTTAGTCCATGTGTATACATAACCATCAACATTCAATATTGGTACAATAATAAAATTGATTGGAATTTTTGTATAGATTGCCTGATCAATAATATATAATGCCGTAGTAACGGTAACCCATTCTCTAGCATGTGTACAGCCATCAATCCATAGAAAATTTGGATCATTAGGATTATTTAATATTTCTATAGCTTGTATTGGACGATTTTCATGTGTATGACCAATGGTGAATAATGTTATACCTGATGAATCAGGTAAATTGGCCACATCATGAAGATAACGATTAACCTGTGCTATTGGATAATAACGATTCAATACAAATGTTGGTAATAATTTACTATAATAGATTGGATGGCCACCAACACGTGCATTCATCATTGTTGTTGTTGTTGATGATGATGGTGATTGATGATTACTATAAACAGGTTCATCTTCACCATCATCATCATTATTATGTTCATTAATGCCAGTAGCAGTGTGAATATCATTGTTTGCCGGTAAATGAAATGTTTGTGATGACATGACATGATTATTTTTCGGAAATGTTGTATATGGATGATATGAATGTTGTTGTTCAGCATCTAACCATGATTGAAGATTTGTTGTAACAAAAACAGGCTGTTCACGAAGATAACGTAGATCACGACGAACACGTTTCAAACTTTTTGGTCCAATACGTACAAATGCATATGTATTATTCATATCGGATTGATCATACCATAGTATTTCATGATTATCATCCGGTTGATGATTACGATGATGATCATTTTGATTATCGAAGATTTTATGTAGATCAAGATTGGAAATTTTTATAATTGAATGACTGGAAATTTTGAAAATTAGAAAAAAAATCAAAAAAAAACAAGTCATAATGATTTGTAATTAAATATAGAAAACGGTGTTTAAGATACACACACAGGCAGACAGACCGGAGATATCTAGATCTTAAAATAGATTCACTTCACCTGTCTATAATTGTGCACAATAACAACAACAAGTGTTTATGATAAACGTTTCAAACGTTCATTTAGCTATTTAGAAATCTCTGGCTTCATATTTGATATACTCACTTTGTATAATCGATTCTATTATAATTTACATTATCATCATCATCATCATCATCATCATTAATTGTTTTCAGTGATGAATTTAATTTGAATTTTGGTTGAAAATTTTTGGCCAACGATATAGAATAAATTGATGTCTTGTTGGCTGTGATCAATGATGATGATGATAGATAACAATGAAAAATTATCGATAAAATCAATAAAATTAATTTATATCGTGATAACGGTGACGTTTTCATGATTTTTGTTGTCGTTGATGATGTGGAACACTTTGAATTTGAAAATTGTTGAAAATCTCTTCTGATCATGAATTGATTCATGTGGTTGTTGTTGTTGTTGTTGATTTAAAATTTTTCGTTCATTTTCCGGTCGAAACATGTTGATCACGGCCATTATCGGTTATTGTTTGTTTATATTGAAAACAGAATGCGTTAAATTCACGTCGATTTGTTTGTTTATGTTGATTTTTAAGTTCGATCTACTACTACAATATTGGAAAAATTACAACAACAACAAGAAGAAGAAAAAAAAAGAATGATGATTATAGCAAAAATTTTGTAATCTAAATTTTTTGTTTTATCAATTTGATTATGATTCGATCATCATCATCATCACTAATTAAATGTTGATCATTGCATTCTTTTGCATCAAGTTTGATCGATCAAATCACAAATCACAAATCAAATCGATGTTTTGGTTGTTGTTGATCGTATATCGATCGATAGAAATTCGAATGAAAAGAAAAAAAAATTGAAAATCTTTTTTTTTTTTTGAAGAAAACCTTTTGATCATCATTTTTCATTGATGACTCTTTTTTTTCTTTAATTTATTACAAATAAGAAAATGTTTGATACAGAGAGAGAAATGAAAAAAAAATTGGCATTTAAAGGAAAAGAAAAATTGACCAAATCACCTTTGTTGTTTGTTGTTTTGGTTGTTATTGTTACGTTGATCTTCAATCATTCGATCACAAATGATGATGATGATGATAATCGATTGTTCCATTGGAACATCATCATCATCATCATTATAATTCAGACACAGGAAGGAAGTAAATCAATCCAAACACTCATACACACACACACACACAACAACAACAACAACAACAAAAAAAATCTCATGAATCGTCCATCATAAGATTGAATATGGCAATTTCAATTTTCATTTTGTTTGTTTATTCAAACAACAGCAACAAGTATCATCATTTGATGAATTTGAAATTTTCTGTTCTTTTTTTTTCTCTCTCTCTCAAAAAAAAAAAAAAAAAAAACAAACAAACAAACAAAAAAATGAAAATTGTCACAAAAACGATGGATAAATGATGATCAACATTGTCATCATCATCATCATCATTATCATTGTTGTGGAACAAATGAAATCAAAAGTTGTAGATGATGATGATGATGATGATGATTGTTGTGGAACCAGAAACAAACAAATGACACACATGTGTTTGTTTGATTGGATCATTGATGTGTTTGTGTGTGTGTGTGTAATACATACGAATGTTTTTTTTATGTATCTAGAAAAAAAACAGCCAAACTGTAGGTTGTTAATGGCGGCGGTGGTGGTGGTGGTGGTGGTGGTGGCGATGGTGATGGAAGTCTTTTTTTTCTCTTTTCCAATACATAAATGTTTCCTTTTACCGAACAAGGTATGTTTCTAAATACTCTCTTTTTTCCTATTTTAAATGTTGTTCGAATTTTTTTTTTCATTTCATTCGATGAACATCATGTAGCAACATCTTATCGATTATTCAACAGAAAGAGAGAGAAAAAAAAATTTACGTTTATGGTAATTTTTACCTGGAAAAAAATGTGACAATTTTTTTCCATCGATAATGTAAACTTACCGTTGAATGATGATGTTGGAAAAAAAATGATAAATTTTCTGCTGGACAGTAATCAAAATGGAAAATGGAAAATGGAAAATGAAAACAGATTCAAATTTTTTTTTGTTGAAAAGTTGTTGATCATGGTGTGTGTGTGTGCGATTGATACAGCTGAATCATTCATATTTTTTATACTTAAGATCCACTTGCAAAATCAACACCAAATCTTGTACATTTTTTTTCGTATCTGAAACATTTAAATAATCGGTATTTTATTAACACACACACACACATATACATGGCGTTGTGATCACAATATCATGAGATATAATCGCCCACGGAATTTATTGTTTGTCGTTGCTGTTGTTGTTGTTGTTGTTGTCATCCAAAATATTATCATTATTATAAATCTTTTATTATTTTGAAATAAGAAAGTGAGAGAAAGAGAGAGAAAAGAAGAAAATTCAGTGGGCGAAATGGAAATTAATAGTTGCTGCTGCCTGTCGTTATTTTTGTTAATTAATCCTGAAACCAACAACAACATAGCAACACATTGAATATATATAGAGATGTGAAGAGAGAGAGCTTTGTCGAATATCGATGGAATTCATCATCATCATGGATGTGGATGTAAAGCTTTCATTTCCATTTTTCCATTTTTTTTACAGCCATCCAGTATCCATATGAAGCAAAAGAAAGCCTACTACTTTTATTCAATTAACATTTTATTTCATTCATTCATTCATTCATTTGTTTGTTTGTTTTTCAGCCACTTTCTTTCCATAGATTACCTTGAAGATTGAATGTCATTATATGTGATGAAAAAAAAATGAAACTAGCAGACTATAGAAAAGATTTTTTTTTTTTTTTTGTTTTGCACAAATAATGTCCATTGTAATGTCCATTTTAGTGTTGGTTGGTTGGTTGACGTATGTATGCAAAACGATACGCATATCAATGACAAAATACTGTGGAATTGAAATATGGAATAATATGAAAACATGTACATTGAACAATCCATATTTCCTTGCTGACATTTTTGCTCAATTTATTCATTACATTTTGTTCTCTTGTTTTTTTTGCATTCACAATGACGTATAATTCAATCATCAATGATATAATCGAATGGCGATAAATCCAAAAGAGATGATTGATATATGATGATTATAAATGAATACATTATGTGGATCGTTTGTGTGTGTGTGTGTGTGTGACTTCCGGCTTACTGAATTTATTGATGATATCTAATTATAGATATCTGGATTATCTGGATAAATCTTTATTTATTTTTTCTTTCAAAACTAACCGGCTAGGATTTTTTTTTCTGCCATTATCCACTGGTAAAATTGAAAATCGATTTGAGCAAAAAACAGAGTATGTGTGTTGTAAGTATTTCAGAAAAATTCAAAACATCAACGAAATGAAAAAAAAAGTGAATCCTACTGATAATCTGATTGATTGATGATTCATTACATCATGAAAAAAAAACGGTAAATGTTCAGAGGCAAAAGCCTGTTTTCATTCATTTGAAAACCGAGAGATTGAAAAAAAACCAATCACATGATTATCATCGATGATGGAATAGACAATAAATTAGCCCATTGAAAAATACGGATATATTATTTGATCATTTTATCACTATTTAGATGTAAAAAAATTTGTTTCGTCGTTTTTATATAACCAACCCAATAATTAGTTGATTATTTCAATCCTTTTTAATATATATTGGCCAAGTTTAAACCGTTGGTGGTGGTGGTGTTTCTTTCAAATGTCACATTACAACATATACGAATTACAACATAAAGGATTTTGTATTTCCCCAACATTAATCGATGGATTCGTTCATCATTCATTATCATTCTTGAATGATGGACGAATCCATCGATTATTATGGGAAATAGAAATCAAGTCGAAAAGGGACAAATGTACATGTGTGTCATGTGAAACACCATAATCATGTACTCGAATTTTTTATAAATACACGTCAATATTCTATTTTTCGATTTTCGAATTATTATTTAATATTACTGTTCATTTGTTTCAGTGTTTTATTTTTAGTTTTGAAAGATAATCATCACAAATGTGGAATGGTCAAGATGGATTGAAGGTTTAGCACAATATGTATGGACATATGTTTTTTGTTGGAATATTATGAATATAATGAATTACGAATATGCCAACAATGATTATTAGAATTGTATGGAACAATAATTTCAGTTAATGTATTTATATGTGAACAGTTTAGAACTGAAATATACTTTTGAATGACCTTTGCTTTAGCCTTTTATATACGTTATTTTGTACTTGTGCTTTACTACGTTAATTATTCAACATTTATCGACATCAAGCTCTAGCTTCTATGCCTTCGAGAGAATGTTGATCAAAGGTGATGATTTGCGAATATTGTTTGTAGTTCAAAAAGAACAACTAGGTGAAAGAACACCAGCAGAATTCGGCAAGTATGTCATAACACATTTCAGCAATCAAATGAAACAATTCGGACACATTTAATTAAAGTTAGTGAATCATATTGTTCTTCTAAATGTCTTGCATACTCAAAAGTTTTTCGAGTAGAAGATGTAATTATGCCTTGTTTACTAAGAAAATGTCAAAAATGTCATGGATATACAAATGCTTTGATTCCCACAACAGAAGATCAAATTGCATCTATATTCTCAAATGCTCATTCAAATGGTTTAAGTGGATTTTCTCCTATCGGCTTATATTATGCTGCTCAGTTGAATGAAGAGTTAAAATTGATAACTCAAGATTATCAACAATGACAAGTAATGACAAGTTAATTGCTTTAGGAATGATTCCAAAAATTGTTGGAGGTTTTCATATCCTGGGCTTACATAACATGTCAGCAAGAGAAGAATCAGATCATTTAACATCTTATATTGAAATGGTCAAATTTTCAAAAATGAATTCCACAGCTAAAACAAACAACAAGTAAAAGAATTATTCCGATTACAAAAAGTATTGATAATGGAAAATGTTCTCAAAATTTTCTTGTCTAATAAAGATTGGCATTCAAAAGTCTTTGCCTTGCTATATTCTTGTACACCACAGAAGCACTATCATTCTAGTTCGCATACTAGAAATTGATGCAATGACCAAAGGTCTACAAGTTATACGACCAGTATTGAAAGAATATCATCATCAGGGTCACAGACCTGCATTTAGGAATTTCATCAAACTTCACTTCAGTTTCATCATTTCAAAACTGCTGCAAATTATTAATATTTCCTAGGGGGAGTGTTGAAATGAAAACATTAATTGTATTTTGTTCGAAAAACTAGAATTACCAATTATTCTATTTCAAACATATATAAACAGTTTTGTTATATATTATATATATATATTAACATTGAATTTGTATAAATAAATTATTCATATTTTCAATACAACAATTTGTTTATTGATTATTGATATTGTTCAAAAAAAAAAAAAAAAAAAATCCACCAATCATTTCTGAAACTAGAAGGCAGCACTGGTTCAATTATTCTTGTGTTTTGAATCTGAATTTTTTCTCTTTATACATGTAGATTACTTTCAACTTTCCAATAATCTTTCACGAAGATTTTTATCCAATTTATAACCATCTGGTAGATTTTGATCAATTTTTTCACGTATAGTACTAATATCTTGATATTTGATTTCTTTATCAAATGAATCAAGAATTTTCATTTGTTCATCATTAAGTTGAAAATCAAATACAGATATATTCTCTTTAACACGTTCAGATTTTGTTGATTTCGGTATGGTAGGTACATTATGTTGTAATGACCAACGTATTAAAACTTGTGCAGCAGTTTTTCCAATCGATTTGGCTATATTTTGAACTTGTTCTTCATTGATAAGATTTCCCATACCTATATATTTTCGTGGGAAAAAATTCCAATCAAACTCAGTAACTCAACAAAAAAAAATATCAATATTCACCCAAAGGACAATAGCCTTGTATTTGGATTTGATTGTCACAACAATATTCAACAACATCTTTAGGATAATGATATGGATGGAATTCAATTTGATTCACCAATGGTTTCATTGAACCATATTCATTTTGTTTTTCAATATCATCAATTTGATAATTGGACACACCGATGGCACGTATAAGGCCTTCATCATAAAGACATTCGAATGCACGCCATGTATCGCCTAATGTTTGCCATTTATCATTACAACAATTTGATGATACTTCTGGATAATGTATTAGAAATAGATCCAGATAATCGATACCAAGTCTACGAAGTGATCCACGAAATGCCTGTTTGGTTGATTCAAATCCACAATCAATTGGCCATAATTTAGTGGTCAAGAATAATTCATTTCTATCAATATTACATTCCTAAACAAATCATAAAATTATTGACAAATCACAATGTATTAAAATCAAACTTACTTTAATTGCATATGAAATAAATTCTTCAGTTCCATAACGTTTGGCCGTATCAATTAATCGATAACCACATTGTTTCAACGCATAAACAACACATGAATGTGAATAGCCACCACTATGTGATGTTCCTATTAAAATTTTCAACAACAACAAAAAAATTCATTTACTACTGAAAACATGACATCAAATATTAACAGTTTATTTACCCAGGCCAATCATTGGCATTGTAACACCATTACTCAAGGTGATTTTTTGTTGTTGTTGTTGTTGTTGTTGTTGATTTGTTTTGAATGATTCATTGTTATTGTCACCATTATTATTATTGTCCATTTCATTAAACAGATTCAATCAGACAACCGGATATAGAATGAATAGAAATTAATAACTAACAAAATATGAAATCGAAAAAAATTTTTTTTCTCTATTATCGAACTTTTTTGAATCGAACCAAAAAAAAAAAAAACGAACAACCAAATGTCATATGTGATAATAAATGTTCTAAAATTAGAGTCTATACACAACAACAAAAAAAACACAGCAGCAGCAATATTATGAAAAAAAAACCATAGAGAATTCGCGATTTGTTGTCGTTGACAAAAGAATGCCACTATGCCACCACCACACCACCACAGCTATATATATACACATAACAGAGTTATATAACGGAAAATTTTGCTTCAGTTTGAATTTGAAAAAAATGATTTATATTTATTCATTCAATAAACAGGTATATATAAGAATATTGATGAATTATAGAATATATAATATTTACAAGCCAAATTTTTTTTTGTTTGTTTAAAATTTAAAATGGTTGTCACATGGATAAAATGACTGAAAAAAAGGTGGTTTGAAATAATAATGTTTTTTCTGTTTTGATTTTAGATTTAATTTTTTTTTTTTTTTTTTTTTGACAAGAAATTGAAAAAGGCAACAATATTTCGTTTGTTTGCATATATATATAAATAATGGACAATGGTCATATATAGTGAATATGATTGGCTGATTGATACAATGGTGAAATTTTGGCACAATCAATCATCATGAGAGTTTATTTTTGATGAATTTGGTGTGATGAATGATGGTAAATGAATGAAATGAGCTCAAAGAAAAAAATTTTTTTTCCCCATTGACGACTAGGTCTTTGAAAATGAATTTATGTGGTGGTTGGTTGGTTTTCTTTCTTTCTGGAATTGAAATTTACATTTGAATTCTGTTTTGGTGTGTGTGTGTTGTGTGTGTTTTGTGAGTGTTGTTGTTGTTGTTGAAAGACTAGCATTTTATGAGATTTTTTTTTGTTTGGCAAATACAATTTATTGTGAAAAAAAAGGAATCAGAATCGATTTATTTCGTTCTTGAATTAGTTATTATTATTAGGTTGCTGTTTCTGGAACAGTGTTGTTGTTGTTGTTGTTGTTGCTGTATTTTGATTTGCATTCATTATCACTTTATTATGGATTTTATTTTCAGCCGAATATGATACAAGTAGATTTGTTGATTTCTGTATTAAATCTGGTAAACAAACTGGTGAATCTTTACTCAGATGCCAAAGAATATTCGAATGGCCATGTTGTTGTTGTTGTTGTTGTTGTTCATGATGATTATTATTATCGATTATCATCATTTTTTCATCATCATTATGTTTACCGGCCATTGTTTTATCATAAATATTTGCATTCGAATGATAATGATGTTGTTGTGGTTGTGATTGAAATAATCGTCTTGAATTATTTGTAAATAATAATGGTCTATCCTCATAAATAGACGATGTACTGAGATCATCATCTTGATTGACTGTTGTTGTTGATGATTTTTGGCCATAAATAATCGTCGATGATGGTGAATTCAATTGCTGTAAACGACGATTATATTCATTCAAAGTAGCTGCCGATGAATCACTATCGATACTTTCATAAATATGATCAATATTATTCGATAAATGATGATGATGTCTATTTGTATTCATTTGTATGATGTATTTATTATCATCAACGTTAGATGGCGTATGATGATTATTCTGCTGTTGATTTAGCCGACGAATAAATTGATGATGATGATGATGATTTCCATTCAAATTATGTAATGTTCCAAATTGATCAATCATTGGTTTGGTTTTGATTTTACGTAATGAAAAATTATCAATTAATTTTGTATTAAATTCAATAATTGGTTCCTGTTGTTGTTGTTGAATATCTTGATTAGATACTTTTGATTGATCCATATCAATATTACTATAATTATACAAAAGGGTATTGATTTCTTGTTGTTGCTGTAGTTGCTGTTGTTGTTGTCCCAAAATAGATTGGTGATCTTGTTTGCAAATATTTTTGTTGTTGTTCATTAAATCTTGTTGTTGTTGCTGTTGTTGTTGTTGTTGATGATGATGAACAGTTTGAAAGTTCCATTGTGTGGTATGTGACTGAAAACAATAAAAAAAACAAGATAATTAATCAAATGATGAAAAAAACAATAAAAATAAATGGAAAAAGGAAAATAGTCATCAAAACTCTGGGTGTGTGCAAAGCAAGAATATTATGAAGGAAACTTTATGCTATATAGTGGTTTTTTTTCAAAACAAAAAAAAAAAAAAAAGAACATGCACACGTGCAGGACGATGCAATACCTGGTTGAGGATAAGAGGTATAACGTACAATGGGCAATGGTTGCTGCATTGGACCAATACATTGAGACATGGACATTGATGATACTGGACTAATTGCATTTGGTGATGAAGGTGAATGGCCACCAATACCAATACCACCAGCACCGATCGGTGTATGTACATTAATGCCATTCACTTGTGTAGAAGTGATTTGTGTGACAACTGGCCGTGTAGAATAAACGTCCGAAGTGGTCGATTGTTTTGTCATATTATTACTTGATATTTGAGATCGATGATTATGATGATGGTTATGATGATGATGATGATGATGGTGATTATTACCACCAAATGAAAATGGTAGATAACGAAATATTAGTGAATGTTGAATATTTTCTGTCTTAAGTACACAATACAAGCCCACAAATAATGCAAATAATAAATTGAACGAAGCAAATATGATGGCAATTATTTGTGAATGCTGTTGTTGTTGTTGTTGCTGTTGCTGTGTAAACATATTGGCAAAAGCTAATGGCCAATTTATTGATTGAAACAATGTCAATAATAGAATCCAATTGATCGAACTTTTTGAACAACCAAGACGTATATCATCAAAACATTTAATAGTTGTTGCCGATATCGTATGATTTCTTATGATGACAAAGGCAAACAAAATAAAAATTAAACTAGCCAATACAAGACCAATGAATGGACCAATAAATGAAAGATGAACATAATTGTTGGCCGATGTTAACAATAAAAATTGGCTATAATATGTTGGCAATGGTGTAAAACAAACGATCACAATGACCAATGGTCCAATATAGGCAAATGAATAATACCACCAAAGACGTTTTGAAGATTTAAAATGTTCATAAATTAGATTTACTTGCATATAAACATCGAATGCAGCAAAAAATGTCCAAAAAAATGATGTTAATAAAAAATAATGCAACATAGCCAAACAAGCCGTAAACATTGTACCATTATCCATTGTATTCATCATACAAACATAAATGAATTCCGATATGAATAATGTAAGATAAAGATTACGATGATTTGAAGCGGTGATTTTATTGCCAACCGGTGTTAAAAATAATAATATGGTCAATAATGCCAATATAATCATACTGATTGAACAGCTGCCCATTACTAATGATCGACCAATGTTTATTGTTTGATTATCCAATTGATTGTCGGCCATAGTTTTGATTTCACTTAAAACAGCAAAATGTGTAAGATGATTACACATACAAATAGTATGTGTACTGTTTGTTGATTCAACCCAACAACCATCGGTTAGCCAATTTTGATGTTTCATATTCCAATAAACACATTGTGGATTTGATATATTTTCCACCTGTATATGACGTAATATTATGGTCACTGGTTGTGATAATGGTGTTGGATGATCATCAATTGTACCATCATGTGATAGTGTGGCACCGATTACATGTGAATTTATAAGCATTAAATTCTGATGACTTGTATTCATTGGTAATCGATTTGCCATATGAATAATATTATAACGTTCAAAATCAGTCTGTGGTGATGGTTTCAATAAATCTTCAATACGATAATAGGCAAAAAATGATACTTTAGCAAGGCCTATATATACATATTACAATATAAAACAAACAGAATAATTTGATAAATTTACAACAACAACAATAAAAAAACAAAAAAGAAAACTTACCTCCTTGTGAATGATCAACTAAAGATTGTGCAGGTAAAAATATAGAATCTTCCATTCGTGTCCAATCATTTGTTCCGGTTATATCTTCATAAGTGGGAAATTGTAAACTTATAGGCATACCAGTATCAAGAACATGTACAGAGACCACTGAGAAAAAAAAATGGACAACAACAAAAAAAAATCCAGAACAAGAATGATTATGAAATTCGATATATATATATACACTATTTATTATTATTACTTACAAACATTAGGACGAGCAATGGCAGTAGAACCATCATGATTAGTATTATCAGCTAATAATAAGGCACTTTTTTCCAATGATCTGATCAATGCTGATGCAACTTCTTTACGATTAATAATATTCAAATCAAGCCATGCATCATCTTGGCCATTACCAAGTAAATTGCTTACAATTTCAACAATAAATGTTAATAATTCTTTAAGAACTTGATGTCTATGCCAAACTTCAACCGTTTGTAAGCTTTGTATACTGGTTATAGTGTGTTCTAAAAATTGTTGTATAATATTGGCAATTTTAACTAAATCTTCTGAATATAAAGGCTTAGTCAATGTCATCAATGCCAATTCATTGGCAATCTTAATGACCGATTCTCGATTATTTAAACGTTCATCAAGATTATCTAACCATAATGAACGACATTCACTAAAATCCGGTCTTGGTGGATACCATTCAACAATGTCTAGATCATGATTATAAATACAACGCCATTTAACAAAACCGGTAGCACCTCCTGGACATTTTTGACTTGTCATTTCATTTTTTCGAATCGAATTCCAAAAAAGACTACGTACAAATGAACTTGGACAATAATCTTCCGGTGAGATATTAACATTATTGCCATTATCAATAGAACCATATATTGAATTTAATGAATTATCTTGTGTACGAACAAATATATTCGATGACGATGATGGTGATGATTGATCGATCGGTATATCAAGATTATTATTATCGGCCGTATTAAAGGGCAACAATGGTGATATTGTTAAAGGCAATGTATTATCAAAATGTTCAACCATAGTGGCTATATTAGTTTTATTCCATCGTAAATTAAATCGATCAGATGAATCTGATGATGTTAAAATGGGCTGATCTTCAGCATGTGTCATATACGATGAATCGGTTGTAGGTGGTGGTGATGATGATGATGATTGTAGTGGTGGTGGTGGTGGAGGTACAAACACTGTATCTATTGGACTATTATTATTATTCAGAATAACCGGAATTGTATTGTTCACTAAGGAAGTCTCAATTGGTGGTCTACGAGTGGTTGTCTGTAATAATAATGATGTCGACTGTGACTGTGATGATGATGATGATGATGATGATGATGAGGAAGATTGTGATGACATGATTGAAGAGGATGAGCCTAACCAAAAAAAAAAAAAACAATCAAAATTTAAAAAAAAAATAAAGAATGAAAAATGATGATGATGACGAACAAACCTTGAACACAATGATATTGAACTTCAAGATATTTGGCCGTTCCTGGGCATGGATCATCAAATAATTTACTTGAAACGATGACACTACAGCTTGATTTGTTGCTACATCTACATTTTTTTCGTAATTATATAATGAATGATAATTTAAAACAAAAAAAAATGAACAATTAATGGTTATAATTATAGGGTTCAATGATTCGAATAAAGTAAAAAAAACACACACAGGAATGAAAAATTGTACAAGAGATGAACAATTAAAATATTTTTTTTTTAGAATTTCAAGTAAGAAAAAAAAGAAAAGAAAAAAACAAGATAATTACCTGTCGGACATGATTAGAAATGAACGATAAGACATACACATGACGCTTAAATCTAAACGTCCACCTTCATTACATATACTAAGACTAAAACGGCCATAATTGGCACGTACCAAATGTATTGATTCATTTGGTTCACAATTTAGCTGTAATTCACGATGTTCACAGGCATATGTTGTTTTATATTGTATACGAGCTATGTGTGAAAAAAAAAAAAGAAAAAATTAATTAATTGATTAATAATTAGTCAAATGATTAATCGTTCAAATCAATCAATCAATTGATTGATTGATTGAAAAAATTTATATATAAATGAAAAAACAAAATCAAAAAATCAAAAATCAAATAAAATAAAAAAAAATGATAATTACCTCGATTGGGAGGACTTATGGAAAAATTGGTTGCATTCACTACTTATTTTAAACATAAAAAAAACGTAAACGAAAACAAAAAAACAAAACGAAAAAAAATTAAAAAAAAATGAACAAAAAAACAAACAAAGAAAAATAGCAAGAAAAATGTGGAAAAAGCAAGAAAAATCATGCGGCAAACTAAATCTTTCCAATCATCATCATCGTCGTCGTCGTCGTCGTCGTCATTTTGATCAGATATGAAGAAACGGAATTTTTTTTCCGAAAAGAAATTTTAAAAGTTTTTTTTAATTTATAAATTCAAATCAAACACACACACACACACACACATAAACATCAAGATGACATTTTGAAAAGTTGATACTGATGGATAAAATGGAAATGAAACACTAAATCGATTAACTCGAACATTTCAGATAATCGGTTTTTTTTGTTGTTTTTTCAATACTGAAATGTTGAATTACATTCACTGACACACCAATATTGAGCTGACCGAAGACAGGTCAGGTATTTGCATCGGTCACACCACCACCATCACCATCACCATCACCATCACCGACACATACATATGTCAAAGTGATGAGCGCACAGCAAGCAAGCAAGCAAGCTAGTGGAGCGAAAAATAAACTTTTTTATAAAATGATGATGATGATGATGAAGAAAAAAAATCAAATAATAAATCATAGAGCTATATATACAGCACCAATAATGTTCACAGTGATTAATTTTGATGACGACGATCATCTGGTGATGGTTGAAAACAAAACAAAAGAAAGAAAAACTTTTCTCAAAATGATATTCATTCATTTTACGAATTATTATTATATCACACACATCAATGATTGAATGAATCAAATTGATGCTGTGTGAGGTGACAAATTTGACACTTGATAATGTTTGCGGATCTGGAATTTTTTTTTTTTGTTTGTGTGTATGTGTGTGTGTGTGATAAAAAAACAATTGACATTTTCATGATGAATTTTTTTTTCAATTTCAATAATCGATTGTATCGATAATGATATTCAATGATAATAATAAAGATAAGGTGAGTGTGTGTGTGTGTGTGCATGTGAGGTGTGACGAACAAGTGAATAGTATTGAATCGATCAAATCAATAATAATCGATTTGAAAAGATACAGCAAAAAAAAAAAATAGTGTAGAGTATACACATCAACAGGATCTAAAACCAAAATATATCATGAAAAAAAACAACCTGAAATCGAACACTATATACCATTGATTGAAAAACATTTTGCATTCTTTTTACGACATATGAATGTGTCAGAATTTATTAAAATGCACATCATCAAATCATTATTGCATTTTAAATATTTGACAAACCAAAATCGACAGGATCTATATATATTGATTGAAAAAACATTGTGAATAGAATTTTTTTTTTCATTTTCAAAACCAAAATCGATTAGATCAAAATGAAAAAAAAACAACCTGAAATCGAACACTATATACCATTGACCAACAATTGACAACAACAACGACAACAACAACAACAACAACAGCAAAAAAGCAATGAATCATTTTGCATTCTTTTTTACGACATATGAGAGAGAAAAAAAAACAAGTGTCAAACAATACACACCAGAAAGAAAAAAAAATTGAAAATGTGAAATATTAGAGAAATATTAAAAATGCACATCATCAAATCATTATTGCTGTTGTGTGTGTGTATTATGTGTGTAAATATTTGACAGTATACTGTATAATAATATTACCTATATATATTATCGATAGAATATCGATAATGGTAAAATGACTTTTTCGTTCGTTCGTTCGTTCGTTCGTTCGTCAGGGTAATAAATTAATTTGTACCCATCCACCATACATTTGACAATATCAATTCATCGTCATCAAAGAAAAAAAAAAGTAAGTAAGGAAGGAAGAAAAAAAAACTTGTAAGAATATAAAGAGAATCATCCATGAAATCTGATAAAGGACCAAGAAGAAGAAGAAAAAAAAATTCATACGACATGATATTGGTGATGGTTTGGCAAGAAAATGTCATCATTTATTAAAAGTGGTCGCCATCATCATCATCATCATCATCATGGTCGACAAAGCACTACTATAAACATGGATGGATATATCCATTCGTGAATGAATCAAAAAACGAAACGAAATGAATAACGAAAAATATGAAAATTCAAGTACATATACATAATATATAAATGTATGTAAATGGCCAAAAGGCAAATTTTCATTTATTCATGCAGCGTGAAAAAAAAATCCAATGATGTAAATACTAGTCTGTGTGTGTGTGTTGTGTATTAGCAAGACAATATAAAAATGAAAAAAAAATAAATCAAGATTCCACATGTTATTATTTATATTATTATTATTATCATGATAATCATTTGCATAAATATGGAATTTGAATTCTACATGATGAATAGAAAGAGAGAAAAAAAATTAATTCTGTGAATGCATATTTATATATAATAAATATGAAAAAAAAAAATTCAGCAAATCCGATTCCTGTGTGTGTGTGTGTGTGTGTGTGTATTATTTATTATATGAGCACGTTTTTTGCACATAGAGAATCTGTGTGAAAATTCTTTGATTAAAGATTCAATTCTGCTGCTGTTGTTGTTGTTGTTGTTGTTATTCGTAATGTACAATCCGGCCAATTTTTTTTTTTTATCGTTAAAATAGAAAAAGAAGAAGCGTGTGTGTGTGTGTGAAAAGATAATTAATGAATTTTATTATTACAACAACAGAAGCAATTGAGAAGTGGAAAAAAAATTCCGGTCATCATCCACACATGAAATGGAACAACAGCTTGTTAATTATTGAATAAATACAACAACAACAACTACTACTACTTGGTTAATAGAATAATTTAGATGTAAATAATAAATAAAATTGGCAAATGATGAATTTGAAAAAGGAAATTGATTTGTGTATTGAATGGCGCGTGTATGCCATACACAGTTTTCCTTTTCCTTTTCATCATCATTTGGATCAATTCAATATGATGATAACCATTAACAGGATGGATATTAGATGAATAATAATAATAAAAAAAATGAACCAATAAATGATGTGTTGTGTTTTTTTTTTTTTATTTGTGGACACTAGTCACGTATTGTCAATGTTAAAACATACGTAATTTACACACACAAACACACACACACACAGATACAAATATATTCTGGATATTCCAAAGAAATGAAACTACCGAAAAAATGTGTGTGTGTGTGTGTGATCTCAATATATTCTGGTATTCCCAAATGGTCAACATCATATCATCACATTGTAAATAATCAATTTTTCCGACGACAAAGAAATGCAGAAATAACAGAACGAAAAAAAAACGGAAAAACCACCAGCATAGAGGTGATTGATTGATTGATTGATCTTGATATATTGAGATGAGATGAGAAAGAGAGAAAAAATTTTTTGTTAATTTTTGCATCTTACCAATGACACGGATCCAATCCTACTATTACACACATAGAAAGAAATTGGATAAGAGAAAATCTTCCATCAACCAGAAAAAAGGAAAAAAAGATAACAAACGAAGCGATTAAGCGCAAACATTTCTTTCATTTTAAAGAATTTTCATTTCTTTTTTTTAAATCATTCAAAAATGCATTAAATTAACGATGTTGTATAGTTTGTTCAATAATGACGGCAATGGTGATGGCCGTGTTGTTGTTGTTGTTGTTCTTTATCCAATTGACATTATCTTAGGGCATCATATGAAATTTTTTTTTCTGAGATAAGAAAATTTTATTTTAAAAGATTTTCCGTGTGTGTGTGTTGATCGAAATCATGAATAAATTAGTGATAATCATACCGACAAAAAAAAACAAAATGTACAAAATATATGATGATGGATAGGTGGAAAAAAAAGACAGATTCAGATGGTTCATCATTCTTTTCGTTTTTTTTGCTTCTTCTTCTGGAGGTTAAAACATTTGACCGAATATGATGATGATGATGATCTAAAAGTTTGCCGAACTTTATTCTAGAATCTAGATCATTACCATTAATAAAAGATATTTTACACACACACACACGCATGACGAACGAACGACATGGATCAAAGGTGAAAAATGGTTTTTGCGATAATCCACACACACACACACACACACACACACACATAGACAATATATCACCTTTTTTCACAATTTATCCTACTCTCTTACCCCCCCCCCTCACTACCACCACTTTAGAAAAAAAAAGTAGTCCTGTCAAAAAAAAAATTTTGTCGAAATCGAGAGTTTGTGATAACACTCATTACACACACACACACACACAGAGAGAGGAATTCGACATATCTAATCAAATGTCCTAAGTGGCCACCAATGTCACCATCATCATCAGTTTGTTCATTTTGTTTTTTTCACGGTGGTAATGTGATGACCACTTATTGCAATTTATTTATTTTGATTTTTTTTTCTGTCTCTTGAAAAAAAAATCAAAATAAAAAAAATCTGAATTAATTTATGCAAACTTTGGCCAAAAAAAAAAAAAAAAAAAAAAGTTTAAAAATCCAAATTTAAAAGTTCTACTAGTTGTTCAAACAAACTATGAAGAGAAAGAAAAAAAAATATGAAAAAACCAAGCCAGGTGATTTATAATCAACATTTTTGAATAAACAAAAAGCAACACATTATACATTGGGTCCACCAGATGATGTATGAACCAAAAAAAAAAAAAAAAAAAATGGCCAGTAGAAAGAAATAATCTTGAAAAACTTTTTTTTGCATTTTGGAAATCCATGTTGTTTGTGGATTACCCCGAAAAACAAAACAAAACGGAATAGGAAAAAACTGAATTTATTGCACATTTACAACAACAAAAAAAAATTTTTCCATCATCCAAATGCAAACAAAAATATTCAATTTCTATTTCCTGTTTGTTTTTGTTTATGGTGAAATTAATGGAATATTCGTGTTTATGAATCTCCTGTATTTTTTGTTGTTGTTGTTGTTGTTGTTTGGATATTTGGATATGAAAAACCAGACAAACACTTTTTCTTGAACAACAACAAAAAACCCAAAAAAAAGACGACAAT